CTTTAATTACTAATAGCTACTTTATACTATTAAAGCCTTCTTTATAGTCCTAAAGATTCTAATAAATTTACTAGAAAGGATAAGGGGCACAGTATCTTAATAGTTTCCTGCTAACTATACTATATATATATATTTATATACAGATTAAATACTTAATTTACTTTATTCTATTTACTCTTACCCTTTATGCCCTTTTTATAAGTTCTCTTACTCCCTAACTTCTAAGATATTCTGCTTTTAAGTACTATAGTTATTCTAAATCTAGCCTTTTATACAGCTTATTATAAAAAGGGCAATATTATATACTATAGCTTCTTAAGGAGATTATAGTAAACTGTATTATAAGTAAGGAAATTAGGACTATACCTTAGATTATTAGAATTAAGCGTTTAGGGTAATAAGAAATTGGCTTATATTAAAGGAAAATAATTAAAAAAAAATAAGGTTATAGTAGCATTCTATTTAAGTAATAATAATACTTTACTTAGGTTCTTTATAGTAAAGAGTATAATTATAACTAGTATACTAAATCTTTATATTTATAAAAAGTACTTTTAATATAATATTTATATAAAAACTATAGATAACTACAACATAGATAATTACTACTTTATTAAGTATAAGTAAGCAAGTTTTCTTTCCTTTAGGTCTATTTAGAAGGTTTCTAATAATTTTTATTTTATAGCCTGTAATAAGAAAGCAAGTATTACCTACCTTAACCTATTTATTATAAGCCTTTATAAAAGATCCCTTTTTTAAGAGATTAATATTATTTACTAAATAACTTGCCCTGTAATTATTAAATAGAGTTAAATTAACTAGAAAGTACTTTAGTTTATTACCTATATATATTACTAGAGAATATTTAGTTTTAATAATTAGTTCTAGATTAATCCCTGCTATATTAAAGCTATCTAGGCCCTAGTTAGAGTTTCCTTTACTATTTTTAATTTTAAACTCTAGGGATAAGCCTTTTACTGTAAACTTCTATTTAAGCTTATTTTATATAGGTTTTTTTAGTTTAGCTTAAATTGCTATAATTTCTATTTTAGTTATCTTTAAGGTTTAGCTTTTATAAGCTTTGCCTAGGGTAACCTTAATATAGCTATAGCTCTTAGGGTTCTAATAGTGTTTTTTCCGTTTATATAGGCAGGTCTTAGATTCTTTTTAATTGCTAGATTGTAAGTATTCTTAAGGTTTACTGTAATTACTTTCTTTTACAAGGGTTATATTAATTATTAGCGCTTCTATATAATAGTTTTTTTAAAGCTAGGCTCTAAACTGCTACGCTATATTAGCTATATTATAATATAGCTTTTTATCTGCTTAGTCTATATTAGCTATAAGTTTTATATAAGTAGCCTAACTAGAAGCTATCTTTATACTAACTGTATTAATAAAGTTAATTATTATAAGTAGTCCCTGGACTTTACTAATTCTATATAACTTTATATATGTAAAGATAAAATGCTAGTAATTAAGCTAATCTTAAGGATTAACTTTTACTCTTTTTACTTTACTTAGGATCTTAGCGTACTTTATAGTTACCTTTATTATATTTTTAATGCTTAATAAGCCATAGCTTTTTTTTATGCTATAAAGAAGCTATTAAATGGAATAATAGCCTTTTTAGTTATATTATAACTATATTTTTACTGCAGTTACTATGCCTAGATTAACCATTTTTAGGATATATACTATTACGGTTTAAAGCTAATTTGTATATATCTTAGTTACCTTGCTTTTCTACTATATAAATACCTAATATAGCTTAAATTGCTTATAGAGTTAATTATTAGTAGGAGTACTTAAAAGAGGTTATAGAACTGCTAGTGTAAGCTTATTACCTATATAGGTAGTGTATTTTACTACGATTTCTATTTAAATAACTCTATATTTTTTAAGCTTTATAGCTTTAAAATCTTTAAACTGCTTAGGTTTAGGTACTATAGGAATATTATTATTAGTATCTAGAAGCTTAGAATTAATAAGCTTTTAAATACCTATAGTTTTAGTTTATATTTTAAGAATTTGAATTTATTATAGCTACTTCTTTAAGGAATTTAGTATAACTAAATTTATTAAATTAGTATTAGCCAGCACTGACATTATTATCTTAGATACGTTATAATAGTAGATAAAAAGGCAGTATAGAGCAATAAAAAGGGATAAGAAATTTTCTTACGTAGCCTTATTACGCTAAGGAAGAGGGTAATAATATAATAGTTATAATAAAAAAGGTAAATAAATATAAGATAAGTGTAGTAAAAGTTACTAAAATAACTTTTTACTTAGGCTTATAACTATAATAACTAGCTAATTTATACTGAAGTAAGTAAATAAATAAGGTTTAAGAGGCCTTAAAAAGGTTAAGTTAAATTAGTTAAGTTAAGGCTAATTTATATTAGCCTTGCATTAGATAAGGGAAACTAAGCTAAGATACGCACGGTTAGGTGGATCTGACCTGGGGATTTCCTGACAGCAGCTTGCATGCCCCTGCGCCACCCTAGCGTGTGGCTTGCCTGACCGCTACCCCGTGAGATCATCCTGAATTCTTGGTATATGTACCCTTCAATAGCCCATACAGGATAAAAGCTAGTCGCCAAGACCATAATCTCATGGCCTCGGGGCTGCACGTAAGAAATCCACCATTGTTTAAAAGTGCAAAGGCATGATTAAGTCGTCTGAAGAGCATCACAAAGGTTGAAGCGCTTGAAGGTTTTTGAGATCTTTGTGATATTCTAGCGCATAAGTCACTTTTAGTACCTTAACAGGTGATATTGACAATGGGAGGTTCATTTTTCATGAGCGAGATTGGTTTAAGGAATTTCTGATAACTAATTAAACAGGACCCGGACATAATAGTTCTTTCTTTACTCCAGAGACGGTAGTCGTCCTGTTCCTGATCTCTCTCCTCCCTCTTCCTCTGATCCCTCTCTGCTTCCCTGGACATGTTTGTCTTGCAGTGTACGCGGATGGTGCAAGGTTCAAATGATATGACCACACCTCTGGTGGGTAAATAGGCAGGATCGCGTCGCGGAATTGGACGCAAGAGTTCAGGATAGTGACGACAACTTCCTCGCTCATGTACATCATATGCACTTTGAGTCTAGGCCCTTGAGTATACCGAGGCTGGCGGTTTTCTTCCTCAACAGCCGCGAAAGGGGAGATGTCAACTTCGACCAATAGAAGACTCAGCAATTTCCCGCTGCTCGAAGTGCCATGCTCGACAGTAGAACTCAGCGAGTTGGTCGAAATCTGGCCCACCTTCTGGCTTATCAGACCTCTGCATAAAGAGCCGATGGCATTGGCTTGTACGGGGAAATCGAGGTATTCCATCCCAGTTAGAGTTGTCAATCGCAAGTTGGACGTTCTTGATGTCGGTTGCTGTAACGTGATAGACAGGATCACCAAAGTGGTACAGGGTTCCAGGAGTGTCTGTTGAAGGGAATTTGATGATACGTTTGAGAGACCACATCACGTCCAACAAGGCAGATTTTTCTGCCATAGGCAATGGTGCAGAAAGATAATGGAGGAACGATACCGGGTCTTGAAGCATCCCATCGGCTCCCAGTCTATCATTCATGCAATTCTTCAACCGGGCCAGCGTGCCGCCACTCGTTGGGTTTCGAATCGCCATTACCCAAGGTCTTCGGTCATCTGTTCGCAGGATGATAGCATATTGGATGACGGTAGCCAAATGGCTCATATTACCCCGGAAGACAGAATGTGTCATAATTTGCGTCAACTGACGTACTGAAGTTTGCGACCAAGGAGACTCAGTGTCGCTGTTCGGGTCTGATCTGAGAGTGGCGCATCGCAAGAGAGACCATAGACAGGCGAGAAAAGAGAAATAGGTGAACATAGAAAGACGTGGGTACAAACTGTAAACAGCTCACGATGACCATCGTACATATCGGAACGTCCCTCTCTGATGTTTTTTGCCATGGAATCGACAAATGCTTTTCAGCCAGAAGTGTGGTACGCAAAACTTCCGTGGTCCAGTGGTATCTTAGGGCCAACTATGCCATTCCACTGTTCATTCGTGATCAAAGGTTGATAGATATGATACGACCCTGGGTGCTGAATGATGCGATGGTCATCTTGTTTCTTTGTAGAGGCGACGGCGTTGGATGAGCCTTCAGTGTTCACGCGCTTTGCGCGATCGTTCTCAAGAGCATGAGATGAAGGAGAATTGTTCGAATCTCTCTTGCGCTCATCCATGATTCTTCGCAGTGTTGCAGTGGAGTGTTGCAGTGGAGTGTTGCAGGCGCAAGGAAATCTTTGTCCAAAATGAAAGCCTGAATGGCCGCTTGGCTGGGTGAAGATAGACAAGTGGGAGCGCTCTGTCTGCTTGCGAAGGAGAGAATCTAGCGCTATTCGTCAGTGAGAGTCGCATAATACAGAAGATTTTGTTTACCTTGGGATTTGATGCAATTTTTGACAAGTCCAAGATCGCTACTCCCGGTTTTTTGGAAATTCCAGAACTGGTTTGGTAAGCAAAGTCAGGGCTGGCATTTCCTTGTGTCACCTCAACTCCGGGCACTCCTTCCACTCCCGCACGGTGAGTGGGTACGTGCAGGAGCACATGTCACTCGAGCCCACAAGGCAAGTCTCTCTTCTCTCTCGAATCTCAACTTAACACAATTGCTATCACGATTACCATCACAATTACCATCACAATCAGCTCCGAGAAGCGCTCCACTCTCAATCATGGCACCCCCGACTGAGGAGCAAGCTATGCTCAAGTCTGTCCTCAAATACGAAGTTGCGACAGGGAATCCCCTTCGCCCCGGCGAGAACCGATCTCACAGCTACTTCGAAACACTGAGCCAGCAACGCGATTTGCCCATCATGCAGGTAGAGATTTTCAACAAGTTCCTCAGACTTTACAAAGACAACCAGGTAACTACACCTACAAATGCCCTCTATTGCGATTCGTGACTAATGAAGTGCAGGTGGTGGTCGTTGCCGCTGAGACAGGCTCTGGAGACTCGATACAGCTCACGAAGCGAATCATGTACCTCGAACTCGACAAAGGCCTGCAGGTTGTCTGCACTCAACCTAGCCCCGACGCAGCCAGAGAGTTGGGTGAGCGCGTCGCAGTAGAGCTTGAAGTTACGTTCGGTGAACAGGTTGGTGTTCAGTATCGGAAGTACAACAAGACCAAAAAACAGACCCGATTGAAGTTCGTGACAGATGGGATGCTTCTCCAGCAAATTGGGAACAATCCTACAATGGTCGGCTGTGTAAGTGTCGAGTATGCCAGCTCCGATTTGTCCAGTACTAACAAATCTTTCCAGTCATGCGTCATCCTTGATCTCAACGAGCAAACAATAAACGTCGATCCTCTCCTTGCTCTACTCAAGAAAGCCCTCGCTCTCCGTTCCGACCTCAAAGTCGTCATCATGTCAGCAGCCGAGTCCGAAAAGTCCGCTAGTTACTTCAACGTTCCGCAAATCTTCAAAATCGAAAGGTGTTCATTCCCGGTTCAGATCCAATACATTAACGAAGCTGACCCCGACTATTGCGAGACGGCTTTTCATCTAGTGCAACAAATCCATGAGTCCGAAGACCCAGGTGATATCCTTGTCTTCTTGGCATCTAAACCCCAAGTGAACCGTGCGGTCAAGAAGCTGCGTGGCGCTATCCCAGATATGGAGACTTTCCCATTGCATGGGAGACTGTCTGAGGCAGAAAAGGCGAAAGCCCTTTGTTCTGGTGAGAAGCGCAGGTGCGTTATTACTACCAACATCGCCGAAAGTAGTGTCGCTGTCGATGGCATTGTCTATGTCGTTGGTAGGTCAATGGATATCCTCATCGGTGTTGAGAAGCTAATCTCTGCTGTAGACTGTGGTGTCGAGATGGAGTCGGTCTTTAACCCTCGCGTCAAAATGAATACCATCCAAGCTGCGCCAATCTCCAAATCAACCGCCGACCAGAGAGCTGCATGCGCCGGACGAAGTCAACCAGGGCTCTGTTACCGCCTATACACGATGAAGACATATGATGAGACCCTACTCGAGGTCTCGCCTCCCAGTCTCCTGAAAGACTGCTTCACAACGGCCATGTTAGCTTTGAAGAGTGCAGGGATTGACTCTGTCGGTACTTTCGACTTCCTCGATCCTCAGAAAGAGGAAGTCTATCTCCGTGGGCTAGAGGATCTCAAAGCGATGTAAGCCTTCAGACATTGCATTTCTTCCTCCCTTCTAAGTATCTTACGCAGGAGTCTCATCGACGAAAACGGAACCGTCACTCGAGCTGGCAAGGCTGCCGCTACGCTTTTTATTGATCTCACCTGGCACAACGCATTCGAGGAGGCCATCAGGCTGGGCTGCCTGTCTGAACTCATCGACATCGCTGCTCTCGCCAGTGTGAAGAACCCCATCATCCTCAAACCACACGAGACACAGCATGCAGACGGCGCGTCACAATTGCCGGATCATTTGGCACAGCTCAACATTATGTACACATACTTAAACAGACACCGCGACATGTCTAGTCGGGAGCTAGCTACCTGGTGTCACGAAGCATTCCTGAGTCAGGCGTCGCTCCATGAGGCCTTGGACCTACGACTGGGTTTGGTCGGATGGTGCAAAGCAAATTTTCGTGTTTCTGAAATCTCTTTCCTGACCCCAGGTGACAAAGACTACCACGACAAGATCCGCAAAGCCCTCGCTAAAAGGTCCGTTCACCACGCTGCGATCAGCGATGTTCCCCAACAGCCAGATCAGCACCACAAGATGGAGGACTCCCCGAAGCAGTAGAGTACCGCTCCTTTCCCAGGACTCAAGAGGTTCGATTAGTGTTAAAGGATAGGGTAGCCTTGATCGGCCTAACTTCCCTGACAAGTATTAGATGCTCTGTATGTATATAAGGAGCTCCGCTCCCCCCATCCACTGATAGAATCAAGCTCTTTCAACCCTCTCTAATGTGGCCCTCTGCTGTGCGTGCCATATCTAGTCCTGATGCAGCGTCGGATTGTCGCCTTCCTTCGGCATCGGGACAAACAGCCAAGAAACACTCGTAGCGACTAGAAGCGCACAAAGAACAGGCTGAAGAATCGACACTCCAGCGCTGGCGGCGATAAGACCAGTGATGATTGGGAATAGACACCCTCCGAGCTGCGCAAAGACAAAGACAAATGCCAAAGCTGTCGATTGAATACGAGGATTGAACAATTTCGAGGCGACGGAGATACCCTGGTCTGGTTAGCTGAGCACTCTGAGGATGGGGGGTGAGCGCACTGTAGCAAAATATGGTCCCATGAAGAAGCCCAGCAGACTGATGGCGATGGAAGCGGCGATGATGTTGGGAACCCTGCAGGCGTCAGCTCAATCTCTAGCATCACGAATGAAGACGTACAGCCAGAATAAAACTTGCAACCCAATACTGAAAATCGTGAAGGCGAATATCATGGGGCGAACTCCAAAGCGATGTGTCGGTTCGGCAAGGAACAGTCTCCCAAGTAATGACCCTCCACTGAACCCAGCCGGTACGAAACCCATCTGGTTGATGTCGCCGTTGCGAACCTCGACCAAGTATTCAACAACCCATCCGCTAGCCGTAAGGGTTGCGCCGAGGAAGAAGAAGAAGAAAAGACTGATGAGCCAGACGTTTTTGTTCTTCAAAGTCTCCTTCATCAATGAGAATGCATCATCATTTCTTGATGCAGGCGATTCGTCAGCCTCGAGAGTCCGTTCAGTAGGCGGCTGCTTTCTCTTCAATCTCAGAGTGTCCCAAAAGGCGTATATCACGAAAGCAACATTCAGAACACCGATACCGAGTGGGAAGGTGTAGAACAAATACCATCTTGACGTACTTCCAGCAGAAGCAACGCCGGTCGCGACGAAAGGGCCGACAAGACATCCAGCCATGTACATCGCGTGAATGAACGCCAGCCATCGATGAGAGCCCTTCACTCCAGAGACGTATGTATTCCCGTGCGTATCTTGATATGCTTGGCCAAGGCTCGCCAGCCAGAAGGTGATGGTGAAAAGCGGAAAAGGCGGTTTCCATGATCGGAGCGCGTGAGCGATGACTTGCAGAACAGCGCCCAGCGTGAGCATTGACCCGAGATCGAAGAATTCACAGAGATGAGTGTTGGAGAAAGCGCCGAAGAACCAGCCCATAAAGTTCGCGCCGTAACTGCCATGGTCAGTAAGAGTTGAGTTGGGTTGGGAAGATGGCTGCTTACACTGAGGAGACGATTGCAGTGGTGACATTGTAATCTCGAATGATGTGAGGAACTAAAGCGCCGATACTCCCGTCATTGACACCAGCGACGAAGAAACTGAAGCCAGCGCTTAAAATCTTGAGTAGTTCGCCGGTGCTTGGCTTCGATGAATGCGGAGGTTCAGCGTCATCGAGAACATTCCGCGCTGGGCTGGGTGAGCTCCGAAGCTCAAAGGTCTCCGATCTCGTATCGGTTTGCGTAACTGTCGCCATTGTTGAAACTGTGACGACTGAAAGTTGAAGATGGGGAGACAGTCGTGTTTATATTCGGGGACTGTGTCTGGGGAAGTTGGCACAGTCCAGTTGGCGCTTCTACCACTTTCGGATTGACACGCCAAGTGCAATGTGGAGATCTAAGCTTAAGCCGGTTAAGCGTGCTTGCGGTATCTCCTAATTTGGTAGTAAGCATGTGGGAGACCATCCGCGATGACGGGCCGGAATGGCTAAACGTCGGTCGATGTGCGGTCATCGGGTGACATGAGATGGTGAATAATTTACCCTGGTGAAGAAGAAGCAGTTGATGCGAATGAGAATGATTAGTTTCTTTGCATTGTCAGACTGGTTTTGTTTGAGTTTCCCTGTGTCTTTTCATTGATAGTTGTTGAATTTGTGCTGTAGCAGCCATCATAAACAATAGCTGAAACCGAGATAAACCCTCTCACGGCAACAATATCATAACGTTCATCCTCTCCCCTTGACCTGTTGTTGCGGAATCACTTGGTCTAGACGTACCGACGCTATTACCTGTCTGCTCGGACTCCTTCATGGCTCTTTTGTGTTGCTTACTTCCCGATTCTTTGGCTACTCGGCCAATTTGCGTAATGAAGGATTACCATCCAGTATCATCTGATTCTCTACTCCGAATGGCCACCGCAGCATCCTGAGCAGAGTCTGGTCGTTTTCCGGGGTAGGTTTGAATGACTGAGTCGTGGTTAGTGATGACAAGGTAGATTTCAGGGCAACTTACAATAATGCTTTCGCGTGTTTTCCTCTGCCTTGGACCAGAAGAGAGGAGGAGCTGCTGCTGACTTTCTTTCACTTGTCCTTCAGATGGGGAGTTGGGTGATTGACCATTGATGTCGCTTTGTCTGCTGCCTCTGCCGAATGCAGCCCCAACAAGACGGTGGACTGGTTGTATCTGGGGGGCGCAGGGGAGGGCAGGGCGCTTGCTGGTCTGGTACTCTCGACCATGCACCATTGCCAACTCCGTGGTATTAGTCCTCGGAATCGGTTCCTGAGTAGGGGCGGTAGTTGGGAAATTGCTTCGGGTCGAGATTGGATGATCCCAAACGATTTCGTACATATGGGAGGAGCCACCTGTTGTGCCTACTGTTGACTTCGGACTTCCCATGCATGGCATTGGTTGGCGCAGCGTGGGAAGTGTCCGCTCCTGTCGTTCTCTAGCATTGATAGATGATGCCGTCCTGACTGAAGCTCCAGGTGTCTCGCTTCATCTTGTTCCCGCCGGCGAGCTTGTTCCAACTTGCTACTTTGTTCTGACGCTGTAATATATTTCTCTTGCTCAGAAGTCTAAATTCTATATTTCAAAGTCCCAATCTTCGCTTTCAATGAGTCAATCTCTTGCCCGTACTTCTCATACTTATGTAGCTCGGGGGGCGCTTTACTCCTTCTGATTTTCGCGTGAACCAGGACGGACAGACTCGGCGAAGACGTAGTAGGGTTCATTACATGGAGAGCGAAGCTCTGGCGGCTTTATCTCGGTGCGGAGATGAATGACGACAGACGACATGTCGGTGTTGTCAATGACGATGATGATTATCAGCACTTTGTGATTGTAGAGTCACGACTAACGCAAGGCGTCATCTCGAACAGAAGAACACCAAGACAGGCGGAGGGTAAGATTTCGGGTAGTCTCAGGAAGGCGAAGTGAGAGGCTGAAATAGAGTCAAGAGTGTGTTTTTGGAGAGTTCATTGGCGAAAGTCGAAGGTTGATGGACAGCAGGTGGCATAGAGGTTTAGCCTCCGGCGGTGTGCTCAAAGTTGCGATGAAAGCGCGCTCGGTCGCTGATTCGAGGTACTGACAGCGACTCGACCACGTCATCTTCCCCTGATCGGGGATCAAAGTAAAACCTTTTCGTGACTGTTTATTCATTGCCTCGTGGCTGAGATCAATCTTCGATGACCTTGCGAGTTCCGTCGTATACATGGACCAGCTTCATGGCAGCTGTTTCTCTATCGGTATCGTAGTTGATAACTGCCAATATCGAGGCTCTAAAGCTGAGATGCGAGGAACAATGGGCAGGTGCCCAATGACGAAGACGACGGGGCCTGACATGGGACGATTTCTGGTTCAGTTGAGGCGAAAGCTTAGATGTTCATTCCTGGGAGGAGTGTACCAGATGCGAGATTGACTGGCCAATATTCTGGGCTTGGGCGTTGTCGATTTGCACGCTTTCCAACGCTGACTTTCCCGTATCGGGTTCCTTGTGTCGAGCAATAGTCGAATCGGGCGCGACCTTTGTTCAGTAACATCTCATCTCTCACGCCGCATTGGCGGGTGCTGTTCAGTGGGTATAGGCCTGCCGAAGGAACGGCTAGTGCCGGCTTCCAAGGTCCCGTGAAAGCTTTGATAGCAAATGGGTTCACGGCTTTTGATGAATCGTTGCAGGCACTAAGTTCTGTCTGCTGGTTTAAGCTCTCAGCCACGAGCCTCAACTGTAAATAACACATCTAGCTAATAACTTAGACATTATACCATAATGACTGACCAATTGCTACAGCCAAAGGCTGATATCAATGAAGGTCCGTTAGGCTTTGTTGACGAGATCGACTCAATGAGGTAGGTTGCTTGCCGGCCGTCGATGTCTTCTGATTCAGCTGCTGCCGACTGCATCGTCTTCTTCGACGTCATAATCTCGAATTCCAATGCTGTTGTGTGTCGATCATGAAGGTGAGAAGGCTCCAAGCCCAATCTTGTAACACTGAATACTTGACGGAAGTTTGGGTTCAATGCGTAAGGCCAGGTCGGGTGTCAAGCCTGTGGCGTATGGGGCATCATGTCGCGAGGTATTCATTCAGTCCAAAAGACTATTATACTGTTGATCTTGTCAAAGTCGCACGACAGAGTGTGATCGCTAGCCATTCGGTCAGGAACTGAAATGGATGAATTGTTTCAATGTCAGCTTGACTGGATGTTTGACTTGTCGGTGACAGCGCGCGGCCTGGAGCCTGGGTGTACAAGCATGCAATGAGATGTATATCTATGAAAGGGAATGAACGATGATGGCCTGTGCGAGATTGGTAGCTGTACACTGCGTACGTAGGATTGTGTTTGAGACGTGGACGAGCCGCGATGGCGGCCCGTGGTGGCTGAACTCCGGTTAATTTCAAGGAAAGCTTGCCGGATGCTTCAACACCTCGTGAAATATGATCAGTGAAAAATGAGTCGATGAGAAAGTCTCAATAAGAATGAGTCAATATTACACTCGTGGCTATTGAATGTGTATCGCTTATGATTCTTAATTGCTAATATGAGTCTTGGATGGAATGACGTGAAAGAAACCGATGAGGTTCATTCTGAATCAATGAACTGCATGTAATTCATATATTTGACTCTATATGAGGAGTTATGAGTCAAGCATTACAGAAACTTTTGATCTTGGCATATAGCGATCATTTAACTTCAATTCTATCTCATTACAATTGTTTATACGCTTTCATCATCCTCTTCGTAATTGAACCTGACGATGTCACATAAGAACTGCAACTCACCCTATACCGAAGCTTGTCTTGACTAGTGGTGTCCCGGATCTACCCTAGTCGTGCGCTAGAGTCCCCTGTCTCCTGCTGATCCTTAAGAAAAATTATTTAAAGTTCTGTCACGATTGAAGAAATTTTAATCAGATTTTATGTCTACTGCAAATAGCACATCATAGAGGCTAACAAATCTGCTTTCGAGAGTTACAGGGTAAGTCAGGGGCAAACCAATCATGCTTTTCACGGAAATGACGTAGCGAATGCCCAAGTCACGTCTTTCTCTCCGCGTCTGAGCGATTTGGCAGAATTGACAACAACAATTGCTGCTGATTGCGGAGACCATTCCACGATAAGGCGATGAAAATTGAGCAGGGCGACATTCTGATTGGTGGCTGGTGCACCGGAATTTAGTCTTTTCCGCCCTCCCCCCTGTAACGGACCCCACTGAATGCCACGTCAAAGGCTAGGTACTTTGTCGGTGAGTGAGTGAGTCTGCTTGCTTGCTTGCAACCCGACTCCAGATCTCTAAATCTGGGGAGTCCCCTTTCACCTAGACGAAAATAACAAAACACACTTCAGTCGCTTCCGATGCAATTACTGCGTGGCGATCGTGGAGACACCAGCAGCACTTCTTCCAGGAGCTATGGAGGCTTCGGAGCCTCAGAGCCCCGGCTCTTCGAGTTCAGCGAGCGGGGTCGTTCCGTAGCGCCCAAATGCATCGAGATGAGCAAGCAGCACCCGGAGGAGTTCCTCAACTATCTCCAGCAGGCCTGGAAGAGGGACAAGATCTACGCCAAGGAGAACCCAGACTCCATGTTCGACATCAAGGCCATACGCGTGCTCTGCCAGGATGGAAAGTACAGACCCCTGGGGAACTCGTATATCCCGCTGCCGAAGCTGCACTACCTCCGAAATCGATATATGCTGGAAGGAGAGCCCTTTCCGTTTCTCAGACTTGATCCGCCGATACGGTCTGAGGGGGGGTTTGGGCAGTGGAGGTGTCTCAGGGCGTTTGCCAAGTATCATGATGATCTAGATTTCTTTCTCGAAATGTTGGTGCGGATACGACGAACGAAAGCGTCGACAGTTGAATTTCCTCGTCGAATTCTGGAACTATACCTTCGGATACAAGCAGAGTGTGAAGACTCCAAAGATCCTGCTGCGAGTCAACAAAAAGTCAGGTATGTACACTCATCAAATTCATGATGACATGCTCACGCGACCAGGAACACGTTTGAGAAAGAGCAGCTAGTCTACGTCCATCCAATATGGAGACCGCTGAGCGAATGCTTACTGGAAGACACATGTGAGATATCCAGCACACTTTCAAAGTCGCCAGTCTTTCCTGTGCCCTCAGATTGGGACGCCAGCAAGTCGGAGCTCGTGTCATTACGAGAGTTTTACACACAGACGCTACGGCTTCAGAATGCAAGCTACCGAACGATCGTCGATGTCTTAGAGAAGCGCGACTTTGATGCGGAACTCGACCCTGCGGATCTTTGGTTGACGGATGAGTTGTATCGGGCCCTGGACAAGATGAGACTGGATCTCTCACCGGACGATGCGGCGGATCTCAAGTGAGTAACCTTGACTCATGATACCTCACTGCTAACATGAACAGACTTGCGTTCGCTGAAAAGGCCATCATCGCCATCGCACCGGGTGAAGCCGTGACATGGCTCAACGCCGCCGACTGCACATGGTCACCGAAACTCGAAAGCCCCGAAATCAACGACCTGAGCAAACACTACCCCGAACTCCACGACTTCTTCGTCAAATTCCTCGACGTGAAACAGAATGACTCCGGTCTGATCTTCGACACCCTTATGAATGTCTCATCATTGAGTCCAGATTGTTCGCGCGACAACACAGCTAGAGGTCTTCTCGTCGCCGTGAGTCAACGGATACCAGAGTTTGGTCACATCTTTGACAAAGAGCGGTTCGCGAGGAGTAATGTCTTTCCTGTATCGACGGCGGATGGCGTGTTGTTGTGTGCTTCGACGATGGAGTTTTCTGTTGCAGATCGACAGAATTTGAAGGAGGCCTTCACAGGGAAGTTGAACCTGTTGGATTTTGATCCCAAGACTGTTTGGATGCTTGACAACTTGCTCGTGTGGGCTGGTCTCGATTCACGGTATCTCTCAAAGCACGTTGAAGACCAAGGACCTGCCGACGAGAACTTCAAATCAATCGAACTCCCCTATGAGCTCTCCTCAAAAGCTGACCAACTTCTCCGGTGCGTCCCTCATCCCCCACAACCTCTGCTCTCACTAACCCCCGCAGCATCGCCGTACACTTCAAAAGCCCCCGAACAACAACCCCAAAAGCAACATCCTGGCTCCGCGAAACCCTCGAACACTCCGAAGTCCGCCTCGCGTCGGGCTTCCAATCACAACTGATCTACCGCTCCGGCAGCGCCTTCATTACCGCCGTCAACCCCATGGGCGGCCTCGACATCAAAGACACAGTCGGCTTCACCGTGTACGCCGACGACGAGAATTGGGAAATCCTGAAACAGACAGTGCTCCCCCGTCGGCTGCTTGAGTGGATCATGACAGACCCCGAGACGAATGTTGTGGGTTCTGTGCCTGAACAGGCTGTCAGCCTTGTACGAAGTATTTTGAACATACCTGTTGGTCGCGAACACGTTATCCCCAAGATTTTGGATGCAGAGGGGATTGTGGATTTGGAATTGTTGGAAGCGTCCCCGTACTGGCGTGTAAATAGGTAAGTTGCCCACTCTGAGCGAGCTGTGATGGCAGGCTGATGATTTAGTGAACGTGTACCAGACACAACGATCACCACAAAACCCGACAAACTACGACCCGCCAAGACCCTCGACGACGAAGACGACGAACCCTCACCGGCCTACACGCAGGGAGAATCCTACCACGCAAGAGAAGACCTAGCCGACAGCAAGAGCTCCACGAGAGTTGACTACGCGGAGCCAGGCCTGACGACAAAGATAAGCTCGGCTGAGCGAGGAATGACGACCAAAGCGGGCGATTTAACAAAGGACACGAAACAAGACGCACTGCGCGATAGACTCCCGATATCAAAACGTGGTTTAGAAAGACGACATTCAGAGAAGTCTGCTTGGGAGGAGGAGTTTGTGGCGAATGAAGCTACGCTGATTGATTTCTCGGGGGAGGATGTGTATGGTATAGATTGATAGATTTTTATGTGATATGAGACAAGATAAGATAAGACAAAGAAAATTGAGAATATTGGGAACTGGGCATTGAGTTTGAGTTCATATCATGTGTGTTGTTCGTTCAACTTGGGCGTACTAATCGAGGCTGAGAATGGGAATCTGTCTTGGGTTGGATGAGCTAAGACTCAAGAGCAAGATGAGAGTGGATCTTGAGTTTACAAGACCGGTCAATTCTTCTATCCCCCGGGGACTGCCCTCTGAACTCCAAGCCTTCTCATGCCCCACCTTCACATCTGCATCTTGACTCTCGCATCATCTCCTCCACCTCCACCTTTTTCACCCTCATTCTTCAACATCACCACACACAACAAGCAGCGGGAAAAGAGGCATGTCGCTTAAATCAGTTTCATGGCTCATTAGACTTGCTTACTGACTCATTCCCAGAGAACAATGTTTGGAGCGCATCTATCGAGTTGTCCCGGTGCCGCGAACAGTTTCCAAGACGAAATGGATCGCTGCAAGCGGAACCCGGAATACCAGAGCCCAGTCATGCAGAAAGTCATCTCCACGCTCGAGAAGAATTTCGCTATAGTGAGGAAAGATATGAGCGTCCTTCTCGCAAACAACCTTGCAAGATTCGTTCGTTGCGAAATGAGGAGCCTAAACTCAAGCAAGGTGGCTCACATCACCCTTTGTTCGGTCTACAAATCGTTATCGATTTTTGCCACGGGAGCCAAAAGAATCCACTATCCAGCCTGGTTTTTCCTCGCTTGTATCCACGGGCCTGATCACAAGGAACTCCGTCCCTACCGAGACTAGTTGTCTTCGACTTGGGGTGTGAAGTTCCCTGCTGATAAGGTCATCTACCCGACCAACAAGAGCGAGGAGGAGCAGCAGATTCTCTTCATTGCGGAGTCTGTCCCTGCTACCCATGATGAGTCCGAAGCCAAGGCCGAAGTCAAGTCTGAAGCCAAAGACACCACTTTTGACGATGTTGTAAGTATTTGGTGTTACAGAACCAGAACAACAAAAGCTTATTGAACACAGGCTCCCTTTCTATCCGATGAGACTACGGCTCTCATTCGTCCTTCTAAAAGCTCAAACGTGGAGAAGAGACTTGCCGACATCGAGAAGCAGCTTCTTGGCATTCGTCGAGTACAGAAAAGGAAGTTTGAATCACTGGAAGCGAAGCTAGACTCCATTCACGAGATGGTCAAGTCCAAATCGCTCAAGAACGACAAGAAGAAGAACAAGTTGGATCGTGAGGAAGCCGAGGCCGAACTCACTTCCTATGAGCTCGTGGCTCACGACGTCAAGGCCGATGATGGTGCTGTCAAGCATGAAGTCATTGAAGTGGACTAGATGAACGGAACATGGATGTTGGGGGCATTGAGCACGGGAGGCAACCATGCCTGGGAGTTTTGCACTGAGGATTTGGGTCAGTCTTGTGAGTGGGAGATCACAAATGAACTAGACATGGACGCCTTACGGTAACGTGGTCACAGCACTAAGCAGTTTCTTAGTCTAGTGATCAATTACATGCGAACACTTCATGCTTATGCGACTTGATGTTCAACATGACTTTTGTGGTTTACTCACTGTTCTGAGACGTCGTGAAGCTGTCGCGCCCTTTAAAACACGGCTCATGAGGCGTATCATAGAGCCAAGGCCAGAGAACCCGTGACCTCCATCCTAAATGCCGAGTAGAAGTTGAGAGCAAGATGTGTTGCTTGTGGCGAAGGCTTGTGGCTGAGAGCTTTAATGACCGTGAAGAACTTAGAGTTCCTGGACAGCAGAGTCATTGCTCCTCATGTTATGTTAAGCTTGAGTGATGATTTAAACAAGATCAGGGGCAATCAATGGAGGGAGGGTCTCTAATTGAGCTATCTAGTGGTCAACAGTCTATGTTCACTGACTCATCCAGGAGTCCAGACTTGACCTGTTCAGCTACAGGTGGTATCAGATCCAACCTTACAAAAGTGCCAATACCCAATTCATCCACTCCCTCAGACATCTACTCTCTGGTGAGATCAAACAGCCATGGTCGTATCAACAAGAATAACCAAATCTCAACCAGTTCAGAGTTTCCAAGACCCATTCACCACATGACCACATTGGTGCCTCCAAGAGAATCAGCCTCGAGCTCCTGGACAAACTCCAAGGACATTCCACCAGCACAATGCGCCATACGCGGCCACGCCATCAGCGCAACATCACACTGTCGGTCCGGAAGCGCACCATTCTTGTCCTTCCAAGCCTGGAAGATCCGATTATACCGCTTGACCAACTTCGGGGGACAGTCAGCATCTCTAGCCAACTTATGCACAACCGTACCTGACGGCTTCAGTCCCAAGAAGCAACGACGAAAGCCAAGAGGGAGCTTCAGCTGTCTAAAAGCAGCAGGACTAGCAACACGAAAAGGGAGGTTGAAGTGGAATTCTCGAACAGCACGGCCGGGGTAGAGGGAAGGCAGTTTGCGAGCAACGTGGTTGCCTACGCTGCGTTCGCCTTGGAAGACGACGGCTTGGACGGCGAGGTTGGAGTGGGCCATCACGTTGCGGACGAGGACTTCGTCGTGGGGGTTGTCGAAGTAGTAGCCGAGTGCTCTGTCGAGAGGGTCGAGAATACCGATGAGGCGAAGCTCTCCGGCGACATGGATCGTGACGATTCGTGGTGCGCGGATGACGGTGAGATCGGGTTGAGAGGTACTGCTTGACTCGCCCTCGTTGGTGGGTGTAGTAGACGAAGGCTCGTCGATGTCGGACTTTCCGGACTCAGCTACCATAGAGGAAGTGTTGGAAGCCACTTCATCGTTGGGAGCGACATCGTGGACGTCAGACATGGCAGTGGTGAAGTCGTGATGTGTCTTGAGTGTCGTGATGTGTTATGAGTGTCTTGATCTGGATAGGGGTCGATGTTTGAATATGGGAAGGTGAAATTTGTTGCGAGAACAGGAGTGAAGTTTGACATGATAAACATCAGAGAAAGGAAGAGATCGATGCCTCTTGTTTGAATAATAGTTCATTGCTGCCACTGGTAGGTAGTCATGAATCGTCTCAAGACTGCCACTGGTACGCTGGACCGAGCGGTCGTCCAATACTCATCCTGAACTGACGTTTGTCGATATTGCACTGTTCGCCTGATCTTCATCCAGTAACTACTCATGATTTCCTCCAATGAAGCCAATGACACTGGAAGGCGGGAAAACCAGATCCTTTTCATTCCAGTTCGCTGTGAGAACTTGATGAGCCTAATGCAAGACACCTCTGTGGATGACTACCCCCTTCTGGGCTTCTTCCCACCATCTGCCGCTTTTCCTTTGCCACTGGGAGCAAATCGCTTACTGCCAGCCTTGGGGTCATTGCTAGGTCCTCATCTTCTGAGTTGGCGTGAATGGTGCCACAAGATGAGCCGCGATGTTGTAGAGTCTCAAGGCTCCCACGCAGGGAATTGCTTATGTCCATTTGTAACCGTAGGGTCTCGATAAAAAGGTCGCGCTCAGTGTCTCCATTGTCGTTTGTGGTAGTGGTAGTAGCGGCGGCGGCGGCTCTTATATGATGAGCTGTGGTGGTTGCCTTCGGCTGGGTCAATGCGTGGTCGATCTTGAAGATGAGGCCAAGTTTGGAATGGCACGAAAGTGGGTCTACCCCGTGAGCCTGATCCGGCATTCTCGATCTTTGGAACCCTCTCTTTTCAACCTCCTCTCAACACCGCGCTCTCCAACTTCGTACGTACAACGACCAGCCTCAACACTCTTCATCAACACGCGTTCACTCTCAACTTGTTCTATGCTAATCTTTGAATAGCCTGAGAGTTCTTGCTTGTTCGTACGGCCATATTCCGTCACTATTTGAAGCCACCCGTCCACTTGTCGCTGTGTTCGGGTGTACGGACAACCGAGTTGCCCAAGGTGCTAGTTCAACTTGCTTTTTCTTCACGAAGAGACGCTAATGGAATTAGGCGACACTGTGTTCATTGCCTGAAATATTCGTTTCTCTGGTCTCCCGCCCATCCTATTCGAGCCAGGCGTGGGTATGGATGTTCAACCACAACTTGCGCGTTGCGCAGTGACAGTAAGCGGTTACTTATCGCAGACTGAGTTTCAGCTGCTAAACCTTTTGTAGGCGCTTATCCGTCGTGCCTTGAATGCGAGCTAGATATAGACAACGACTGGAAGCCTGTAAGTCGACTGCTTAACCTCGTCTGGAACTGGTAGCTGATTTTTAGATAGCTCTCTGAGAAAGATGTAGAGTTGCTTGACGGACTCAACCATCACCAGCGCTGTGACTGGAAAGGTGATCATGCCTGTAAATCTGACAAGGTACGCAGTTATTATCATGGCCCTGGCTTCTCGCTGACCGCGCGCAGTTTGTTTTTGGACTCCGCCAGGAAATTAATTCTGCCGTCGCTAGGATCATAGAAGCCACCGAGGACCAGCAAGTTGCGGCTTCCCCAATGCCTACCGCTACTGAAACTTCCGCAGATGGCAAGAGAAAGACCCACGACTTGGCCATCGAGAATCTCCGTGTCCAAATCGACATCAGCAACTCTCTCCGAGGCCTTTTTGAGGTGCAGCATCGCCGTCAAGCCCACCGTGAGGCTGCGGCTGGCAACGCAAGTGCCCTGGCTCACATAGATGCCAACAACTACCCGCCCATTCCTCCGCGCGTCGGCCCCAGCACTTTACCTCGAAGCATTGGCCTCCTTGGCCTCATTGACTCAGATGATGAGGAAGAGCCCAGCGACAACTCGGAGAGCGCAAAGTCAGCTGGCAAGAAGCGAGCTGCTCCTGGTGGCAGTGGACAGTCTGCGACTGGAGGAAAGAGGCCTAGGGCCAAGTAGACAGTTATGGAGTGATCGAGGAAGCTGAATGGTGAAGGGGTTGGTCAGTATTGCTGGACCTAGGAAGAACATTGGTACTCCATGAGAACAGCGAAAGGAAAGATTAAGGTGGTCACGGCGATAGCAATGTGGTAATAGAACACAGAACATAATCAATTATCCTCCGAAACTCTAAGCCTCTTATGATGAATCTATGGTGTCCTTTCCTGAGCTTGGCAAAACTTCAAATGATCTTGGGTCCTCTATTGTTGGACTGAGTGTATCTTTCAACGAGACAAGGACATCCTGAGATGAGTTTTGTTGCGATTGTTGGTGGGCTCTTGTGACAAGTGAGTATGCTTAGGCCAATTTCATTCGCACGAGTTCAGAAGGCTTGGCAGATGAACGCCCAAAGGGGATTTCCTCCAAAGTGATGCAAGCCATGCCTTTGTTCACCTCAGAGAACAGTTCTTGGCACCCAGGTAAGATGATGATGGCTCGCTCTAGACCAGCCTCTCGGGGCTTGACATGAGTGTACTTGGTGCTATCCACGACTCCCTTCGCAACTCGGAGTTGCATCCCAATCTTGCGGTGACCAGCAGGGATGTTGTTCATGAATGTCTTGTCAAGAATGGGCACAGAGACGCAGGCGGCAGGAGAGGGAGTGCCTCCAGAAAAGATAGTTTCCATCGCGGGCTGAAAGCCTTCCTCGACACCCTGGTAGATGCGGGCGTTGGGTACGGACTCAGACCGCGCCATGACGTGTTCATCGTCACCGATGAAGTTCTGGAAACGGACCCCGATGAGGACTCCCTTGTCATTAACAACACCGACGGGTTTCAGTTCAGATACGAGTCGAGGCTTAGTCCGGGAGTCATGGTCGTGCATGTTGAACATGATGGGTTTATAGGTCTGAAAGACACCTGTCACAACCGCTTCCTGGAAGTCGCTTCTTAGTGCCGGATGCTCTGAGAGTGAGTCGCTGATTTTAAATTCCTGTATCCCTTGGGTTAGTCTAAGCTCGGCCTTCTGGAGTATGGTCTTACCATGATGAGACGTTGTTCTGGTGGCGGATAGTGTAGAAATTTCACAGGTAGAGTAAATGGTGATGGTAAGAAGAGAGAAAATGAAAAAGAAAAGCCTGAAGCGTTGAGGTTGAGAGGGACAACGGCTGTTTGCACCGCCCTGAAAGAATGCCCCACATTTGAGTCGCTATTGTCACTGCCCGTCACCTATTGTCGCCCTCGTACAATAGCGACTGATATTAGACACTCAATGCTACCAAGAATCAAGTGAGATCTGGACATCTGGCTGGCCACAGTTAACAGACTCTTGACAAAGATAGCTGAACACTTCCCAAGAAGCGGCAGATGGGTTTAAGAAGGCTTGTACCTAATGTTATCGGAAATGTTCACTCAATTCACCAAGACGTTGCACGAACGAAGCAAACGGTGACTAGAAGCTCTTCCCAACACTATATTGATTGAGAAGAAGATGAGAATGGAGGCTTTATAACATCAGTCCCCCAGATCAATCAAGAAGCCGGGAACACCAATACTTCCAGCGTGTTGATAACTTTAGAAACCGAATATAGGGGGGGGGGGGGGGCGGAATCGTGGGGAACGGGGATAGTGTGTGGCCACCAGCAATTACAACCCAGACACCGACCCAGGGATGGAGTCGGTGGCTGTTGAATAGGAGAGTCACTTGAGAGTATTGTATGCGATCTTTAGAGGTGTTGTGTCAACGGATCAAGGTCAGTCACACAAGACAGCCCATCAAGTGCCAGTCGCAATCCACTGGGATATATTCAATGTCTAAACCTATCCCCGCCAAAGCGAAGTACCCAAGAACATGGACTAGCCTGTCTCCAACATGAACAAGAGCCAGAAGTAGTGCATTATCGAGTACTGAATCTACGGGAAGTAAAATTGACAAATTCGCGACGTCGAAAAATAAGATGTTCCAACTAGCATGCCCTCCATTACCAATCGAGGGCGCAGGATATTGTGAGGAACTGGAGAGTATCCATTTGGGAAAACGGGCCCGCCTGGAGGTATCAATATCACTACAACGTCCCCAACATTTCCACCCAGATCGGGAAACCGTTTGGCACCCCCCTCCATGAACTCCAGGAAGCGAAATGTCATCGGGACACTGCGGAAGCCGGCAGCCAGAGCACTTGTCCAGAGTTTCGAAGGGCCCAATCTAATCATATAGTATGGGCCTGGATGGCTACGGATTTGAGCAAGCGCAGCTTGGTAAGGTCTCTTGTAGATGGTGGCTCCGAGACAGATGTCGCTGCTGGCCATGACGTTGGTTTGTGGCCCTCCATGTGTTAGGGTTAGGAACTGTAGTCCAGCCAAGTTTCCGTGGGGATCAATGAGGGCGAAGGGCTTTAGTCCGCGAATATGCTGTGGCGTCGCGGCATTGCCAGGATTCGAGGGCACGGACAAAGAGGTACCCTGCGTTCCCGAAGAGGCCACATCCTCAGTCTGCTCACGGTCTTGGGGATTCTGGTTGGGATCCATGTTGGGCAAGGGGGTAGGGAAGTAGGGCTTCGAGATGAGATATGTAGAAGCGTGGGCGGGGTGAAGTGGACAGGAGCGGAGAGCCAAGTCAACGAATCTGCTCACAAATTTTGGTTAGAGATCTGGCATGAACATGGCTCTTGACTCACTCTTGGCAGTACTTATTTTGTACAAGGCTAGTTACTGCTGATGCTGCAACACGAGATCGACGTCGTAAAAGGTGGTAGACAGAAGGTTGGTGTGTGGTTGGTTGAAGGTGATGGAAGAAGTTGTTCTTCTGGATCCGAAATGAGAGTTTAAGTAGGATAGATGGCCTCACTCAGTGCTCTAGACAGCTTTGGTGAATGAAGTTAATATCGACGTTAAGGAAGAGCAGTTTGTGAAGTGTTTGGAATGTTTGGTGATGGTTGCACGTCAATTGACATGGAAATGAATAGTTTCTACCACACAAAAGCTAGGCAACAAAGATGGATACACGTCTTGATGAACGTGTGTATCTCAAAGTTCCCCTCCTATTCTGAAAGTTATCAGTCATCCTCCAAAGGACCGAAGAAAACGTGCTGCCCTTTGCCATTCATCTGAGAGGTTTTGATGAGGCCAAGTTGACACCCCCAGTTGTTTCCTCCACCACCCACCGCCTCTAAAACAAGTGCCTTCTTTTCCACCACGTAGCCACGGATTGTAGCCTCTCTTTCTTCTCTGTAGGGCAGAAGAAAGACCGCAAGTGGGCCTGACGAGTCGACGGGGTAGGTTGAAGAGTAGTCTCTTGGTTCATCGTATTCGTGAGTATCGGCGACACGAAGGCGGAGATTTGCTGTGCGGCTGGAGATGTCGGAACGTTGAGAGACATCGAGGATCTTTGAAAAGACATGTTTGGCATTGGAGAGGAATGAGACAGTGAGACAAGCCTTGTAGATGCCATCCTTGGTCCCATGGTACAGCATAGCGCCAGGACAAACATCACAGGGTGTCATGGCATTCATAAGGTTGGCGTCGGCTGAGCCTTCAATTCGAAAGTCCCAGTATCCATCCTCTCCAAAGCCGGCAAAGAGATTAAGCTCTGGCACAAGCTCAGGCCAGAACTTTTCTGGCCCATCGGTTTTGGCAGCGCGGGCGAGCTCGGCAGTAGTGGTAGCGCGGGCGATCCGGGCAGCAAGGTCCGGCGACAGCGACAGCGGCTGCGGCTGCGGCTGCGGCTGCGAAGGAGCTTGCGACATGGTGATGATGGACAGCTTGAGAAGTTTAGATAAAGTCAAGACATGAGCCGGAATGATCACTTACGCAGGCGTCTTTGCGGCGTATTTCTGGTGTCTTTGAGAGGGTGTTGATGTGACGATGGAGGAGAAAAAGAACAGAGCTGAGGAAGATGCCACCCAAGCCTGAGATTAACACAATGGAAGGTGGGGCGTATGAATCGGGCAGTTCAGATCGGTTACCACCCGCTCGGCACCTTCCCATCTCTAGAACTGATGAGATTGAAGACAATCGAAAACAAAACAGTTTGAACTGTCTCTTGCAAGTATGAATACGACTAACCATTATATCCACAGAGATCATTGTCACGTTCAGGACATCAGCAGGGATTTCACCATCAAAGAAGATCATAGACAAGGCGATCAATTTATTGTCTTATTGCCACCTCTAGCAACTATCGCCACATCTATCCACCAAGAAAAGCAATCAATCTCTAGTTGCCCTCCCTTCGTCAACAGGTCAGACATCGAACGGGCCCTTTGAGCGCTCTACAACCCAACAGGCACCGGTACCCTCACCCCCATCAACAACCTCCTCAAGCATCAAAGCCTTGGTCGCCTGTGGACCAAGAAGCGCTTCATCGTAGGGAAAAATAATGATTGCCTTGTCATACTCGCAATCCTGTATATACGTGTTCCCCTTGGTTTGAGAGGTGACCTCACTGCGATCGACGAAGCTGAGCTTGATCTCACTCTTGCGATAGCCGGCAGGTAGCTTGGACCCCATGAGGCCCTTGCTGGTGATGGGCAGGGGAATGGTGTCAATGATGCCGCTCTTGCGATGGCCAAGTACTGCAGATTCGATGGCAGCTGGTAGGCCCGCGTCGTTGCCCTGGTAGATGACGGCGTCTTTGACGAGATTTGATGGGGCAATCATGTTGCCTGTCTCGCCAGAGGGGCTTTCGAAACGGAGACCGCAGAGAAGGTCGCCGGCGATGATGGCGGTGGCTTTGAGGTCCGCAACCTTCTGAAGAGTGCTGGCGTCGCCGGGAGGCATGGGGCCAGTCGGGGTCATGATGATCGGGCGGCGCATTTGGCGAGCAAGGTCTTCGATGCTCAGGGAATCTTTTTTAACGTGGGTCTTGTTGTCCATGGTAGCGGTTAGATAGACCTAGAACCTAGTCAGGGCGATTAAGAAACTAGGACACTGAAGATGGAGTACCTTGTGTCTAGTTATGATCTCGGATGTAAAAGGCAGTGTTGAGGTGAAGATGAAGGAGGGAAAAGAGCAGGGCAGACGGAGACTTTACATACAGCGCTTTCTGGTACCTACAGTATTTCATTTAAGCGAGGGGAAGTGGGCCCATTTGTTTGGTATGAAACATGATGATGACCTCGTGCCACTTCAACCCGCTTGCGTTACACGAGAAAGGCAGCGCATACTGTAGACGAAACTTGGTGAGACCGAAACAATGAGAACCAGAGTTAAAAGAGGCGAGTAACTTTAATGGAACGCATCCATGAAGGCCTTTTCTTCTATGTCAAACGTTACCGAACAAGCACAAACGCTGCAGTGTTGTGAATGAAGTTGTCACGATATCTTGTCAAGTTGAGGTTGACGTGGCTGTCTTGTGGCGTTGACCTTGGTAGAACTCATCATGGTATTTAAAGAAAAAAGTCATGAAAATGTTCCATTAAGGCTCTTTAATTATGAAATTGGATTAAGCCCGTTGGAATACTTGGGAATGAGAGTCAGGCGGAATTGAAAGTGCGGTATCTGCCACTGTAGACGAACGGTGTGAGTGCAAGCAGAACTTGGTTGGAATCCATATCCGGAGGAGTTGCCTGAGTCTCAGTTTGCACTGTAAGCAAGGCCGGAGCAAATTCCAAACAGAGCGCCGACATGAGCCTCTGCAAATTTTCCATCTGCAGCAGCCCGCGCTGTGTAACCACACCTAATAATCCACCCTCAACAATCTCAACAACCACGCGACACAAGCATCGCAATCCTTTCATCAACAACAACGCAGCTCCGATGGCTCCGAAGAACTACCTCGAGTGTTCACCGCGCAAACGCTACGGTCAGCCCAGCACCGGTGCGCGCTTCACCGGCCAAGTCCCTACCGCGGAACAACTCCTACAGAGTCTTATTCGCCGCCGTCACATCTCAGCCTACATCGCCTTCATCCGCCCTGAGATCAGTCACATGATCAGAGAGTATGGTAGGGTGGCTATCCAGACTGTTTGTCAGGAGCTCTACGCTATAGGTGCTCGAGCTGCTCCGTCGCCGTGGTTTGACCTCATGTGCGATCGAACCACGTGGAAGCTGTGTTGTGAGTTTCCCTTACTTAGCCACCATCCTAAGGAATAGCGCTGATTGAAATTAGTTGACCCGCTTGGCGACGATGCCCCGGAATGGCCTTGGGCGCATATCAAGTTTCCTTCCGTCCTTGCTGAAGGAGAGCAGCCGGAGAGCGTATATGTAGACTACTGCCAGTCACGAATAGAGCAAGATGCCGAGATGGCACGAATGAATCAACAGCTCAAAGCACAAGCCGATGCAGCAGCTGCTGCCCGCGCCGCGGACCCCACCTGCAAATTCATCGTCACATCCCCAGCGCCCCTTCAAAACATCGACGAGCCAGTACGAGTTGACACCGACTTCGATATAAGAAACGCTCTCTGGAATCTCACTATCAGCAAGCCATTCGACGAGTGCAACGCAGCCGGTCCGTTTGAGGTTGAACCAAAGGTCCCATTGGAGTGGTACGTCGCCAAAGATCTGGCAGCCATCAACGGGCTTCTTCCGCCTTGCATCGCTGTCAAAATGAATGCTATGAATAGAAGGGTCTTTGTCACTATTGTTGAGTCTGCGGAAGTCAACCCCGCGGTCCCTGTACGAGATGTCCTTCTTGATGTTTGGGAGCTTCTGCGGTCGTGGGCGGTGATGACCAATGGACGGGGTGAGGGTGAGATGAAGACTCTGCTTCAGCACTTTCTGGCAGTCAAGGCGCAACGTGAAACTTTACGAGGTCCCTTACTGCCTCAGCAGTGAGATATGACACAGATGCTTATATGTACATTTCACCATAAATTGTAGTATCAAGAATGACAGCGCTTACGGATCATGTTCCTGTATTCTCTTACACTCAACTACACCAGTCTAAAGCTTTTGAATAGTTTTGAGGAACTCTAAGTTGATAGACCCGACAGCTGGCACTTTCATTGTACGCCTTCCTCCTTCGTACGACCTTCATTTGAGGTTACAGCCTACTCAGGAAGCCCCGAAAGCGCTTTTTGTTCTTCAGGGTCGCGAGGACAGTAGCCTGTCAAGTCCTCGAGATCATAGTACTGGCTGTTCTCATGAGCCTTGCAGATTATGTATCCTGGAATGTAGGTCCAGTCGTCCATATGAAAGTTCGACATTGCAAACTCCCGTGACATTCCGTGAAAGATGCCAAAGATCCTGTCGTCATGCGAGCCATCGCTGTAGTACGGAATATCGTCAGCAAGCAAGGCGTCGAAATCGCTTTCGTCAAAAGTCCAAGGCGGTAGGGCGATGGAGTAGATGTCGTGGGTCCCGTTGAGTAATCGATGGAATATCTCGCCGTTACGCGCTCTCTTCGTTTGCACGACTTGGTGGAGGTAAGCCCAGGCTAGATGTTCTCGGATCTCATCAGACTCCGACTCGCTTAGCCCTCCAGTCTTAGGGAGCGAGTCAGGCAGGACGGGGATGTATGATAGGGCACAGGCGTTTGTCAATGAGGTACGTGCCCGCTGGACTTCATGAAAAGCTGCAATATTCATCGTCACAGGAGTGCCAAGAATTTCGATTTCGTTCGGCTGACCAGCACTCTTATCGAGTCTCTCAACCGCCGCTGTGCCATCTTTCCATAAGCCGACAGCGAGCCACATGCCGCCAGTGTGTGAAAGCAGACACGTCCAGCCCTGACAGGTGTTAACGAGCGAGCTTTGATACTCCTCATATGGCATGTTGCCTCGAGGAGCAAAGCTGAACAGCCGTTCAATGCCGGTGACTAGGATGGCGGCTAGTTGCAGCTTGACCTTGAGTACCTTAGCCGAATGTGTTGGCCGGGCGACAAAGACAGCAAGTCGGTGATCAAAGTCAACGGCGGGTAGAAGCTTCTGAACAAGCGATGTTCTTTCATGGAGTGTCGTTCCAAGGAGGTTAAAAAATCCCTTCTTTGCTCCGGAGATATCCTCGTCAGACCTGCCTTTTGGAATATAGCGTGTGACACCTTGCATATAGAGGTTATACCGGACAGGACGTAAGATGAAGTATTGCTGGTCGGAGGAAAAGAAACAGGAAATGATCTTTTCACTGTCAATCTCCCAGTCCTTGAGACAGACAAGAGCCAGAAGGAAGCCTGGAGCATGACCATTGTGGATTCTAAGTCGCCGTTCAGAGGCCCCGAACTCCACGAAGTGGTCGATCGTTCCCTGATCACAGTACATCGCAACTCGTAGAGGAACGTTGCTGGTACAGAAGGCCAGCGCGACCTGCTCTCGTCGCTCTTCTTCCGAAGTCAGCAGTCGTATTCGTGCCATTTGCTCTGTATACGGATCAAAAATGGTCTGTTCGCGGAACGTAGTGAGGCAAAGATGGATCTGTTCGAATTCGGCTAAAGGGAAGGGATGTCGATAACCTGGGGGGAAGTGAAGCATGGTGCAATCTTCTCTCTCGACAGACGGCTCATAGTTTTCCCTCTCGACTTGCTTGGGCTCGTAACGAAGAACATTTTTAGGCGGCATCCTATCGAAGTACTTTAATCGATCCTCGAGTGAATCATCTTTAGCTGACCTGATACTGAATCCCTGGTTGTTCTTCCAGGGTAAGTCCTGAATCCAGTCCCAAGGAGAGAAACAGACCACTATCTGCTGCTCTGTTTCCTCCTTGAGGTCACGCTCTATAGACTTGATCATGTCCTCATCTGTCTAGAATGGGACATAAACCATATCCATAGCTCGGGCCTGCTGCAATGTCTCCTCGGGGCTTTTACTCGTAAAGCGTGTAATACCGGGATGGCCGTAATGATAGAGAAGCCGGCGGAGTGATTCTGGGTAAGGAGCGTGTGAAATGCTGATGAAACGAACCGGAACCGCGTCACAGATGACAGTGGCCCAGTGTACGGTACCCAGCATTGCCAGGGCACACTCTGCGCTTATCAGAGGATCGATGTAAAATATCACTATCTGTGTCGTTTTATGTTCAAATGTCTAACCTTAAAGCTTACATAAAGTATAAATCCCTAAACCTTAAGGCTTACGGCTTTTATAAAGAAACGTAAAGAACTCTTAGTATATAGCTATGTGGATATGTTGGCTTAGTGACTTGCGTGAGTTGACTTGATCCTATGCGAGCGCAGCGACATCGGTATGTGTATCTGGTCCGACGGCCCAGGCACTGGTCTCACTCTGTCGGCACGCTGAATCGAGGACGGTTTCCCATATGTTTTGGTCGAGGCGATTTCTGAGGTCGATTTCAACATGGGCGAATGCGATATCTCGGCGGTACTCCCTGCCTTGATCTTTCGGGATAAACCACGTCTTGAGGGAGGCCATTTTTCCGTAGTGAGCGTTATTGAATGGGTTGTAGGACGGCTTCTGAGGTGTGTTGGTCAGTTGTGTGTTTCGGTGGCCCCAGCGAGTTGAACGAAGGAGGAAAAGGTGGGTCGTGGTGGTTGCCGGGGCCTCTGGAACAAGACAAAACTACACAAGGCTGAACATGAAATACTGAATGCAATGAGAACAGTTATCATGTGTGGAATCTGAACTCTCTTGTCATACCACTACCGCCAGTTCTTCACAACATCAGAGTCCTACGTTAATTCAACACGGCATCAAAATGAAACTGCGAGTATCACGAACCCCTTTATTATTGATGATCATATCTGCTTCCGTTCTGCTTTACTTTGCTTCACTCTGAAAGGTCTATCACCCCACTACTTGACCCCGGACACTTCAGTATCCCTCAAAAGGCGGAAACCTTCGCTGAGCGGTCTCCCAATCCTTAGTATCCGCATCAACCGGCAATCCCTTTCACTCATTGAAACCAACACTGTCGAGACCTTGTTGACAGAGCGATAATCCGGTGCTCGCCCAAACCGCAAGTCGCCTATGGAAAGTTTCGCTGAACAGTCTCCCAGTCCTTGGTCCATGGATCGATGGGGAGTCCGACGCGTCTGTTGATACCGACTTTGTCTAGATCTTGCTGGAAGGCCTCAACAGCCTTGGAAATCTTTTTTGTGAAGTGAGCGGTCCAAGGAAAGCTGGTGGGAGGTTTGTGACCATCGGCGATAGCCGCGCGGACGACGTCAACCCAGTCTAGCGTCGGCTGGAAGGAAGGCATGTTGGCACGCATCTGGATGAATTCAAGCTGCAGGGCTAGATCGTGCTTTGTTCCCGGACAGTTGGTGAGGCTGTGGTTGAGGGTGTTGCACCATGGGTAGCCTTTCATCAGACCGGAGCTGGAGCTGGCTTGCATGCAGAGGTTGAGCCGGTGAGATGATGAGCCGCAACCAACACATGCGAAACCTGGAAGAGTGCTGTTCGTAGTAGGTGCTGTAGCAAGGTCGACTCGTCGGTCTTCCAATGAGGGAGCAGGTGCGTCCGTCTGGCGTTTCCAAGTAGCCTCATCTTCATCATCCCCGCCATCAGTCTTCGAACAATAACGACCTGGCGCTTGATAGCCGTTGGGAAAATGAGCGAGCGCTCTTGGTAACGACTTACTTAAACTGCGTGGGCTATGATCTACCATAGCCTGTTTGCGATGGATTGGAGTGAAAATGGGAGCTTCGCTCGTATGCGTCGCGTCACTCTTCCGCTTGTGGGACTGTTCTTCTTGCGATGTCATTTTGTGGAATGATGGCGTGCGGTGCTCGTGTTTGGCATTCGTTGTTCTGTGGGGGCACGGAGCAAAGCAGAGGTGCATGAGAAGAGACCCACTTATTCTTGTTCATTGCTGTCTCGTTGATTCACTGAATTGGCCATTGACAAGCAAGCGGCCGCAGACTCATAGCTCCCAACAAACAAGCCGCCGTGGGAATCTATGGCCGCAACAATGTTACAACCTTCCGGAGTAATATTAGCAAAAGAAATGATTTCAACGAGGGAGGTTATACCTCTTTGGTTCATTGGTTTGCCATTCATGCCTAAAAAGCCTGCCTGAGTGGTGTGCGCTCGAGCCTCCGTCTGAAGTGCGTCACCAGCAAAGCAAGGGCTCTTTGTAAATCCACAACAAGACAAAACCACATCGAAATGACAGACAATGAAGATCTTTTGGACACAGAAACATCAGTCATCCTACCAAGCCATCATGAATCCATGTAGCGCATCACAATTCGTCACGGCTCGAGATGGCTATGACACCCTTAGTGCTGATCACAGCCCTTTCATATCCAACTCGAGTCCCCGGTCACATAGACAGTATCAAAACAGAACAAGAGCCTGGGGTATGAAACTCATCTTAGTCCAAACAAGCGCTGCGAATGCGATGCAAGCTCATTGATTGTCCGAAATAGCTATAGGCAACTGGTCCTCAACGAAAGCAGAAAGCATTGAGCTCTCCGTGATGCAGTTTGATCCCGCGTTCAGCATCTCCCACTGGCTTTGTTTCAACGTCTACCGTCGACGGCCTACTTACTCGCGAGATTGCCTGCATGATATATAGCCATAAGTATAAGATCAACTTGGAAATGTCCCAGTTGTCATCGCTCTTCTCGCCCATGCTATGCGCGTATCTAGGGACAACAAGAGGAACCTGAACCAAGCTATATGCAAGTTCAGACGATAGAATTCAATTTGTTCGGCATTTCATCGTCTTTTCCTCATGATATCTCGGCACTTAATTGAAGCGTGAATCGTTTGATTGGATGGTCATTGCAGTCCAGTCTAAGATGAGCCAACCTCGGAATAGATCTAACTAACGACGTTATCAAGACGTTGATCGACGCTAAAGAACACGCACTTGTCTTAGCGCCATAGCCTCATTGCCGCAGTTCAGGTTGTGCATAATGTCTGATATCACTCCTCATCGTCGTAATGTCGTGAGAGCCGCGTTTCATCGTGCTGACCGTCAGCCCCAATGAGCCAGCACAGTCTTCAGTTTGATTCGAATCCTCAATGGCTTAGACGTCAATGCGTAAACAAATCCGACACGATCTGCTGGCGGCCCAGCCCCTATTTATTTAAGCTTTCGGTTTCGGTTTCGGTACCGCTATTGAGTACTAGTCTAAATTTAGCGTCATTCACATCCCTCATGTATAACCATATTTTTCCTTTCCTAGATCTTTCTCATTCTTTTTTTGATAGAGGCTCAAATCTACCTGCATTCATCAGTTCATTTTACTCAAGTCACTTGATATGGCGGCCTTTACACTTCCGGATCCTCCGTCTGCAAACAAGACCAATCTTGCCATTGCAGAGCTTGTCCTCTATATCCTTCTTTTCTTTCCGGCCGGACCGCTCGTGTGGAAACATGGCAAAGCTGGCATGACCTGCTGGCCGATATTTCTCTCGTACTTCCCACTTCGGTTCGTTGCCGACGGATACCAGATTGCCAAGCGCAATGATCCCGAGATTCCCAATGCGGTCATTATCATGACTACCGCCGGAAGCATTGCTTGTCTGTCGCTGACAGTAATTGGATTGATCTACGAAGTGTAAACTTCAGAGCTTTTGAACGATTTGAGCATATAACTGACTGGCATCCAGGAACGTCATCCTTCCACTGCCACCAAAACGATGGACCGAACGAATCCTTCTCGCCGTTACTCATCTCTCCATCACCGCTGGCATCACACTATCCACCTATGGAGGGGCTCCCAAGTTCGGAGCTCCTGGTGGTGTCGTTTCGCAACATCTGAATCAGATCGGCACCTGCATGATGTTGTTCGTCATGATATTCGGTGTTGGCTGGTGGCTTTGGTGGACAGGAAAACGTGTCACAGCCATGAAATCACACCCAAACTTCATCCCCGCCAAATTCCTGCTTCTCACAGCAATCGCGGCGTTTCCGTTCCAGCTTGTCCGGCTGGGCTATACCTTGACTTACTCCTTCACCCCATACTCGAGTTTGGATCCCATTTCTGGGTCATTTGCTACCAGGCTGGTGCTTATGTTTGGTATGCAGATGATCGTTGCTGTAATTGTTACTGTGGGTGGCTGGCGCGGGACTGGTGCCGTACCAAATTCTGCCCAAAGTGGCGCACGCCAGGGATTTGGAACCGTTGCGAACCCATGGATATGAAGTTATTAGACTTAGATCTTATATTTATGCTTTCTATTGCTTTAAGGAGTAATTAGGATCCTTCTATCACTTTTAGTAGAGTTTATCAGTATTATTGAACTTGTGTTCTTAAGGAATCTATTTATAAATAAGATATTCTTAAAGTTTATAAGGGTCCAGACTACAGGAGCTTCGAAGAGTGTTAAAACTACGACTTTCTGTCACAGCGGGCTGCGAGTAGGGGTACGGAGGCTAAGATATGGTATTGAGGCTCTTTGTGAATCCAAATAGCTTTAATGATGCTTTCCTATCCATACCAAAAGCATTTGGAACACCACATGAGCAACGTGACACCAGTCTCAACCAGTCTGGTGATGGTAGCTTAATAAACTGAAAACACTTCCAAGGGAGCGCTTGCAACGGTGCGCCTAAAACACCGATCCGTCCGGATATGTTACTTGCAGTTAAGACATGTTGCTGTAAGTATAGATTAGCCCTGAACATTTAGAAAACTAGGGAAGCTTTTGCTTTGATAAGTTTGGTCGATCCACGGGAGAATTTTGTGACTCTCCTTGCAGCTCGAGGAAATCTGAGGCGGCAGAGTTGAACTTTTGGCAAGCAAGTCCGGTATGGTGTAGTGGCTAACATTTCGCGCTCTCATAACCTGAGAAATCAGTACCGCGGAGCCCAGGGTTCGATTCCCTGTACCGGAGTTTCCTTTTGGCAATGTACCTAACTGCCAACAATAACCTTTTACTAATCTTTTAAAAGCTATTTATAAGTATTTGCCTTTTACTTAGTTTTTAGTATATCTTTTATATTTATACCTTCTAATACTTATTACTTAATTTTTTTTTATAAACAGTATTACTAAATTAAAAGTAATATAAATTAACTTACTTATAAGTAATACTTTTAGCTTTATAAAAATAACTATAGCTTATAAAGTTAACCCTTAGGCTATAAATATAAGTAGTAAATAATAATATAATATTTTCCTCTTTATATAAGCTTTTACCTATAAGCTCTTTAATAGTTAATAAGTCCTACTATAATAAGGGCATGTGCGTAAAGGTTAATAACGCATAAAAGGCTACTGGTGTTAGCTTGACTGTTACAACTTGATAGAATTCCTTAAGTGTGTAATGTTCAAACTCCTCGGCCGTGAGACTCTGCAACTTTTCGAATAAAGGATAACCGCCCATAATAAGATGACTGAGATAGGACTGTTCTTGTGGCATATCTCGGTCCAAGAACTCGTTTCTTTGGAGAGTTGAAATATTTTGGTTCGGACTTTCAGGCGTGTCGCCGGGGTTTGGCTGCCGGGATCGAAGTGAGTAATCAAGGCGGCTTATTAGATCTTGATACCCCTTGAAAAGAGTAGAGATAATGGTTCGGGGAAATCTCTCAACTGAATTGGTAGCGTGATGAAGAAGTGGGCTTTCCAACTTTGTCTCTACACGATTCGAGATACTGAAAAGAGACTGGGTTCGATAGTAAAACATATTGCAATAACAATCGAATCTCAAGAATTTCTCAATAAACGTGAACTTGACTTGCCACGAGGCCTCTTCCAGTAAAAAGTGGCTGCTAGGTCTTGGCGTCGAGTTGTAAGGCCCCTCTTGATGCGTATCAAAGGCACGGCAAAGCTCGGGTACTAGATTCTGAGCTTTTTCTAGGATTTGGAAATCCAGGTAGCCTGCGGATGGCTGCCTGGTGCATTTCCGCGATTGAATGGAATTTAGTGCAGGCTTGAGCTTCTCCTCTAATTCCGAGGCTGTCAGATGCTGGGACTGGGCGCGAAGAGCGCGGAGATCCATGGTGAATACAACAAAAGGCAGAATAGACTTATCCCCGTAGAATCGGAGCAGGTATTGCAAATGATGCCTTAAAAGAGAGGCCCGGTGTCTTTGGAAGATGCGTAATAGAGCAGGTGAAGCTGAGATAAGAAGGCGGATATCCTGAATGGGGGTTTGGTTGAGTATTTCCATTCTCAACTCAGGTGGCAGCTCCGAGAAGAAGTCTGCGCAGCCTTGATGCTGCGTTTCTTGTGGGGAGGTCATTTTTGATTGTGCGGGGGTAAAAGTATGCCAGGAGAACTGGCGACGTGCCTTTTACTTAAATATGTCCACCACAGTATGACTCAGCTACTTCTGGCACATGATCGACTCATACTCTGGTCCATGAGAGTATAAATTTCAGGTGGCGCTACAGAGTTTGGCCCCCCCGCATGCTATTGCTGCAATTCGAAGACAGAAAAGTCTAAACGACCAGTGGACTGTACCATTGGTTCTTGGGTCAAGATCCTCCTTTGTTTGTCGGGTATCCATTGGTCTTGAAGCTGGCAACTCCTGGTGCATGAACTATTTAGCTTATCTTAAGATTTGTCGAAGTGGCTTTGATGTATTTGTGATTCTCTGGCCTATCTAGCTGCACATGATTTGCCTTTGGCTTGCAACTTGGTAGTGCTACAACTATCAAGGTTCTCAGAACTCGTGTGTGACTATGGTTTATCTGCATATCGACTGGCTGCAAGTTACTTCATGTCGGCAAAGTCTGCCACATCGTTCCAAATGATCTGGCAATATCAGCTGTTCATTTCTAAACACTATGGCATTTCTACTATCGCCGAACCTTTCCAACTCTGCTTATCTGTCGACCGGACCAATGCCATGGTTCAAGGCCATTTAAATTCTCCCCTTCCTAAGGTCCCAATCTCGCAGTCAAGCACTGTCTTCAAAATCACCTCATACATAGAACAAGTACACCAGGTTACAAAGTATCCCCATCCTGCTCCTGACTGTTACTGCTCCAGAGAGTGAAATGTCGTTGGATATTGTTATAATGACTCTTGTCGGTCGCCCATGCTTCAAGACCCTCTGGGTTCGAGGTAACGAGTTGCTCAAATTCCTCCATCATGGTATCCGAAAGCTTCTCAAGGGAGAGCTGTTCAAAGAAAGCAAGTTTCGGATAGCCCTGAAGGGCAAGACGATACAAAAAGTAAGCGCGCTGTGTCCCAGTACAGTTCCGATAGTCAACACTGCGGACTATTGGCAAGACGTCATTCCACACCCCCGGTGACCAGACAATCCCTAGAAAGTGGCGCGCACCCAAGTAATTAATGTCTATCAACATTTGGTTATATCGGCGGCGGATCTTGCCTAGGATCAAATGAGGATACATTCGCAGAATCTTGTCATCGAATCTAGGAAACTTAGGAAATGAATCCAAGAAGGCATCTTTGATTCCAGCGCGATTCTGCAACAGCTCTTGGTCTTTGTGGTAGAAGATGCTCCGGTAACAATCGAATCTTAGGAATCCGTCGATGAATACTTTCCTTAAGCCCAAGGGGGCAATGTCCTGCCAGAGCGAGCCCCCTCTCTGATAGTGGAATTGGCCTTGATGGATATCCCACGGGCCCATTGTGAAAGCGCCGATGATCTCGGGCAGGAGCTCTTGCGCTGCGATGAGCATGTAAAACCTGATATCGCCCATTTCCTCAGTCGTTCTGGCGTTCCACCGTAAGATGGAGTCCAGAACAGGCTCGACCTCCTTTTCTAGGACCGTGATGGTATTCCCCTCGTGCTTAGAATGCAGTCTGCGAAGATGCATAGCCGCTGCTGCCAAACGAAGTGATGAGACATCACCGTAAGTGAGGAGGAGCCTAGGCAAGTGTGGCCCCAGAATATACTGGCGATTGCTTTCCAAGGTCCTCAACAGTATAAGTGAAGACACAATGGCAGGCCGTATGTCGTGGAGGGAAAGGTACTGTAGTACCTGAATGTTGATCTCGGAAGGGAGTGTAGAGAAAGAGTCTGACCATAGTCGCTGGCCTGATGCCTGTGAGGAGGCCATGTTGGAATAACAATTGATCGCGATGGTTATTTGTGTTGGGTTCATCGATCTCTGAAGAAGAAAAAATAGCAGCAGAGAAAAGAATGGATTTTGTTATACTTATACTCAGGTTGACGTGATCATATGACGCGCGGAAGAATTTGTGGGAAGCTTAAATGTCGATAAAACGTTAAACTGTACAGTTGCAATGCAGATAATTGCTAGCGATAAGGTTAAGCTTTAGGCTTCCAACATAAACAAGAGGAATGCCATCTCGAACATTGAGCAGTATTGGAAATTGGAATTTGCACTTATATTCAATGTACCAAGCCTGTCCCTTTATTGGAACCGTGAACCGTACATCCGGTTGTATTTGCGTCTTCTTCATGCTTCCATTAACTCATCTACGACGAATAGTGCGAGATTGCATGCATTGAACGGCCTCAGTCTTGAAATCGGCCTCGATAGGCTGGTCTCCAGAGTGGTAAAGCCAATAGTTGAAGACTCAACCTTGGTAGAAAAGCACGCCTCTGAAGAGCACTTACCCTACAGTTCGAAGCGCAGGGCTATGAAGCGGCACTCATTAGTCAGATGGGTCCCGACAGTTTGGTAAACGCTAAAAGTCCGGCGAATCACGAATAGTGCTGCTATGGGACTGTGTCTTGATCGGTTACTAGTGGGATGTTTAGCGTCCAGGCAGGCTTGACCAGGTAAACGGCCATTAAATCACGCAACTGACTTGGCACCAGATGCCTAGGCGTCGTGAGCCAGTAAATGGCGGGCATTAAACTGAGAAAGGTTACAAGCTTTGAACTACTGAAAACACAGCTGAGAAAAGAGACCCGCAGGCTTCGATATCATACGATGATCGCCAGTTCTTCTCTCCAAATACAGATGCACTCTTCCAACCCCCCCGAAGATTGAGTTTGGTAGCGGCGTGATATCACCAAATCCTTGCACAGCGGAGTCGTGACGACCAATGGCCCGCTATAATCATACCGGAACCGCCATCCGTCATCACCCTTGTCGACACCCCTTCGACTTTAGGCGATGGTCTCATCACATGAGCAACTTACCATGTGTGCCATGCAGTACACCAGTGGAACCGATGCAAACGTATGCCTGAACGGTTTAACAAAGGAAAAGGCTTCAAGATGTAATACGTATAGATAGTAGTGTGCTGCATCTTACACTATATCCATGATTCCTGTTCCGAAAATGGACACTACCTTCGCCCTGTCATTAGCTGCTTTCGTATCTGCCACTAAGCGGTACCTGTTTCTCCATCATCATTCTGTTGGTTTGCTCCACGATATAACAGGACATCTGGTTGGTTAGTTTTGTGAGATGGTGGTAGAAGGCAGCCACACCAAAGTCTGAGCATACAGGGGTATATATCTAGAACCAACATAAGTAACCGGCATAGCCTCGGAATCGCTCAATTACCCCTCTTCGTCAATTCCTGCTTTCCAACTTCACAAGATACCCAGAAGTAATCAGCATGAGTGAAGTTGTTCATCCAGCGATTACCAAATGGGAGGCTCTCAAGGTAATTGTTGAGCAATGGACCCTCGAAGTCAATGACATCAAGAGCCCCGAGAGGGAATACACAAAAAAACGTCAAATGCTGCTAAGTCACTATAACAGCCACCTCTCCCACGTGAAGCAGCACTCGCTGGACCACAATGAGTATGCAAGACGATCAGAAGCGATTCTTCAATATGCTGGTGACCTTAGAGAGCTAGACATCGAGTATCAAAATTCAGTCACCCTACTGGAACGGCAGTTTGGGGAACGGCTAGAGGCGGCAATTCAGAAGCTTACTTGTGATCTATTACCGACCTTGGGAGATACTCTTTTGGATCCCTCGGTTGCAACTGTACTCAGTCAGTGTCTACGTCCTAAGGAGTCAACAATCGAGGCTGGCGATGTCCAGGAGGAACCCATCGCGGTGCTGGAAGCCCACAAAGACCCAGGCACCGACCCTGACATCCCGGCCGAAGCGCCAATAGACTTGGAAGGGGGTCAAAGCCAAGGTTCACGCCCAATCGCAGGCAACTCGGAACACCAGAATCAGGCTTTGGAACAGGCCTCAGGTTTGACAGAAGCCAGAACCTCGGTTGCAGGTGACACCCTGAACCAGCACCAGTCAGCGGTTTACCAGACACTTCCGGTCCAAGAACGAGAGTCGTCATCACAGTCAAATCCAGCCACGTATGGACAAGGCGCTACTAGCCCACTAGCGGCTCAAGCACCAACCCCAAGCCCAACTACAGAGGCGAGCCAACTTTCAGAGGGTGCTGTTGGCACACATGCAAAGTCAAGCCCAATAACGATGCCAGCTTCAGAGACGAACTTGGGGCAAAATGGAGGAACAGCGCGTTGGGATATGTGGCAAGCCTCTCAGACGCAAGATCAATCGGTATCTTCTGCGGAATGGACAGGGAATCAAAACAATACCTCCAATGGTCAGCAAACCACGGACTCTCTCGTAGTCCATCTTCGCGCTCCTTTGAAGAGGCTTCAGCCAGAAGCATCCAGTAGCAAGCAGAAACGACAGAAATTGCCCGTCGCTCGCCCTGAGGTCTCTGAGGAACGAGTGATCGACTTTGATCAGGTCTTCCAGGACGGAAACGCTCATACCAAGTACATCATTGTTGAATATCCTCCAGAGTTTGGGGATTGGTATATCCTGGAATGTAAAGAACACAACAAACACTTCTACAAGGATCCAATCAGAGGGGCTTCTCGGCACCTTATGGGTCAGGAGCACGGGGTAGATGGAGCGCATTCCTTTGCAGTGAAAATGCTTGGGACCCGCGTTCTGGACTGCAATGAAATACTGGCTGCGAAGAACAACAGGGTGACAAGACAGTGGTTTCCTCACGTTGCGAGACCTACGAGTATGATTTTAGGAAATGGAACCAAAGAAGATCCAACGCGAAACGTTGAAATCATCCCTATCGTTGGCGAGATATACGCTGCCAAGTTTCCCAAACAGAGCCATACCTACGCAGTCCTTGTCCTCCCATGGACAGCCTTTGACCATTTTCCGTACATGAAACAGCTACTAAGAGACACTCCTTCATGCTATCTCTTCGACAAGGATATTGATCAGTATCCTCGAGGCTGGGCCAAGGAATACGAGGATGGGGGTCGAAAGGTTAAAGAAAGGGTTTATCCTGTTGTCTACTTCCACAAAGAGAATTTTCCAGTCCAATGCGATATTGGTTGGGTTCCTCTAACAAGCTTCAAAATATACGATCCTGCGCACACCGGGGTTGTTTGCTCGAAGATCGTGGACCGATATCTCCAGAACAAAGATCCTCGATTGGCAGCCAACCATGAGTACTCGGATAATCATAGTATCATCATACTAGATGGTGATGACGGTGTGAGTTTGCGCTTGAAGGCTAGCGTTTGCCGGTAATATCATTCATGCAGAGTCAATACTAACGACAAAAAGGAGGAGCAAGTCGGGCTGCCACAAATGGAGAACCGCAATGTCGACCGGCGAGCCTTGTACACCTCTGATTCACAAGAGGATGGCGTCTGCGTGTCCCGATCTGATGTTCATACACAAGATCCCTGCACTACTTCAGGCCCGACAGCAAGGATTGAGTATCCCTTCGTCAGCGGCGGATCAGAAGACATGGGAAGCGCGGAATCTAGAACAGCAAGCTTCGCAGCTACTTTGGCATCCAAACAACCAATTGGGAGCGTCGTGGAGCTGGGAGAGATACATGCCGAGAGCACCAATAGCGACAGGCCCGACCCACAAAGGTTCGATGCACACAGTCTTCGCTCACCGAGACCGCCACCAAATGAAGATATAGAAGCAGTTTCAGCTGAGACACGAGAAGCGTTGCTGGCGTTGGGGCCAGATATTAGTAGCCACGTCCGTTGGTGTGACGAGGGTTTCCAAAAGTCGTGAAGGCGCTGAGGGCTCTGCTAGTAGGCTAGTAACGGGGACTACTTGAATGATACAGGGCATGAGATTAAGCTATATGCCATTTACTACCATTAAAGGTATGAGGGTAAGCTTATTGATAGAAGTAGATAGTGTGCCGATCTAGAGAAAAGAAAGAAATGGAAGGCTTATTTTACTGTTGTTCAACATTCCTGGACTGCATTATAACCAAGCAGGAAAAGAGTGGCTAAGTTGGGAATAACAAAAGTGTATGTCAAAGAGTCCTATTAATAAGAGCTCAGCTGAATGGTTTTATTGCTATTTTTGTAATATGAGGCGTTGGCATGCTATTCATACCGCTTCAAGTACTCCATCAACGTCGCCCACGAAGCCGCTGATAAGTCACCACCAAGCCACAAATTCCCATCCCCATCCCGTCCCATATTAATCCCAACTGACACAGGAAATATAATAGGCGTAAGCTTTCCCATATGGTAATAATTTGGCCTCGCAGGTCTCCCACTTCCTCCTATAACCGCAGGTCCAAAATCAGTCTTATCCAAGAACCCCGACTTGGCCCAGTTAGATGACATGATCATTGAAGTTGTCGTATCGCCCAAGATGACATCATTCTCTGAAACGAATGGCTTACTGCCGTCGGTAGTTTTCTCAAGTGAAACCTCACTCCTGGCTTCGGCTACTATAGCGTTGATAGCCTTGGCTGGCACACGCAGTGTTCGACACTCGAGGGGATACATCCACACATCATAAGCCGCCCTAAGAGCCCAGACTGCAAGCCTCCAGCCGGAAAGAAGAGAGCCATCGGTTTTGGATTTCTCCGTGCTTTCAGCTCGGTACAGCCCAGCCATAACGTCATCTTTGTATCCTGGGAACTTGGCAACTTGTTCAGGCTTTCCAGCTAGGATTAAACACCAAGCTTCAAGAACCGCTGACAGTCCGCCTAGGTCAGTGGTCATATGTGAAAAAGTAAGTGATACAAGTGTCCCGTCTTGGAATGTCACAACGTGCAGCGAGAACTGTGGTACGTCGGTGGCGCAAAGGTCCTCAAATGTTGTTGGTGCACCAGGACCTATACCGATTGATTGGAAATCGGCGGGGTTTGGAAAGAAGGCGATTGCGTCTGATCTAGTGGGTAGTTTGGATGCTTCGGGGTGGTCTGCAAAGGGCATGTCATAAGCAGCCTTGGTGAAGTGAACCGCTGGTCTTTGTGCTGAATATTCCTTCGGAACATGAACTTCAGCTTTGCCCTGGTCCTGTGATTGTTAGTTTGTTGCACATGCTGGCAATGAATCCGCTTACATTAAGGCGTATTCTACCGCCAAGTCTTCTCCATCCGTCCATCTCAAAGAGTTTCAAGAGTGCTTCGTTCAAGATGTCGGCGTCGAGAATCTCATTGAATCGTATTGTCCACAGCAATGGACATTTTCGCATAAACGGCGTATCATCGAAGGCATGCATGGGCAGTACTTGGTCAGTGGGTACTGTAGGAAACTGAGGCCGCTTGGGCGCGCCCATTAGGCTGGAAATCGTAGCTCCCATTTCGGCACTGGAGATTGATGTGTGGTGAAATTGGTAAACATACCGGGATTCTAATACCTCAGATTCACATAACAGTTTACTCTCAAGTCACCTGATACTCGGCACTGAGGGTGATGAATTGGTAGCATTGGTAGTACGGATACGAGCGTCAGCATTTAGACCAGGACTAGTGAAACTTTGGCGCGAGTAGCGGTGAAGCTTGTGCGCTTTGGGATTCGTGTAATATTCGCCGAACAAGATAAGATGCGGGATTGACAACTGCGGTGTCCTCAAAAAGCTATTCAAGATGTACTCCGTAATTGTCACCCTAGAAAAAAGCTTATTCCGAGGAGGCCGAAAAGTCTGATTGCGGTAGGTAGGTGGTCACAAGCTCGGGTAAGGCCTGGGGGCTGGCAGGCTGCCGATGGTCAGCGAGGGTGATCTTCAGCGCTAAAACCCACTATCCCGATTGTGTATCTGTAAGCATTCAGGGGTAACTTATAAGGATCTGCATCCCTGCCCAGCAGCTAAAGCCTCGTCTTACAAGCGTTATGCCACATCACAGTGCCTTACCTCAAATCCATCCTCATTAACATAGTTGGCTTGATTTATCAAATTTTAGACAAGTTAGCTTTCTGATGAGCCTCGTGGGATAGAACTATGACTAGCAGCTTAGTCCGTTGGTGTGATGATCTTTTATAAGAATCCTCTAGTGGTTGAAGTTCTAGTTAAGTCCTCTCTGCTGATTTAAGCTCTCAGCCACGGGTCTCAACTGCAAACGATGCATGTAGATAATAACTTACAGTACAGCCCCTGAATTATTATTATTTTACTATAGCCCTACCACAGCAAGCAAGGGTATATATGATTTTTTTGAAAAATAGCTATTTAAATACTTTAAAATCTTTAAAATAAAAGCTATAGTAATAAAAAATAAAATCTAATTAGTTTATTATTATTATTTTTATAAAGTAAAGAGATTATAAAAGATATAAAGTTTAGGTCCCTGTAAGTAAGTTACAAGCTAATAAAAATACAGGGGTTGTACTGTAAGCGTTACGCCAGGATGTCTGATCAATTGCTGTGGGTTAAGTTCTGCAGCTAGGACAGTAACAGGGGCTGCTTTAATTATTACTAGGTATTATAGTAGATGATAGACGTCGAAGCCAAAGTAATACTGACAAAGCTCGCTTTTACATTCAAGAAACGTCTCTCGTTAGGTTCCCATAGATGCTTTTACTTTCCTATGGACATCCACGTACTGAGCCTACTCCTGCTCATCAATGCATATGGCAAGTTTACTCAAAACACGTCGACAGCTCCAAGTTTGTTAACCAAAACTCTTTGTCATCGGCACATCCCAGGTTCATTCTAATAATTGTATGCGCTCTCTCAATTCTGAAATGGTACTTCTAAGAGACATTATTCAATGGGGTTCCGCGAGCAAAGACAACAAGCTTCACTTCTGCAACCTCACTGAGCTCAATGTTGCCCAGGTTTGTATGGCTCAGATCAATGGTACCAGATGTAAACAGGGCTGGCAGTATTTTCGCATCACTGTCGGTCTGCGAAGCCGATGTCCAATCTCCCTGATCATCAGTCTTCTTGATACGGAATTCGTCAGCACAGTATTGGTGCAGTTTGTCGTCTGGATCCCGATCGACCATAATCGGCCCTAGAGAAATATCATAGTTGACATTGGTGAGCGCTTGTCCGTCGTTTTTGAGAAACTGCGCGCTATACATGTGCATGATTAGTAGGAGTCTACAACGAAACTAATGTGTAGAGATATTTACCTTATTCTGTCAATTCGTAGATCGTAGTATCCATATCCCGAGGGATGCTTGTATGAGATGAGAAAAGGAATCTCGCGGTTTTCTTTCAGCCATGCCTTCCACTCCGGAACAAAGATATTGTAGTCTTCATTATTCTTTGTGCTGAACTCAATCCGAGGGACCGTTTGATTGTTGTGAGCACCTTTGCTTAGACTATCAACCTGCGAAACCAAACTGCGTACGACAGCCTCAAGGTCGTCGACAGACGTCTCGGGAGATGCGCTAACGCTGATATCGCTATAACGCGAAGAGAGATACCTAAGCCTTAATAAATATTGATGGAGCCGTAAGACTGCCACTCGCTTGAGAACGACCAGGCTTCTGCTCAAGGCATCGATGTGATTATGAGTAGGAAAAGGATGGCTTGCGATTTCCTTTGCTGCTCTCTCGATATCTGTTTTGCGCTTGGTTCTTAGAGCATTCTCAGCAACGCCGCCAAGATAGGCATTGACGTCTAGCTGCATCTGACGCTGAGCTTCAATGAGAGTCTTGCCTCGGATGATCATCTTCTTGAGGGCGGATTGATACTCTTCTAGTCCCGGAATAGTATCAGAGCCCAGCTTGAATTTGAGCTATACAAAGCGTTAGGTAGGAATCTTCCAAGCCTCAGCCGTGCCGTTTTGAATCGAGACTCACCACGTTGAACATTTCGTCCACTTGAACTTTAATCTCTTCCCAATCCGACAAAAGTCCGAAGTAGTCGAAGGGCGGAGACGAAGTTGTTATAATCTCAGACGCTTGGTAAGTCAAGTCAGCTTTCCATCCAAACAAACCGTATTCTTCTGTAGTACTAACCAGTGCTGGCAGCAGCAGAAAGACTCTCGTCGATGGACTGGCGTCGGACCTTCTCTGCTTCGTGTTTAATGGCCATGTTACCGTTATATACTTTCCATGCCTTAAAGATCTTATTTCCCGCGCTCCAGGCCGCTTTTCCAATGTCCTTTGCCTTATCACCTGCCTTGCTTCCAGGCTTTTCAGATGTAGCAGCTTTGGCACTTTTGATCGGGGTCTTTTGGACTTTCGACGCTGGAGCTTCAGGCTGCTCGCTACTCGCCCCAGAGCTCTGATCTTGTGCGTGGCTTGATAAGCCGGGCAGGTCCACCTGTGTATAGCATAAGTATGAGATGGGTGCCCTGGATGAGTCTGGAGGTTGGGACCTACTTGTTGCGCAGCCCCTGCGATAGTAACAGTGGCATCGACCAAAGCAGGCACTGCAACTGCTGGATTACCGGCTTTTTGGAACTAATCAGCTCGAAACTACAGTTATCTCACAATTAGGGATTACTTACTGAAGAGGGCAAAGATCACGGCAACGGCAACCTCGCCCACGCCCATCCAAATGGCCGTTTCGAATTCCTTCTTCTACACACAGTAAATCGGAATTAGAAATTCAATACTGAGCAATGAATCCAAGAGTTTCAGACAAACGACCCATCACGAACCTTTTGCTTCTTATAGGCCTCAATGTTCTCTTTGAACGTAGTCAGGGTAGATTTGAGATGGCCCTGTCTTTCCTACTTAATGTTAGTTGAGAAAACTTTTGCATGAGGCGGGCTTCTCACCATCATTACATTCTTGCATCTGGCCACTACGTCGCAACTCTTGATCATTGCTTTGTAGTACTGATCATCCGGTACAGTCCCTAGGGCAAGCGTTGATAGGGCGTCCAATGCCTTAGCGTTGTCTTTTTTCAACTCTCGAGTCATGTCGGTTGCCAATCTCAAGCTGTCTATCGACCGCTGGACATTCCTGCAACTCGTAGTCGCTTCATTGAGGTACTTTTCATACTTTGAGGGACTTTCGAGGGGGACGATATGCTTGCTAACAGCCTCATCTGTTGGAAACGGCCCCGGGTAACGTCGCGGAAGCTCTAAACGCTGTAGTAACGTAGTAGCGTCCTGTTGCAGGGCTGCATACTCTGGTCGGGACCTAGTGCAGCGGCAGATGAATGAAAGATATGACATTGCCTTTTTCTCTGCATGTTCTCTACCCTCGGTGTCCGAGGCGCTAAGCCCTTGGAATACGTTGCTGCATGCCAGAGCGAAAACATGGTTGAGTAAGAATGGAAGGTTTCCTACGGCACGACTGAGCAGATTGATTAGCGGGGAAAGTGACTGTCAAGGAAAGATCCAAGTTACCTTATGTCTGGAAGCGTTGGGCCATCCGAAAAAGTCAAAAGTCCCGAGGTTGCGAACTCTCCATCAGCTATTGTTAGTAGTGGCTCAAAGCTCACATTTCCCATTGAATTCTTGATCCGGAATCCGAGCATGTTCTGAGTCTCTTCTGTGGACTGAGCAGCTTCCAGTTGACTTTGGAACTGGTCCGTTAAGTCTTCTTTCAAGGATTGAGAAGGTAGTCTGTTTGTTGTCGACGTGTATGCCTCGAACTTGGGACAATCTCGCGAGATACTTAAATTTTCACCATTATGACCGAGGCAAACAAGACCTGAGGGCAATGTTTCGAAATAGACGTTCAACTTTAGATCTCCTGGCGCGCTGACATGGAATCTCCGAACATTGGGGAGCGCGAGAAAGGTACAAGTAAAAATGTGTATATAACGTAGCTCGCTTGTTCGTGGTATTTCGATATGTACTATTCCATTTTTGAGAGGTCCGCTGTGACCCAGACTGACACAATACAGATGGAGATAGCGAATAGAGCTTGGCAAGCCTTCCAGTATCTCCCGTAGATCTAAGTGAGCGCCACGGCGGAAGAACTGTGAGCATTTGTCAGATAGGTACTGAAGTAGCCTCCACTGCGGTACTTGTGGAAAGACTCACGTGTCTACTGTATTGAGTCGTCAACTCCATTTGCGATACGCCGTTCTGTTTCATCATCGATGGCATGATCTATAGTTACTGAGCAAATAGCGGAAGTTTATCGTTGTCGTTCTCGGAGGACAAATTGTTCACCGTGTGTTATGACAAAGTCCACCTATTTAGTGCGTCAGCTTTGTGCATACGCCAGTGATTTCTAGCATGCCTGACTGCATACCTGTATAGAGACCCAATTTGCCTCCATTTTAGTGTCTGCCAATAGAAGTTCCGGGTTGGTTCTGGCCTCCTTACCCCGCTCGTCGGATATGGTCCGTTCCGCTGCCACTAGGCAATAGTCTCTATGTGTTGGTCAATGTCCCACTGTTTCTGTTTCAGTTAATGGTCTAGATCTCAAGTCTATTGGCAAACCACTTGATAGTCTTAAATGGTGCAAGTAAGGTGGCTTGCCAGTGGCTGGCTGTATCCATAACTGTCCCGCCCTTTCGCGCCTTCTGTCGTACCCCTTGAATCCTGTTTTCAGTTCCAGTTTCTTGAGTATGAACACCATCTTCTGAGCGAATTCCTCATCCCACCACTCTCACAGAAAAAGATCAATCAGCGAGAGAAATCTGTATTCACAATGACAAGAGTCGACAGCCTCATAGAGTTGTGTGAATCCGAGGGACTATCGTTCGACATTACAACATATCGCCAACAAGCTGGTTTGGGCAATATTTTCGACGCACTCAAGGGCGACACGAGTATAGCGCAACTTGAAACGCTTCTCTGGGATAACCCAGAACATGCCCAGGAGAAAGGCCTGCTCTCGTCTCTAAAAGCCAACTCCAAGGCAACCGACGACTCCGTGACGGCGGCTAGGGAAGCATGTCATAGTATGTAGGTTACAAGCATGCAGTCTTCTAAAGTATTGACTGGGTTCAGGTTCGATCAAGGCGATACAGACGTTAGAAGGCCTCTGTACCAAAGCTGTGTCACCCTCGCCAGACGTTGAAGGGACACAAGCAAATATTCTTCCGGCACTCAACGAGGCCTGGAACGTGCTAATCAGAGCAAATGAGTCCATGATAGAGGCTCGACATGGCCAAGTCGCATCGACTGGCATTGTATGTTCGCTCAAGTCCTCAACCCCGTGGGAGTTGTTGCTGATACACAGGCAGTTCCTCGATTTTCTGTCCAAGCGCAAAGACACTCGCATTGAGATGTTTATCACTGATGTGAGTGCAGTAGAGGCTGAGTATGACGACAATTCACAAGAGCGGTTCTTGTTAGAAAGCTTTTATGAAGCTCTCCGACTTGCCGAAACACCTAGGTCGGATATCTGGGTATTTTGGGCTGGGGGGCGCCTTATTAGAGATGGTCCCTGGAAGATCAAGAACACCGGTAATTCTCTAGCCTGAGCTTGCAAACCTTTCTCCAAGCAACTAACAAGCTCTATTTCTCAACTTTGTAGCGTGGAAAGCTGAAGAGAAAACATACGAAGCTGACGCCTTTGTGTACCATCGTATGGTTAAAATGAAGAAGATAAACTCAGATGGAAGTATGACACGTCACCCCAGAGGAGCCTATAGTGATGATCAGGGTGTTGAAATGCCATATCGGATAGCCAAGCGTATGGCATTCTATGTATCGGATGGTCAGGTTGTCCCGACCCAAGAAACCCAGACGGCAATACAAAGGCTGGAGGAAGACAAATTCGACTTTTGGGAGTTGGAATATGAAAGTGTTCGGCATCCCCCCTTTTCCCATTTCTGCCAGGTGTGGTACCAGATGCAAGGCACATTGAATACGCTTAGCGGGCCCAATGGGTCATGGAGAAAGGCCGACGATTATGATAAAGCCCGCTCTGCAATATCCGTTCGAGAGAAGCTGGCAAGAAGTATGGACTACATTGAAGAGATCGAAGAGTCTATGGATAGACTTAATTCCAGTAAGTATTGTACCGCATTTAACCTTTTCTACTTGACAAGCCGACAAAAGCTGACACAAATTAATAGATGTATTGGATCCTATGCTGATAAGCTTCAGGGATCTGATCAGCAATTTGCAAGACTTGGCTGCTAACATCCTCTATGGGGATAATGATGACCAACAGAACAGTCTTGAAGAGTTGATAACATCGACTAAACTGGTACGTAGATAAAGTCCTATTTCTCAATGTCTCTTCTAGCCTGCATTAGCAGGCGCTATCGAAATTCTATCCACCTTCAACCGTTGTCAATGATATGTGCTCATAGATGAACAGTGGACTTCAAGTTACAAGCTCATGAACGACTTTTTTAACAAATCTCTGCCGATACATTTTCGAGATTTTGCTGGTGTCGCAGAGATTTCTGACCACAAACTTACCACTCAGGTAGCTCCAAAAGACCTGGACTGGGACCAAGTTGTCATGGGTTTCGAAAAAATCGACCTTGACAAGCAGAAGAAGCTATACAGCTTAATTGCCCATAAAGATGACCAAAAGAACGCACCTACCATCACAACCTACGGCGACCCAGACTCTACACCGGTAGGAGCTCGGGCACATATGTTGGAGATACCCAAGTCAGGCCAGAGTGAGTTTGGTAGAGTCAGCAACTGGAAACAAACAAAAGCCGGCGACTACTATGAGATTCCTGTTACTTTTAACAACACCTATACTTCAAAGCCGAATGTTATCTGTTGGTTGGAGGGTTTCGAAGCTCATACGACGAAAAATCTTCGTGTCCGTGCAGAGGTCACTGGCATCACTGAAAAAGGCTGCGTCATAAGAATCGGTAGTTGGTGGGATACAGAGCTTGTCCACATTAATGCCGTCTGGTTCGCGCACGCTTCTGATCACCCACACATTTTCACTGGAGGTGGCAGTGTGCACAAATACGGGCATCATTCCGATGTATGGGCGCCTTTTGTCTCAATTAACTTCCCTGAAGGGAAGTTCAAGAAGCGAAGACCTGACATCTTTCTGGCAATCTCAGTTCTCGATACCCATCATCTGTTCAACACTAGATGCGAGTTGAAGGCCACAAACATTACCCAACGAGGTATGAAAGTCTCGGTGGATGCATGGTGGGACACATATTGCTACCAGGCTAGCTTTTCATGTATTGCGTTCGATCCAGACTTCTTTCAGTATGCATCAGGGGTTTAATTGGTAATTTCCGTGCGCTAGGTGGCTTAGTCGAATCATTTTACCTTGCAAGAGTCTGGTGAGGACTAAACACCCAAGAATTGGTTGGTTTATTCCCGAACTTCTGATGTTATAATGCGAGGGCATTATCTGGGAAGCGATTAGTGGTCCCTGAGGATTGCCATGCCGATAGGTCTCTAGAATCTGAGCGTGTCTCTCAGAACGCCCAGGAGGTTTCCTTTTAGGTGTCCCATCTACGCGCTTCCACAATTCGAATCGATACTTTGTGGAAGCTGAATACAGCAAGCCTGTGATCTGAGACACGATCAGGTAGCACAGATTTGCAGACAGATTTCTAACGGAACAAGGGTAAGTAAAGTCCAGGTTATGGGCGATAAGACATGCTGGAAGAAGAATCAGCGGCCCAGGGCGCAATGGATTTCGGACGCCAGATTTAGAAGTTCATCCATTCTTATGTAACTCAGAATGAAAGCGTTTAGTAAGTAGTTATTTCATTGCTAGCCTAGCATCTACAAAATTCCGCAGAAACAATACATGCATCCTGAACGATAAACGAAGCTCTTGGGCTTATCATTCGTTGTCCTTCTTTGCCTTCTTGCGGCACTTCTTGCAAATATCATCAAAACTTTCGCTGTCTATGGATGCAGCCTTTTTCCCGCAACCTTCGAATACACCCCCTGCATTGGGACAGAAGGTTTCACGGGTATGTGTCCTCAATTCGTCCTTGCAAGTGGCGCATTTGTTAACCACAACGCTTATATAGCACATCGTGTGATTATCCAAGGTGGTTTTGAGTATAGAGTATTGTAAAGCTGTTGGTGTACGTTGTCTTGGTGGATTGTTGAGTGAGGGATGGGTGAAGAATAACATGAGGTTGGGAAGCAGTCGATTTATATAGGGAAAGCAAGTGCACTGATGCTGAGTGAAGACAGTGATGTACGACGAAGGGAGGAGGTAGGTTATCACGACAATCAAGGAGGCTGATTTATTGAGAGAGTAATGCACAGCTATTCCCAGCTCTTCTGTTTCTACTCCTTTTCACTCTTCTTCTATAGTTGTCAGTGACAATGACGCTGGCCTTCACTCCACATGCTTTCCATCCATCTGTGACTCAGGACAGGAATACCTGCCAAGTGCTGTCACCGTCTACGTGATACCTCAACCGCTTAGTGAATCAACGGCTGCCTCTGAATCCTCTAGCTCCAGCAGCAAGTCCACGCCTGTTGGGGCTATTGTCCGAAGCTTAGTAAGCGGTGTAGTTGTTCTTGGGTTGATCGGACTTGGTGCTTTTTGTTTACTTTGAGGCCGTAGAAAGAGCAAGCATCAGGAGGGCATAGTACCTACCAGTCAACGCAACATGGCTTATCCGATGAACCAGCATCAATCCCCGTATTATTCCCAACATCAATGGGCTGTCGCACCCTGGACCAATGTCAGCAAGGAACCCTCTCCGCCACTGAATGCACGTATGTCGATGGTGACAGGGTCAGTCTCTTCGACTGGACATAACGTGCATGGAGGAAGGGTCAATTATATTCCCCAATGGCTCAGAGCCATAGCCCCGCTTAGGAAATAGCCGGGAGCGAAGTTCGTGAGCCCGAGCCAGTCTGTTAGATGGTCGGTGATTCATCGGGAAGAAGGTAGTGGTGGGGGTTCAGGACACAGAACACTTCTTGAACGTAGCAAGACCCTCGTAAATAATACATACATATTTCCTAAAACTAATGCAACCTGAAACTTTCATCATATACTATTTGTTCTTCTAGTACGACATACTCTGTATCATCACTGCCTATAACCCCAAACTAATACTGAGAGGCAAATGCATCAGCATAAATATCCATATCGCCGACAAAACCGTTCAATCTAGTTGGTGTCCAGCCTAATAGCTGCCTCGCCCGATTAGAAGAACCGCGCAGACTAGTTCCCATCGCTTCCGCGAACAAATCGTCGCCTGGTCCTACCAACTCACAGCGTCCTTTGAATCCCCAGTGGGATGCCAGAGCTCTAAAGATCTCCGACATGCTCTCCTGACTAGTCACAAGGTCAAACACAGGACAGACCGAGGTATTGTTGATAAGGGGAAGTTTCTCTATAGCCTTCTGGAAACCAGTCGCGACATCGCTAACGTGGACAAGCCCAGGCCGGGAGTTAACGCTCAATGGAATCTGGATAGTGTCTAAGGATCCATCTCGGGAGGCTTTAAGGAGTGGGAGAATGAAGGCGGTCCAAATAGTACTCTCGCCACCGTAGATGAGTGCCGGGCGTAGAACTGCCACGTCGAGGACGTCAGAAGCATCCAGAACAGCGTTTTCATGGGCCACACGCCATGCAACAAGAGGTGCAGGTGGTGTGGCGGCATCAGGTCCAACAATGTCTAGATCATTGACTTGCTCGTCACTCGATCCGTGGACCCAAGTTCCCGAGCAGTAAATGAACCCGAGTTTCGGAACGTGTGTGAGACCAGCCGCTTTGGCCTTGCTCAAACGCTTTTGACCGACGGTTTTTACATCAGCAAGGAACTTTGCAGACTCTTGATTTGCTCCAGAGACATCAGCAACTATATCAATGTTGAAGTTACGAATGGCGTCGAGGTAAGAGTCTGGCTTGTTGATAGGGTCGGGGCAGATGATGGGGGTGACTTCGGCGACGGCTAGAGACTTGGCTTTGACTTGATTGCGAGCGATGCCGAAGACTCTATGTTGGCCGCTATTGACGAGGACGCTGCAGACTCTGCTGCCGAGGTAGCCAGTGGCACCGATAATGAGAACTTTAGGCATGCTGGATAAAAAAGATATCGTTTCTTTGTGTGGTAGTGAACGTTCGTGCAAACAGTTTGCTAATACTGTTTCTTAAAGAAAGTCTACGAATCTTGCCTGGAGTGTCCTTCTCTCTTATACTACAGCGTTTTTCTTGCCAACGGAATTTACTATCGGATGTATCAATTGTATTATTCCCAAACGGGTCTCTTTAGGAATAGTGCTGAGGTTCCGGCGCTTACACCAACGGAGATAGACGGACGGACGGCGACGCTGACGGGATTAAGAACTACCAAATCTGGAAATCCGACACGGAATTAAGCCATCTCAAACTTCGACAAGAACTGCTCCTCAACTTCTGCAAAGAAAATATCCCAGAGTGACGAAAACTGTGCTTTCAGACTATCGCGCTCTTCTTCACTCCAGATCCGGCCACCGCGGGTCCAGCGCATAGTTTCTTTTGCATAAGGTATTGGCTGGTCGTAAGTGAGAGTCATGAACGGCCCTGTCAATCAGAGTCAGTATAACAGCCGCATTGATCGATATGTACTTACAAAGTCCAGCAGGCAGGCCCAAACTCTCGTAGAATCTCGGTTCGGTCTCTATCCTCTTCTTGAACCAGCCGTGAACCTGTTGGAAACCTTCAACAGCCAGAGACGATATGCGAACAGAATAGAATCTGAGGATGAAGTTATCATGTTTCCAGATCAGGTCTACTACTGGAACCCGAATGAGTCTTCCATCGAGACTGGCAGTAGTCCCAACCTCGACGCATCCTTGTTTGGTCAGACATTGGTTTTGAGAGGAAGAATGCTGCAGGTAACTCACTGTCAAAGTCGACGTCTGGTGGACCAAGCCCAAGTCTCTGTGTCGCGAGTCTCAAGAAAAGGCCAATCTTCTCAAAGTCAGGCGCATACATGATCAATCGTGCTCTATACCGATTAGAAGTGCCTTGATGAATACTTGGTCCAACTCACGCTACCAAAGACCCCTCCAACTCCCAATTATGCAATGCCCCATTCTCGCGCAAGAATACATAGCACGCCAACGCAGCTTTCCTGGTGGAACGTGAGGCGACTTTGTTGACTTGATTGTCAAGCGCTGGAAGTGCCTTCTCCTTGATACCTTGTAATGCGTGATCCAAGACAGTGTTGCCACTTGCCACTGCATTCCAAGGGATCTTCTTGCTGGGGAAATGCCGTTGTGCATGGTCCTTGATCATTTGCAAAGCAGTCTTGTTGGACCAGTATGCTGCGATATGTAGACAAGTTCGACCTCTTTCATCAGCGACTCGGAAGACGTCATCGAAAACTGGATACTTGGCTAGGAGCATTCTTGTGATCTGATGACATGCGAGGTCATACGAGTCTCGAGCTTGAGATGTCAGCCGTGTCTTTATAAGTAGATGCGCACCTACATCCTGAAAAGCCTTCGATGGCTTTCACTAACAAGGTCTTGCCCGTTGGTGTAGTTACGTACTCGGGAAGTGAATCAAGATTGAGCAGATACTGAATGTGCTCGATCGGTACCAAGCCATCAGCAACAGCTAGTGAAACGAGGTAGCCCCCAAATGTCACCCAGCTGCCATCTCTATTCATCTTGTAGTCGTGCTTCAAAGAGTACTTGACACGTAGAGTCTCGACGACTTTGCGCTCGTCATCGTACCCTTCGACGAGAAGCTGAGCAAACACTGTGAGGCCAGAGTTACACTGCCCCTCCAATATCTCTGTCATGCTCTTCCCCTGTAGTCTCTCCGGAGGGAACTCTTCAAGTGTCTTGATTAGCTCTGGCAAGATCTTAGGGAAGTAGTGTGCCGCAAAGTGAAGTGCGTTCCGCCCTCCTCTCTCTGTAGTGAGGATATCCGCACCTTGTCGAACAAAAGCGCGTACGGCTTCAACATCTCTTCTCTCAATGGCAACATGTAGAAACAGTCTTGGCAAGTCCCACGACGGATCATCAATCGCAGTATGTGGAAAGACTTTCAGAAAAGCGTCCACGAAGAAACCGGATCCTCTAAAAGTGCACATCGTCAAGAACGGATCTGTTGGTTGCTTCTTATCCACTCGCCGGCGCTCAATCAACACCGAGCGGGCATTTTCATCAGCTAGGAGAGAAATGACAGTTTCCAACTTTTCTTTATACCCTTTACCTCCGACGCACATACAGTAGAAGCGCGTTCTTCGGAAAAGAGCACTGAGTGCTTGAGCCTTGGCATCGCTGAGTTGACGTCGCGCTGAAAACCCTAAAATCGCCACCAAGGTCTCCGAAACAATTAACATTCTGCGTAGGAGATCAACGTCAAGCTGCTGAGCCGCATGCGCAATCGCAGTGTTGAAGTTCAAGAATCCATCCCATTCTTGGACCTGTCTAGTTGGATCTGCACCATACTCCAGCAGAAGTCCAGTTGCCACTCCGTGGGAGTAATCCCATGCTGCGAACGTGGTGTGCAGTGGTGTTGCGCCGTTCTTCATTGGGACATTTATGTCGAGACCTGCTGATAATGCAATATCGAATATCTCCTCACAGTGCTGGCGTTTGGAGAATTGGGTTAGGGAGTGAAGAATAGTGGCTCCATGGAGAGTCTCTCGAATGGTTGGATCAGCGCCGTTATCGATGAGGAGTTTCGCCATGTCGAAGTAGCCGCAGTGACAGCTTAGAAGTAATGGCGCCCAGCCATGAGTGTTTCCATGTGCATTGACATCAGCGCCAAGCTCAACTAGAGCACTCGCCATGACAAGATCGTTCTTGACAGCTGCAATTTGAAGTAGGGTAAAACCATCTTTGTCGCAGCAGTTGAGACATCCAAGTTTAGTGACCCCCTCTTTGAACTCCTCTATCCTCGCTGAATCTATGGTTTCTCTTCCTGCATCTTTGAGGCACTCTAGAAGATGAAAATCGAATACTGGAGTTTCCATGTTTGGCTTCTCTTTCAAGAACAAAGGGCTGTTGCAATGGAGAAGAAACACATTCGGAAATCTTCGCTGAGTTGCGAGATATGCTTCATACTTCTCTGGCCACCTGCGAGTCCAGATCTTACCGAGGACCTGGTTTGTGGAGAGATGCTTAGGAACTAAATGGTCGAACATTGTCCCTTGAGAAAGGCCGAATGTCTTGGCTCCATATGACTCAACTTTGCCGAGTAGTTCATCTTTGCTCTCTGGTGGCAACGGGGTGTCGCACGCATCAAAGATTCTAAGGATGACAGACAATGCATCTGGGTTATCCATCATAGCGGCGGCAACAAGATGGTCAAGACCCTTCTCTATCGATAGCTCGACGAGTAGTCCATTAAGGTATGCCCCAGCCAGGTGAAGTGGCGCGGCAGAGTCTTGTATATCGCCTGACTCAACGCTCTCTCTCAGATCTCGAAAGACTTCTTCTTGTGCCACTCTAGGGATAAGAGATACATTTAAAGTGTGCTCAAACGCAAACTAACAAGTTAGTCATGTCAAGAATAGAGCGTGTTACTCACATCAGGGACTTTCGCTATAGCTCCATCAAAGATCTCCTCCATACGGGAAATAAAGCCTTCACTATCTTGAGTATCCTCATCCGGTTTCCAGTTCTTCTTGAACTTTCTCAGACTAGCTGGCTGGAGGCTGTGGTCTTCGAAACATGTTGCAAGCATTTTTTCGAATTCTGGGTTGTTGATCTTGATGGAGATGACTTGGTCGTACATTTGCCGCAGTTGAATCAGCATTTCGTCGTTATCGATTTCGCTTACCTAGAAACTCGTCAGCAACTTGTATCAGATCTTCCTTGATAAAGGTCTGGTGTCAGATTCGGTCATTCTTACCGATCCTGAATGTTTCTTTTCAAGCGCAGCCAGGGCACCCCTGCAACGTCAGTATCAGCTTGGGGTCATAATGAGGCTACATACTTGTATCCGTCTGTAGCTGGCCGTAGATCCTTGAACCACTCCAACGGGATCGTTGCCTTTCCAGTATGACGTTGTTGCATGAGTCCCAGAAAAAGGTAACTTTGTATCGCCGATAATGACACCCTTTCCGAGGGTGAAGGTGTACAAGTTCCCTCGAGAAAAGCGTAAACGAACTCTTCCTGTTGTTCTGAAAGGGGTGTTTTCTCCTTGATATTCTCTATGAGTGTTGCGACTGCTGAGCCTGACTGGCCTGGTGCGTTCTTCTTCATCTCCAAAACGTCCCCTGGACTCAGTGTATCAAAGGGTGTACAACCGTTCATGAGAATGCTGGCAGTGAGTAACCCAAGAGAGTAGATATCTGTCTTGTGGAGATCCTCCAGTCTGATAGGTTCTTCTGCATCCAGTTCAGGTGCCATCCAAGGAAGACTACCAATCCTCGCTTGAAACATATTCTCGGACTTATAATCATCGAGGATCACCGCATACCCAAAGTCGCAGAGCTTGGCCCGGATAGACGGAAGACCAGTTTTGTGGAGGAGATCATGCTGGTGTTCGTCCAAGCCAGAAGTGAAGACCAGCACATTAGTTGGCTTTAGATCAGCATGAACAATCCCATGCGCATGGAGAAACTGGAGTGCGCGACCAATGTTCATGGATATGGCCAATTGGGACTTGAAGTCTGCTTTGTTGGAGGAGAGATACTCCGCCAAAGTGCCCTCATCAGCAGCCTCAAGCAAAACCTGTGGCCAAAACCTCCCAACACTAGGCGACTCACTCCACGAGATGGCCAGCATCGAGACAATAAAGTCGCATTGTCGAATCGTCTCATTTGACAAAACTCGTATCTCATTGATGGCAGCAGCAAGTTGAGGCGAGTCACTCGCGACTCCTTGAGAGGTAACGATCTTCTTGGTCACGTATCGTCGAAACTTCTGACTATCTTTCGCTTTCTGGATCCAATCGCGCACTCCGGGTGTCGTATTGATAAAGTCCTCATCTGCGTCAAGACTGAGTTCTTCAGCTGATGCAAAGACAGCGAAGGAAGCGCCTGCACCAGCTGAGAGGATATTCATGCTGGCGATGACATTGTTCTGGGCGCTCAGGATCGGGACATCGAGGGCGACGGCGACAGCCAAGAATTCGGCTTGGCCTTTGACTGCATATGTCTTATCGGGACGATTAATGAGTTCCGTCGCTGAGAAAGGAGCGGAATATGTCGAAAATGATTGAAAATCGCCCATTTTGACGACAGATAAAACTTGGCGATCGAGCGACCATGTAAAATGCGGGACGGCTTCTTATCTCACGCATGCTTCGGAATGTAAGGCTGATTTCCTCGCTAGGCTGAAACGAGATTGTAACATGTTTAAGCCATGTCTCGGTCTAGACCAATGAACTGCGATATTCGCTCTCACGAGCTTACGAATTCGCTGTAGGACTTTCAGCTTGAGCCGTAAAAATGAGGGGTTCCGACGCTATTGATTACCTGCATTGGCTCATCAGGGTCTAGATCGCCCGCCAAAATCATCAATCCTGCTTCCCTGCGTAACCTCTTCCTTTCAACCCACTTCTCAGCATTGAAATGTCTGGTCTTGAGATCCCAGCTTTTATCATCGGCCTTGGTGGTCTAATTTCCGTTTTTGAGAAGGGCTTTGAAGTATGGCGCGTCATTCGGAGAGCCGACGATTTTGGAGATGATATCGCGGATTGGATGTGCAAGTTGGAGATGGAGTTCTTTCGGTTCCAGACGTGGTGGACTGCTTTGGAACACCTTGCAATCACAAAAAGGTCATCACATTCAGTTCTCAACGTACCGCTGCAGTCATCGCCTTTACAGGTGACGTTGGATAAGCAGTTTGGCAAGCCTATCATCGATGCTGCGACTAGCGTCTTGAGGCTGCTTGAGAAGATTGAGGGGATTCTCCAGCGGAACGGCGTCTTAGTGGTAATACAGGCGGAGCCAGTTGTAACAGATCCAGGCGCAGACCTTGGAGAGGCCACTGCGAAGTCGAGACAGCGACTCAAGCGATTCGCTAGTGAGCTTCTGAAGCATACACCATGGACAACTCGGATCAAACACAGCACGAGTCCATGGAAAGAAGACTCTGACAAAGCCGCACTCGATGATTCACTGGCGTCCATGATATACTGGAACAACACTCTGTACAGCATACTGCCTCAGAATATTCGAGACAGCATCCTCGAGCTCGGAATCGCAGGCTACGCTCTAGACTCGCCAGAAAACATCAAGGACATCGTCAACTTGTCTAATGATCGCAACGGAACTTTAAGCCAAAGCGCCAAGCTTATGTCAATACGACAGCGTTTCAAAGATGGCATGGGTTTGAGCGCTGACATGGATGCTATACTCCAGCAAATGGAACTAAAGGAGGCCGCATTTGAGGGTTTGGTCGCAGCGGATGTCTTCAAGGGGTGTCAATATACGATCTCTCAGTATACTTCTCAAGACGGCCAGGTTTCTCGAGCTCTGATTGAATGGATACCCATACCAAAAGATTTCGATGCTTATAAGTTAGCTCACTCTCGAATGGCACGGATCTCGTACACCTTACAGCAGATCGGAACATTCTCAGCAATACAGCCCTTGCCAGCTCTTGGGTTTGTTGAGTTTGGGGGCGCGAGGTCCTTCGGTCTCGTGTCTACCTTGCCTCGCAGTCTTACATCTTCAACAAAAGTCTATACGCTTTACGATATGCTGTCGGGAGGTCAGAAGTCGGCGGCGGGTAGTAAATCAGCCTCACGAGTGCAGCATGCTCTTCCAAGTCTGAATCAGCGCCTGCAATTGGCGTCGAAGTTGGTGATGGGCTTCTACACTTTTCTCTTGACTCGATGGCATCATGAGCGGTTCAATTCTCTGCACGTAGCATTCCTCATAGACGAGACGGACACAAAGTCAAAGGCACTTGATCTGAGTCAACCTATCATCGGAGGGTTCGCAATCTCTCGGCCAGACTCACCTACCGAGCTATCCATCTCAGCGTCATTTGAAGAAACCGAGATTGTCTACCTGCATCCCGATATACGGAAGCGTCTCAAGTCAGGAGCCAAACAGACTGGCAAGGAACAGCGCTTCCAGCGAGTCCATGACATTTACGCTGTTGGACTATTACTAGCTGAGATTGGCTACTGGCGGCCCATCGCAAAAGTCGCTGAGTCCGGAGCAAAGGGTTCAAAATCAGACTCAATGTTACCCGGGCAGTTCAAAGAAGCTGTCATCAAGAAGTGTCGATCAGACCTAGCCTTCTTCGCCGGCGAGACTTACAGGGATATCACGCTGCGATGCTTACTGGCTGGTGAGTCCGGCGGGGTTCAGGTAGAAAACGACGCTGATGGATTGAACAACCTGTACTGGGATGTTGGAATAAATCTCATGACTAGTTAGATATGATAAAGTATAAGATTCTCTCATATTGCTTGTCTCTCTCTGCAAAGATATTCAGGTGGTTGGGGAGGCAGCCGAGTCAAGTCCGACGGATCTGACAGCGAATGCTATCCACTTACAGGGGCTGAGCTAGGCAGAACGCCCTCCGCCTGCACTAAAATAGGCACACGATGCATGTCTTGGCGGAAGGATTCAAGGTGCTGAGATTATAAGAATGAGGGCCAAGATACGATAATTAGCACCGAGAGACAGAGTATCATACTTGAAAAACACACTTTCAGTTCCCTATCATGGCTTCTATCAATGCGCCCCCAATGGATTTCACCAACGTCTCATACACGAGTCTTCCCTCACCAGCCTCAATTCGTCTGTTGTCATTCATCAAGAGACCACGCCAGCTTTCACCTCCTTCAATCTTAGGTGAACCTCTACTAGAATGCATCCTAGAGACCGTGGATATCAACGAGGCCCCGCATTTTGATCTCATCTCTACGACATGGGGGAACCCAGACAGTGCTGATCCAGGCGATATTGATGAATACGGGCCCATGCATCTCTATCCCATCACCATCAACGGAAAGCTAATGTTTCTCCCGAAAAACATTTACGAAGCTCTCAAGATGGCTCAAAAAGTCAATGATCGCGTTGAGCAACGCAATGAACTGTTCCTGGAGACTGAGTTGATGACAGCCGTGGAAAACAATCATCGACCCAAGGTTCAGCGGTTGTTGGAGCAAGGTGCTCATATCCATGCGCAGGATTGTTTCGGCAAGACGGCGATTCATCACGCAGCACAACTTGGTCATTTCGACATTATCAACATGCTTCTCGACTACGGTGCCAGTATGAAAGTAATCGACTCGTATGGTAAAACGCCGATGGACTACATCACATACACGAAGCCAAAAGATTGGGAGAACATTGAAGAAATTGCTTATAAGATGCAAAAGACGCCTGAGGAGAGAAAACTAGTCCCTGTTCCTGAAGTTGTTCGAGTCGGGAGGCCGATGTGGATTGATGCAATTTGCATCGATCAGAGCAATCCCGAGGAGCGATCGAATCATGGTTCTTTGATTGCACAGATTTACTGCTGTGCTAGCTCTGTCATCGCATGGATTGGAGTCCAGAATGATGAAACTAAACTTGCGCCAGAAGCCATCTCATCAATCCTTCGGGCTGATGGCAAAGATCCAGATGAAACCATGTCTGATGACACTACTTCTACCACAAATGCTGGGTATTCATACGTCCCCTCCGATCAGGAAAAGTCATCTATTATCAGATTTCTAAGGCGATCTTGGTTTGAACGGGAAGGTCTTATGCACGAAGTCGCTTTCGGGAGAGCAATCACTGTTTACTGCGGCATGGATACGCTTCCGTTCTCATCTATAATGGAATTTCTCAGACGGGAGGCACACAGTGGTACTTTTCTACCTTCTGGCCTTCATGTTTGGTCTTTAATTGGTAATACTGAGTCTAGGAAGCGACGCTCACTTGAGTCAAGATCAAGAACGAAGAGAACGCGACGAGATTCGATTGATGGATGATTTGCCGGGTTCACAGTCTAGCAGCCTGAGTTTTCCTCTTGTCGCTCCTTTTGTCATATTTCGCAAATTATACTGGTCTTATGAAGTAACGAACTTGCTATCTCATCCTCGTTTCTATCCGAATGAAATTCTGTCACCGGTCTCAAACTGAAAACTCGTAAGCAAAGGCGGTAGCGTTTGTAGGCGGGTTGACAGAAAGTGTCAGCTATAACTCAAAGTTAGCTCAGGCACTAGGTTCGAAGGAAAGGCACGTATATAATGCAGCGCTAAACTCGAGGGGCGACTCACCGTGTCGGCCGAATAAATATACCTCTTCTCTCCCAAATCAATAGGCCCGTCAACTTTTCCATTCGGCCCAGCCCAGTCGAATCGATAAGTCCGGACCTTTACGGCACCCTTTTTGGGAAGTCCTACTGCCTCCAGGCTGCTGATTTTGATGCTGTACTTAGCTTGAACGGTTCTGGTGCCGGCTAGAATCTTAATCTTATGACCTTGCTTAGTGGCAAAAACATCAAACTTCAAGTCCGACGACGCTTTCGTCAAAAGTCTCTGCCCTGCCATGGCTGCATAGTATTTATATACCTGCCACTCGCCATTAGGGTAATATGTCCCCTCAGAGGTGCCGGAAGTGCTGTAGATCAAATTGCCCATCCAGTTGTGCAGATCAGATCCACCGCCCCAGTTCGCACGTAGACCCCTGAGGTTATGGCGCTCCAGTTGGGAAAGGTAGTAGACTGAGTTGGCTGGATTCTGCTCATCGCGTGCAGCGTACTCGTTGATGTCAACTGGCTTCTCTGGAACGCCGTATTGGCCCCGCAAGGTAGTAAAGTCGGGGATCGTGGTGTCGGGCTCACGTTCCCAATCACCAATCTGATGCCAGGAGAAAATATCAGGGATTGTCTTGTTGCCCGCTACTGACTGTAGCCAGGTATGCCATTTATCGTCAGACAAAATGGGAGAATGTGCCATGGCTGGGCCGCTGAGAAGGGTTTTGGGAAGTGCTTTTCTAATTCGACCAGTCAGCTCACTGTAAATGCGTGTTCATCAAAGGTATTCTTACCGCAGGAGTTTGGTCGCGCGATTATAATACTCAAGAAACTGGGGCCATGAGCGATCCCAAAAAATATCAATATCAGGCTCATTCCAAACATCAATCACGAGACCCTCCAACATGTTATGGGCCTTTAAATCGGATACAAGCTGATTCCAGAATAGTTCCGTCTCAGTCCAGTTGCCATTATCACCTGGAAACGGAGAGTTTGAACCCTGTCCGCCATCTGCACCCCAGAGATCATGAGGCAGCAAGATAAAATCAGCGTTATACTTGCGCGTGGTGCGGTAGTTGGATAGAGTAGAGTTGAAACGACCGAGGTATCCTTCATAGCCGCCTCTAGCCCAACCAAGCGATGGAATCTGAGCACCACCGCCGCGGTTTGCGTTGAACTTGATGTCAGTCACTAAATAATCTGGGATCGAGGTGTCGACACTTGTTCCGTTATCAGGCCAGCCGTAGATGAAGCCTGATCCAAGAGCAGAGGCTCTTCCATGGTTCTTGGAAAGGTCGACAGTTGCTGTGCCTTGTACCTGTGCAGCAACGTTGGTGGCTAGAGCCAGCACCACCGTGATGAGAGTGGCGTGGAGCATCTTAGACAAAAGGCTTGGTCAAGAGATATGTCGGGTGGAAATAAATGAGTCCTTAGCCATTTCATTTAGTGACATATGGGGCAGAGGGCGACCTAGTTATCAGTTTTCTTGCAAAGTCAGCTGTTCTTGGCTCTATGCCCTTGCAAGGTACAGAGATGGTACAATCTCCCCGCCGGGACGCAGATCCCCCGCAGGAGCTCCGAAACAGGTAATTCCAGGTTCAAGAGCAGAATAATGAACTGCCGAGAGAGTTTGCTCCGGTGGGACAGGCTAAATGTATCACGTAAGGTTGAAAGTATGCTTAAGTCTTAGAAGGAACGTCTCAACCAACCACAAGTGCCGTCGAGGAGGAATATACTATATCGATTCAAGGCCTGCTGAATTATACTTTGTATAAGGTCAGTGCAAGCCAACTTCAGTTCTGCTCTCAATAGATCTTCCTGCAGAAAGCCGTTAGGATCTGGACGTCAGTGAATCTCAATGCGTTGTAACTATTTTGCCGATTTCCTGCTTGTCGAAGAGAATCACGCCACCAGGGATCGTCAAGGTCTGGCAAAAGTCATCCGGCTAAAGAGCAAGGTACTTTTCAAGATAAATCAGGTTGCTTGGAAAGGTCCTTGCTATTGATAAATACCGAGTCAGATGATATCGGCATTGACTGGGATTCCCCGCATGATCTACTATAGCCGTGCATGCGCACCTATTGCAAACCCTGCTCTAAAGACTTGGCATGAACATTGAACTGGCATCATTGATAGAGATGAATGTTGAACTCAAGACGTCAGTTTACCATTAGCAAGAGACAGTCGGGCTTCTTTATTCGCTTATTGAAATGAATTCGTGGTCTTATTGCTTATTATTACGTTTGAGTGCAAACTTCATTTCACCAGGCTGTAAGCATGCCGATGGCGTTACCATACCAGTGTCTCACTCGCAGATGCGGCCGTTAACTTCTTTTTGTTATGAAAGCACTCCGAAACGGGAAACCAATGGAGAAACTATCCCTAAATCGTCAATTTAATATTCGGTTATTATCTAACATAGCAATTAGCTCTGAAAGGCTTATTTCTATTATTTTCAATCACTGCAGGGTAGCAAGCAGGGATACCAAGAAAACAAACTAACGACGGCATCTCATTTCTCTAAATCGAGTAGGTTGTTTTATCCGCCTCACTGTGCAACGTCGCTGAGTCTTCTAAATACATTCTATTAATAAAACTCCAGTTCTTTGTTATAGTTATTTTTTGCAAATTCAAAGAGTCCCAGGTGTGTACAGGGCAGAAGTACAAATTGAAGCTGCATCACGCTAGTTCGATTGCCAGTTCAAGCTTGACGTCTGAAACTAACATTTCAAGCCAGTTCGTTAGGCACGATTGCGAGATATTGTTATGGATGACAAGTGATTGCTAATCTGATAAATTTGCTGTCCTATAATCTATGTTTGCTCAGTAGTCATCACAACCCGCGTCTGCTTCAAGATGTACTTCTGACTATCCCCATCATCAATACTCTGTCTGACCTTATCATCATTGCCAAAACCCACTCGTGTTGTCATGCCCGATCGAAAGTCATTCAACTCCAAACTCGACTTTTGGTTATTCGAAACAATTCTAGTATGTTTATTTCCCGAGACATGAGGTGGGTTCATTCGACTCGAGATTCCGCTGGAGCCAGTGTTGCTTGCGTACGTGCTACGGAACACCGGGAGGTTGAGAAGTGGACGAAGGGCAGGCATTGAGCCGGCGATGATTCCGATACCTTCTTCGACAATAGACCATAGGCCGATTGCGCCGGTGCTGTACATGAATTCTTCTGGGTTGTTGTAGAGTGTGAGGTAGCCAAGTCGGACGACGGTTGCACAACTGGCACTGCAAATTGTTAGCTTTGCCAACAAGATCATATGGCTGACTTACAAAGCACCAAGGCCAAGCATAACAATGACTGGGAGCTTGACCCTGTTCTTCATCTGGATATTCCACAGCAAGAGTCCGGGAAGAATTGCTAGTGCCCAATCCACGATAATCGAGACTGCAGAAAAGAAGAATCCGACACTGCTGTTGAGTTTTGTGTTGCAGTAGCCGTGTGTCGTTTCTCCCCAAAGTGTTGTGATCGGATGGCAAACGTTCGCTGTGGCGAGGATGAAGATGATGGCGGTGATGACAGTTATACCGATGAGGCCCCATAGAGTCCAGACGAATCGACGGCGTGCATCGCAAATTCGGAGCATGGTTACACAGATACTGGCTTTGATCGGGACGGAGCAGGCGGAGTAAAAGAATTGGGCGATGAAGAAGAGCTGCGACGTGATGCGTTAGCGATTGCACGATGACTGCCGGATGGACACATACCTTTGTTCCCATCATAACATCTTTTGCTTCGATGGCATCTCTATGCTGACCTGCTCCATGAAAACAGCACGTAATAACCAGCGCAGCCGTAACCGTATACAGAATCTGCGTCTCGTCAGTCACAGTCTTCAAACTCCGCCAAAATACATACCAAACCCGCAAACATCAGCCAATCGTCCAAGCCAAGATTATTCTTCCATTTTCGAACTCCAAGACGCGCACTGAGAAAGATCCACGATAGCGTGAGCATCACGATAGTGATCCATAGAAGGGGCACGCCCGCACCGGCTACAGGAGCCATAATGGTGATTTAAGGCGAACGATAAGAAAGGCAATAAACAAAGGAACAAACAACAAGGTCAAGGACGATTTTGAGATCTGTATCTGCCAGATTTAATGTCAAACGGCTGACCCAACGTCCCGGAAATTTTGGGCCGGTACCCTTGCTCCTAGCCCCTCAGGAAAACCGGTATACGCAGCATGCAACTTCGCCGTGACATAAACAGCCCGACAAGGCCCACTAGAATATCCCCTGTACAAGTTTAGTTATTTCTCGCATCGGTTCCGAGGCTCGTTCATTCTCGCATACCCCAGCTAGCGTAGTGGTTCAAACATAGGGGGCCAATTAGGAAACGGGCCCTAGTAGCGAACTAAGTGATGACGAACTCAAACCAACGGCTGTCTCAAACGTTCTAGTGCAATATTTGCGGAGCATTTCGGCCGTGAATGATCCCGAGGCTATAATATTGGCTGCTTTTTCTGGAACGTCCACTTTATCCCCGGGCGGCCCGCACGTCCTAGTGTCTTTGGTCAGCCTCATATTAGATCATGTCTTGGTCTGCAGATGATCTACTGGTGTCCGAAGCCAAGGGGTCGTCATGTTCAAAGCGTAACTACGAAAGAACAAATAAGAGATATGCATGTGAAGACGGTCTGGATGTCTCGCTCGTAACGGGTTGTCACATCAGTGCCGATCAGATCCTTCTGCAGAGATCCATTTCCGACAGAACCAAACCTCCGGCGACTTTCTCCGTTTATTTCAGTAAAAGAACCAGTGGCAAATGAGCATTAGAAAACACGTGATCGCGTACATGCCCAGCAAATATGGATACCAGCATGGATGTAAGATCTAGTCCTCGACTAGACTCGGGACTACAGAGCAGAAACAATAGTTTACCCACCAACAGTCAATGCAAGATGAGAACTCGTACGACTTGCGGGAGTTGCTGTGGATTTCCCGGTTCCACCGAGGACCCTGAACCGGTGTGGACGAATGCCAATGTAACTTTTCGTATTTTAGTCAGGGCCACTGCTGCTACCGTCGAGTTTCTTCTCACCGCGTCTTTCTGCTTCTTCACGTTTCAAGAATTAAAAACATGGCTGAATTTACTATCGACGATCAAAAGTTGGAGGCCCTCAAGGGCAAGGTCGTCATCGTAACAGGTATGCAATCCTTTCCTACGCGAACAGCAGAATACGAGCTAACGATATATCCATGATAGGAGGATCTTCCGGTATTGGTTTATCCACTGTTGACTTGCTTTTGTCGCTTGGCGCCTCGGTAGTCAGTGGCGATGTGCAGCCTCCCTCGGAGGAGCACAAGGGATCATTTACCTTTGTCAAGACCGATGTTTCAGTCTGGGGTGATTTGATTGCGCTTTTCAAGAAGGCTAAGGAGGTTTATGGTCGTATTGACCATGTTTTCGCGAATGCTGGTGTCGGACCTAAGACGGATTACTTGGCTACTGAGGTTGATGAGAATGGCGACTTGAAGGAGCCTTCGCACCAGCTTCTTGACATAAGCTTGAAGGGTGTGATCAACACTTCGACGCTTGCTATTAACTATATGAGACAACAGCCTGAGGGAGGTAGCATTCTCATCAGTGGCTCAACAACTGGCCTGCAGCGTGTCCGAGCTGTGGATTACTGTGAGTTGCCAAATCCTACGTCACCGTGTTTTACTAACATCCCTAGCCACCGCCAAACATGGTGTCCTGGGCTGGGGACGTGGTCTCGTCCCCCTGCTCGCCGCAGCTCAACTTCCCATCCGGGTTAATACACTAGCCCCTAGCTGGACAGACAGCAGTGTCTTGCCGTCGCTGAAGGCTCTTCTTGACGCCATCAACGTTGAGCTGCAGCCCGCTTCAGTTGTCGCTCGTTGCGCCGCCTTCCTTATGGCCGATTCTTCAAAGAATGGACAGCTTGTGCATATTGAGCGTGGCAAGTACGCTGAGATCGATGAGGCTGTTTTGTTGCCGACTTTTGGAAAGATTAAGAGTGATGATTATCCTTGGGAGGACGATGTCTTGGACCGTCTCTCAAAGCTTGCTTAGAGTTCGTTATGGTTGCTTTGATCATTGTAAAGCATATTGGATCAATCTATTACCTGTGCCAACTATAGAAAGTGAAATAAGCTCAAGAATACTCAGATCTTGCCTTGCTTCCGGTAATCATCCACCCGATTCAAGATTTCTTGGCAATCATCCCAGATTCTGCGCCGGTTCTGCAGCCCAAGTAATGGCTTCCAGTTCTTCCATACCTCCACTTGAAGACGGAGCCAGTCCGTTTCAGCTTTGCCGAGTAGCCTGACTGGCTGAGGAGTTGCGCGAATGTCACCACCGCGTTCGATCTCTTCCTCGATCTCTGCTTGAGTTGTTGTTGCCCAGAACGATATAGGCAATGACGACCAAGCTTCGTATAACCAAGGAGTTTCCCGAACTGTCACTTCGTACAAAACTGTGTTCGGCAGATGTAGAAATACGCGAGAGGTAAGTCGCAGGTTGGCAAGGTCCTTGAAACTGAGATGGATGAGAATCTCACGAATGATTTCGCTAGGAAGCTTTGAGAATGGGTCTGAAGGGGCCGGTTCCATTGATATTGTAGTTCCAGGAAGGCTAGACTCATTCCCAAGGGTATGTTCCACGCGTGTCGACTGCAGGAGATCGTCCAATCCAGGAACAAAGCAAGGGTTGGCCACTAGGAACTCGTCTCCACGTTCATGACTCCACCACTGCTCCTGAGCCTTTTTGACAGCAGGATGCCGAGGAAAACCATGTAAATCTTCGTACGTTGGTTCAAGGCGCCACCACTTCATCAAGCACTCAATATCCACAGTTCCATACCGATGTAGAGAAGCTCTCTTGAATATCTCAAAGCAGGCCGGATGAAAGGGCATACAGGACTCGTCCGCCCCTTCAGGATCCCAAATGATGTTCTCGGCGCTGACGTCGCTCATGCCATGACGGGAGGGAGAAACAGATGGCCAGCCCATATCTCTACTGGGCATATCGTCTGACAAACCGCTGAGGAAGAAGTTGCCCGAAGTTTCAAAGTCTTGATCGTCTCTCTCGGGCTGCCAATCATCGCCTTTTGGTACAAGACTGGGACGTTTGACAGTGTTTCATAGCCTCTGCAGAAATACGGTATCCATTGTAGGCTCCGTTGTACTCGCATTCTGGTCCAGCGATGTGTTCCCAGTCATCATCTGGCGTGTCTGACGTCCATCCGTCATCGGACGAATCTTCTGGTTCCATTTGCGGTGGAATATACTTGACTGGTTCCAATGACGCGGCCCCGGGTTCTTGGACCCCATCTCTCTTCACGTAGTAGCATCCCCACCGGCCGTGACTGTTTTCAGGGTTGATCGCAAGGCTCTGATAACCCCAGGCTGCGCTTCGAGGTTCTTTATCTGTTCGAGAGCGGTTGATGTTGAAACTGACGCCGCAAATGTGGCAGAGAACTTCAGAGTAGCCCATAATGCTTTGATGGACTCACTGAGTTGAGATGTTGTGAGCGGACAGATTACGACAGTGCGATGAGTGACATTTTAAAGGCCGTTAGTGCTGATCCTAGGCAGCAAGCCCCATCTTTCGCTCAGTGGCCGTGGCGTATAATTAGTGGAAACCCACCACCGTGAAGGGACAAAGAGGCACTGCCAATAGTTATATCATTATTCGGAGAAGAGCTATTCACGTCTCTGGATTCCTACGACCTCCCTCTTTCATAGCCCTAAGCTCTTCCATAATATCACCATAAGTCCAATTTATCTTCTCAAACATACAGACTTCGAGACAAGCATTGTGCTCATGGCATATGAAAAGGCCATTCCACTACAAACCGCGGCTGCTACAAAGCGAGCTGAGGTCACGTCGGGCACTATGGATTCGGGCGACGCTACTGTTGCTATGTATTTCATATCCACGCCAGATGACAGGAAGGACGGAGAGAGCCTGGAGCAGATGTTAACCCCTCGCTTAGTTGACGCAATCCGCTCTTGCTGCCAGGATCGAGTTTGGGGACTGATTTGCAACGTCGGTGCTGTTTCTGGCCAGTTCGACTTGAACCCTTATTTTGGCGGCGCAAATATGCCCCAATACGCACTTGTCTACAAACTCTTTCTTGCTGGCCCTGAGTTGGTTCCCCTGGTAAGGAAGGCCCAGGCACAGTTTGAGAAGCATGCTGCAGATGAGTCCATGATCGACCCGCACAAATCCTTCATCCTATTTTTACAAGAAGCTCTTGTTATGGATGTTGGAAAGGGAGTAACGGTAAGTACTGCTCTGCGTAGCTATAGCAGTCTTGCTGACATGGCTTTTTACAGTTCAGCTACAATCGTCAGCCATTTTTTGGAGACCTACCTGGTCCGCCTCGCCTTGACTAGGAGTGATATAAATCTAGAATAGATATCATTTAATAATTCTTCATCCTCAGAGCAATATTGAAGCGAAGTTTTATATGCCTCACGCCTGCCTAGAGACCATCAACGTGAGCTCAGAACCCAGTGTAGTAGGCATATGACCATTGGTAGAATCGACCAACCTGTCAGCACTGCATTCATCACCTGTGTTTGCAGCCTAAATCTTAACCTCATAGGCAGCAGTCATCCTGAGTATATGAAACGTTTCTCATTGGAGGTTTTTGGGTGCCTGAGGTTGAGTATTTATTTAATTACCAGCACATTATCTCAATCCTCAATGCGAGGCGCATTCAAATCGTTCAAGTTATCGCGATTAAAAATGTCGTATTGCTTCTTACTATTTTAATCATATTAATAAAGCAGTCAATGTACTGTAAGAGCGTAGCCTGTGCCAAGTGGCATGGGCTGTCAGTGAATTTTTGTAATTGGTCCAGCACTACACTCGAAACTTCAGCGTCTCGTCTCGTCTCATTGGATGGTTCTTGGTGGCTTGCGGCTGAAGATTGAATCGCCAACACATTTTCAATCCTCATTACGCGGCGGTCATCATCGCACCCCACGCAGGTAATTGTCCAAAAAAAAGAAGTATATCCATCCGCCAGCCGTGTCCAAAATGTCGCTGCCTATTGACGATGCCGCGGATACGCCTGTGACCTTGTCGTAACGGGCACCCGCCGGTCCTATCCCCACTACAGAACGGACAGCTTATGTCTCATACGGCACACGGCATCTCGACTACGGAGGTCTCCTAGTACAACGAAATCCGTGCATCCGGTCACTTCAACAACGACGAGCCGTCAAGGTCGAAGCTCACTGGGCCGAAAGATTGACTCAACTTAGCTCCAGCTATGAAATGACTGAAAGCGGGACATTTCCATATCCAAAGGCTTACCAAGAACTATTGTTTCCACCGAACCCGAGCCAGCGACGTGATGAGGAGGACGGAACGCTTCAAAATGAAAACATAGATGGAGGGCGGGTTCCTAGAGAACAGCTTATATCGATTTCGTGGGGATTTAGTATCTCAACGCCTTTTTTCGGTTTCTCACGGACGTCAGAAATCAACGTCCATAGACGGATCCAGCCAACATACGTCGTTTTAGGTTTATTCCTCCGCGGCTCTACTAATCCGAAGGCTCTTTTTGTCTCTTAAACATCTAAAAGGCTTCAGGCTATACAAGGTTTGTCCTCGACACTTCCAAGCATCTCGCTCATGCTAATAATTCAGTGCGACGCTGGAACTGGAACACATAAACGCATCACCCTGGATGCCAACAGTACTGGGGACTTACAGCTATTGATGAGCACCTACAAAAGATGGCATGTTCCTGGACACATCTCGGAGGCCTGGTCAGAATGGATACATTGCACCTTGAACAATAAGAGACTCGATATACTCGAGGGCGAATATGGCCTTGAGCTGGTACTAGACTGGTCAGTCACACGCATCTCGATCGTGGTGCTCGTTCCAGTCTTGCTGAGCTTGGCCATCGGCATTTGGCTGAACTCCAAGGCGTGGACCGACTTGGCAACGATACAAACTGCTTGGGGAACTGCTTCATACATCGTAACAGCTGGCGCTTGTAAGTATTATCTAATTGAGATTAAGCCCCTTTGAGCAAAAAACTAACATTCTGAAGTACTGGCAGCAATGTTGGGCTTTTTGGACATTGCGGATAAATAGGCGAGCGCCTGCTTTGGTTTATCACATGTCGCTTTTGAGACAACCACTTTCTTTTTCAGCTTATGCAGCCACTTTCACAACTACAGGTTAAGAATCAGGCTCCAGAGCCTTCGCCACCTGCGAGAAGTGATCAAGAAGGAGTCAGCATCATCTCCGGACTAGTGAGTTTCTTCGTCAAGTATCATGGCTGAGCTCTCAAATTATACATATATTTGCATCTACCACAATCTCCGAACCCGCATTTTGTGAACTCGTAAAACTTGACGGGCGCTATAAAACTCGAGAGCCTGATTTTCGTTATGGTGCATTTGAGTGTTGGTTGGTGTCTAGCTGATATCGTGTTGCGGTTTGATTGGCGGCGATGCCACCCAACTGGAAAGGATCACTACAAAGGGTTGCAGAAGCTAGAATGATCTGACCAGAATCAAAACTCTCTGATTTTATTAGTCGTATTAACTTTCTGTGTAGTGGCTTGCGGACATTTGCTCCGGAGATACTTGGTTAGGGGCATAAGTAGGGGCCATTTCTATCAGCTTTAGTAGTCTGTGCGCTATAACTGCACTGTAATTTAGTGCTAATTGCACTAGGAGGGGAAATATACTGTATTCTAATTAGCTTGCTTAATCTTACTTAGCTACTATTTTATATACATTCTATTAGCTATAATAATATCCTTATAATACTAATTTATTATACTAAGCCAGTTTTAGAGAAAGTCCTTTAGTATAGCCTCCTAAGCCTTCTTTATAGCTACCCTAAGCCTTATATATATTATTTTCTCAAGGTAATTATAGCTTATATAGTTTTTTATCTAATTTTATATATCTTTAATTAGGTTAAGGTTAGGAAAAAAAGGCAGCTAATTAATAGCCTTAATTTCTTAAGATTAAAGCTCTTATAAGGTCTTTCCCTTAATATAAAATAAAGTATTATCCTATATTAAGACTAGTATATACCTTTCCTATAACTTAATTTAAAACTATCCTTTAATAAGTAATATAATTTAATTATAATAGGTCTAATTTATAATTTTACCTTACTCTTTTTCCTAAAAAAGATAAGGACCCTTTTTTTTACTAGTAAATCCTGCCTAAAATATCTAACCAGGCTTCCTTTATTCTTTTTTAATAATATAGGTTAGATTAACCTCTTCTTTAGGCTACTAGGTTACCTATATATGCCTATAATAACCCCCTATAACCTAGGTCTTATTAGTTTAAAAGATAATACTTTATTAGTTAATTAATTAATTTTTATAGGCCTTAGTAAAGGTAAGCCTTTTTTACTAATTTTATAAGGAAATTAGTAGCTTTTTCTAAATAATATACTATTTAAAGCTAGCTTAATATAATATATACTAAATATAGTAAAAACTAATATTATTTTATTTAATTACTATAGGGATATCTTTCTATACTATTCTTTAATTAGCCTTTAATATATAGACTTACTTAATTAGCTTAATAACTTAAGCCTTAGTTAGTAAGGCAGGCTAACCTTTTCGCTTTTATAGTATTAAGTAAAATAAAATTACAGTCTGAATTTACTTCTATATATATAGGGTTAAATTAAGGATCTATAATTAGCTATAGCCTATATTATATATAGTCTAAATTTAAATTTAGTTATTATATAATAAATAGTAATAATATAGCTACTAAGGTAATTAAGGTATTTATAGTATTTATAACATATTCCTTAGTTACTATAGCGTTATATAGATATAAAGGTAGCCTATATATAGGTAATTAAATTCATTATATAATAGGTTAGAAGGTCTTAGTATATAATCTAATATTCTAATTAGCTAAGGTATAAGCTGTAAAAATTAAGGTTTAGGATAAGATATCTCTAAAGGCGCTGTAGGCCTACTAATTTATAGAGGCTTACACAGTGAGGTTACAGCGCACAGACTACCGAAGCTCATAGAAATGGCCCCTATTTATGCCCCTAACTAAGTAAACCACTACGATTTTCAGCCGCAATTCATTATATCCCGCTCTGTGTGCCTTTCTTCTTCCAATTTCTTTTGAGTTTCAACCTAGACTTCCTTTAGCCTCTAGATTCTTTAATGGATACCTTCCCTCATCTGCCCTCCCGCCACAAAGTCAGGCCAAGCGATGATATATCCGCTTACGAGCCCTTCAACACCAGCCAAGAGCATCGCGGACTTGGCAACCCCATCAGGAGACAACGCTGCGACCTCTCAGAGATCGCAGCACTTACATTGAGCTTTTGCTGTAGTATCGTTGGTCTTATTTGTTGCTTTCATCCAGCCACTGCAGCGAGCCTTGAGCAAAAGTATCAGCTTATCGTTGTTGGCTTGATGCTATCGCTCATGGACCTTTGCACCGCCAAGCTGTCCACTATCGTCTTCCTACAACTTGAAACACGATGGGCGAGCCTCCTCCAGAACTACGATTCGATCATTAAGAAGAGTATTTTGGGTAGTCTTTTGAACTGGCGTCGGGGCAGTCAACGATGGACACTACTTCTCTCAGCATCGCTTGCGTTCCCACTGCTTCTTAGTATTGGTTACAAGAGCTTTGTTGGTGGAAGGGTCACAACTGAAGTAAATGCCAGCGGCGGCCAATATGGTCTTACTGGCCCTGTTGGCTTTGCTAACTTTGCCTCTGGCGCTTCTCTCATGGTCAACGCTACCATCCCCTTCTTCTTCAGCAACGCAACCAGGCTACCCTCTCAACCACAACCATTTGGTTTTAATATGCTACTACTGAAGGATGATAGCATAAGTGTTGCGATGTTGGACGGACCAAGTCCATCGTACGTCAAAAGCATAAGGGCCGAGATTCGAGGCCAGCAGTCATATACTGTGTCTGCTGACGTCTTTGGCTTGGCTTGGCATCTCAACCAAGAAGTTGACAATCAGCGCGACAACGATACGTGGTGGAACAACCTTTTTGAATCAAGTGATGATAATGCGCCACAGCCCATATCTCTTTACAAAGAGAAAAAGTGGTTATCGACCCTATGGCCTCAAGGTCAAGTGGACCGGTTCTTCGTCCTTCTCACACCGCATGTAGGGCCTTCGAAAGAAGATAGGAACATAAGACCTTCAAAGAAAAGGTTTCAGAAGGAGGCGCTCGAGTTCACAAGCCAACGGCTGAACTGTCACGGGAAGTGGAAGATTACAGCTAATTCAGTCAACCTTATTAAGGGTAGCTGCGCTGGAAGCTTTGTGAAAACATTCCCAGATGGTTGTAGAACTCTTCATCTGAATGATGCTAGGTACCTGCTCAGCGATTTTGTTAGTGACCTACTGACGGCCAATCTGGATGAAACAGCTCAGATAAGGTTCACGGCTGTGGTGTCTTCTCTTCTCTGGTCTAGACTGGCCGCCTTTTGTGGCATTGGCTCCTCGGTCAACGACTTGAAAGCTGGAGAGCGTGAACAGTTCGAGTATCATCGGCCTGACAAAGCTTGGAAGACTGTCACGGTACTCAAAAAATCTCCTCTTCTATCTATCGTTCTACTCGCTCAGCCTATCGTCGGCCTGATACTCCTTATCGTACGCATCGCATTTTGTTCGTCCCCTGTATCTGGGGGCTTTGGTCTCATTAGCGTGTTGGCAGGACATGTGTTTCATGAACGCGATACTCTTAGCGGTGCAGGGCTATCCGGAGATGTCAAGGAACGCATTGAGCTGGCTTTCGTCAGGGATGGTGATAGGTGCGATGACGGAGGTGAGAGGCTTCGATTCAAGCTGAGGGAAGCAAGGAATTCGATGCATCATGATCGAATGGAGCTGAAGCCTGAGGTCAACTACCACTGACGAAATAAGAGAGATTTGCAGCAGGGATTCCAGAAAGAGATTGTTTTGCGAAGTGTTGGTTTTTTTTAATGATATTTTTCTTGATTCCTTCCTCAATTCATAAGGATGCTACCCAAGTGATAGCTACGATGCCAATCAGATCATGATGATGGCTGATGTCATTATCTGATTCGGGACACTTAATCCGCTATCTAAGTCAAGCCACCTATATAATCCGATCGGATATAAGTTTCGGATATCTAATGTTAATCAAGTTTATGCTCATTTACCAGGGTCGGAAGCCGGATCAGGTTTCTCGGCGCGTAGGTCCACTTTCTGCAGGAACAGTATGAGAAACAAATCTGCACATTCATGATTTGCCACGTCGTTACGCCAGCCCCAACAAACCCCAAGCTGAAGAACCTGATAGGAAGACTAAAGGGACGATCAATAACGGTCGTGGAACTTTGCCGTACACCAATGAGGCCTCACAGGAACCAATCCGACCAATTACTTCCTCCCAACAGGTCATGACATCGGCCCAGCAACCAACCTGTTTCCAAATTCGCCTCAAACTAGTCTTCTAAAATTAACGGTGTGATCGTTTCGGCAGTCGGCTCTTCCTTTGAGTGTTTCCTCCGACGGGCCAGCGAATCAGCGGTGCCAATTGATCGAGCGATCGTCGCGACACGTTTATGCGTTAAGACCCCTGCAGAGCTGTAAACCTCTGGGCCGTTGTAACGCTACAACAGGTTTCAAGTCAATATATTGATGATATAGGTCAGGGATATCGCCATCGGAAACGTCAACGGCTTTAAATGTGGTATTCATTGGAGATTTGCTGTGAGATAATGACGTTGAGGTTATTAGTTTACTGATGATGATCTTAATGATTTATGGGATCTATAGTTTGGATTTTGTATAAATATGGGGATTGTTGGAGGATTAGTTTAGATTCTGCATCCACATCCCCAAGCTTCAGATCATTCTATCATCTACTCATTCACTCAATTCATCATGCAGTTCTCACTCGCTATCGTTACCCTCCTGGCTACTGCCGTCTCTGCCCTCCCTACTGAGGAGAAGCGCCAGGCCTATATCCCTTGCTCTGGTCTCTACGGCACTTCTCAATGCTGTGCTACTGATGTCCTTGGCGTTGCCGACCTCGACTGTGGAAACCGTAAGTAGAGCCATGTCTTGAGTGAAGCTCAATCTAACATAGCTAGCTCCCGCTGCCCCTACCGACGCCGCCGACTTCAGTGCTGTTTGCTCTGCCATTGGCCAGCGAGCTCGTTGCTGTGTTCTGCCTATCGTAAGTCTGATCAATCCATTCAGTTAACTGATTACTGACCATCACAGCTTGACCAAGGCATCCTCTGCAACACCCCCACTGGTGTCCAGGACTAAGGGATGATGGGTCCTCCCTTTCTAATTCTACTACGCGAACACGAGACAGATGGATTATGTTATGACTAGTGTTTGGGGGTGACTAAATCGTTTCCTTTTGTATTATGTTCATACATACTTAGTGTATCAAAATTAACTGAAACTACCTTTGTTTTGTCTCGTGGCCTCATTGGCTCGTGAACTCAGAGATTACTGCTGCGAGGCTATTGGCTTTTAACTGATCCCTCCCCAGTATTGGAGGAGCTGGTAAGTTATATCTTTGACTTGTACTCCCTGTTCTCCACCTGCACAATCTCCAAATCAACCCTACTATCACCTCCAGGCCAAGTCTTGACAAGTCCTTCCTCTGCCTCTCCAAATACAGGATCCCTCTTCGGCTTCGGGACACTCCATGACTTGCCATAGTCTCCTCCGCTCTTCACAAAATCCCATTCGCCGCCGTTATAAGCCCCCATCATAGTATATCCATCCAGCTTAATCTCAGACAGCGCCTTCTTCGGGTCATCTGCCTCGATGCCATGTCCAATACCCGGCGACAGCAGCTTGAACTCAGCTGCAGGTTTGGTATTGTGAGTCTTGTGCGCTACACCAGCTGGAATGACAAAGACGTCTCCTGCCTCAGCTTCCAACACAATCCCGCCTTTTTCCCACGCTGATCCGTATGTATTCTCATCGAGATCCTCCGATGTATCACCGACGCCAAAGCGGATCGTTGCTGTACCTGAGAGAACAGCCATGCACTCGTGAGCCTCAGAGTGAAAATGTGACAGTTGTGTATTTGGGTATCGGAATATCCATTGGACGTCCCATCCGTTCTTGGTAAAGACCTCCCAGACCTTGGCGGGGTCACACGTGGAGCTACCAGGGCGCTTGGCTAAGACATTCTTGTAGTGTAGAAGCGGTCTTGGTGAGTTCGGAACAAGGTCCGTTGGCAGGAGATGATATTGCTTGACTTCGAACATGATTATTGAGTATATGGAGTGTTTCAGGAACAGGGCTACCCCGCGGTCTTATTTTTATTATAGCTTGTTATAAGGTTTGGTCGGTAGTCTATCCGAGTCGGAAGTGGATGCCGACCGAGATATCTCCGGATGGGATTTCCGGGATGAATCCGCAACTAGACAGACTGAGATAAGGCAAGCAGCCAGGCCGTAGGCGAATAGGCATCAAGTGTGAAAAGCAATCTATTGCAAAAATAATCTATATGAAACCTTCAAACTGACAATATCAAAACATAATCAGACCTGCCAACCCAAACGATAACAGCACTAGTCAAAGTGAATTCTCCATAGTTCACGATCAACGCCCGCAGTGAAATCACTCCTGGTATGCATCATCAAGATGTTATCGCTGACCAGAATATCACCCTTATCCCAAGCATAGTACAACGCAACCCGACGATCATAGAGCACCAAGTCAATAGCTTCACAGACAGCAGCACTCTCAGTAGGCTCAAGTCCGTCAATTGTGACATCCGAAGCATCAAATCGTGTCTTAGATTGGGGCCAAGGCTCATGGTATCGAAGACAAGGCTTGCCGGTCGTAGGATGATCGATAGCTAGAGGTAGACCTCTCAAGACTGTGTTGTCGAATGCTGATGTTGATACGCTCCATGTGAGCTTGGGAATGTCCTTCTTGAGCCACGATGGGAGGTATTTGAAGAATAGTGTTGACGATGAGAAAATAGTAAAGCCGGTATCTCTTGGTGAGGAGGTGGCGCCCTGAAAGAGTTGGAACCTAGTCGAGGTCAGTCGCTGAATATTCTTAATGGAAACTGTACTTACTGGGGAGGAGTTGAAACCATCTTCTCATTTCCATTCTCATCAGTCTGCTTGACGACCTTGAACAGACCATCATAGTGGAATGGCATAGGCTCTGCCGAAAGGACATTATTCAGACCCCGAGCATCCTGTCCTCGATCCTTGACCTCGAGCAACAGGCCAAACTTCCAGGGCAGTGGGGTTCCGAATCGGTGGCTGAAATCAATGAAGCGGTCGCGGTTAGGCTTCTTGACAAACCTCTTCAGAACAACAGGTGAGTTGATCTCTGAAAGAGCACGGACTTTCTTAGTGTCGATGTCGTCGAGTGTCAAGGAGCCAGCTCCATTGGCAGGGCGAATTATCAGGCCAGCGGGGTACATAGGGTCGACGACGATGCCGCCTTTGTCCTCTGCCCATGATAGTAGTGGTGACTTTTCTCGGTAATGCGAAGGTCTTCCGTTGTCGTATACCAGTTCGAGACTCTCGTCGTTGTCAAACTCAGATCGCATACCTGTTCTGATGGTGCCATCCAGTCTATAAGCCACGCTACAGTGCCAGGGCGTGGTGTAGAGTTGCTCGGTTGGCAAGAGACTTATAGAAAGCTTCACAGCACCAGTTGAGGGATGGATTGATAGACGAACATGATCAGGGTACTTTTGTCGAACAGCATTGGCGAAGGCCTGCAACGTCAGTATGAAAAACAATCACAAGACATCTATATACTTACATCTCCACGAGCCATCATCTGCTTCGCAATATACTCAATTCCTCTCTTATACTTTGACTTGCTGCGGTTCTCGTCAACCGGATAAACTGTTTCCAGGTCTGTTTGAAGAAACTTGATATATCCACGATAAGTCATGCACTGGTCATCCAGTTGACGGACTTCATCCCAACTCCATCCAGGCTTGCTGAAGGTGTTGAGAAGCGCACGTCGAAAGTTCGATGCGTTGGCAACATAAGTCATCTCCTCGAGATCCTTCGGCAGATCGATCTCAACGAGGTCGCGAAGTCGTGCAAAGGAGATGTTGTGGAATTCTTTCTCTGCTGCCATGGAGCGCAGAATCTCGCCGTATGCCCAGACATCTCTATCTGGAACACCAAGCAGGTCTATCGTCGTTAGCTGAGTTTCTTTGGAAATATCACTAAGCGAAACCTACCATTGTATACTAATCCATCGGAGATGATCGTGAGCTTAGCACCTGGCGCATATACATCACCAATGGCGTTGCAAAGTCCATTTAAGTGAGCGAGGGCAATCTCCTCTCCCTTATCGGGAAGTTTTCCCAACGTCTTTGATACCGAGTTTGGCGACTTGAAAGGGAAGGCTGGTAGGCACATAGGGACTGGCTTGCCAGCCTTGACGTGCGTGTAGATAAGAGCGATGAACTTGAGAGTTGACTCATCGGACTGTGAGTAAAGGTTTTCGTCTTGCTTCATTCGATATCTTCCGATTATATCAAGTATCTTACTTGATGTCTCAAGGGCAGCCCTATCGACAGCGGTATTCAACGGCTCAGCAGAGACATTGCGATCAACAGCCCCGAAAGGGAAAGGGATCACAGGACGAAGACTGGATACAGCCATGGTGAAATGAAAGGGTAGTAATCTCTGAATCTCTGATAAGTGTTTGTTTGTATGAAATGAGAGTGACTGTTGAGCTTGATGAGATGAATGATATGCCAGGGAGATAAGAGGATATAAATCTTGCAGTTTCCTATCTGCTATCAACATGTGAACTACAAGTTACATACTCCAACTCATCCATAGTCCCATTTTCGTTTTACTAAGACAATTTGCGAAAAACACCGAGTCGTCTCAGCAGTGGGCCATCGGACAACCATCCAATTGCGTGGCAAAACAATTACCCTCGTCACATATCGCCCAATCCGAAGAAAAAAGGCATGACACAAAATGGCTTCATCAGGAAGCTCATAAAATTGTGACGGCCAACCTCTAAGTCCCCCCTGTCAGCTTGCACGGATGTGAAATCCTAGAGTAGAAGGTATCAATCTGGAAGCCAAGCCACACTCTTCGTCATTGTATTTCCGTATTGATGAGTTGCTGGGGCTAAAAACTTGGACCTTCGCATGCATGGGGGGAACGGTCCGTGGTGATGATCGGCATCCCGCGCGGCTATCCCGTTCGGCTATATCCCACCCGGCCAAAGTTTAGAGTTCCCCGGCGTTGAAATGATTCTTCGGGCCTTTGGGATGGTGTAACAGAAGCTCGGATATGGTTATTCAGATGAGACGTTGTGGATTTTTTTATCCTTGACTTGCTGAGGTGGTTTGACGATGCCGAGATAGGTAGGTCGATGGAGAGGCTCGTGTAAGAGGACTTTGGTGATTTATCTTGGCCTTTCCCGCCAATTACATAGAACTGTAGTATTGAGAACTCCAAAAGTTAGACTTTCAACTAAACTTCTTCACATTCACTCAGAATCATGGAGCAAGTTGATGTTACTATTGTTGGTGGCGGTCCTACAGGACTCTTTGTTGCCCTTCTTCTTCAGCCATTGGGTATCTCAGTCCGAGTCCTGGGTAAATTACAAGACCGTCTGAGTTGACTGAGAAGCAAATCTAACAGCGGTATAGATGAGAAGCCTTGTAGCTTGGAGCTTGGTCGTGCCGATGCGCTCAACGCTCGAACTCAACAATACTTCGAGGTTGCTGGCATCCTCGATGAGCTTCTACCTGACGGTCTCAAATGCAACAGTAAGCAGAATCAAAATGTCTGAAGACATAGTCTAACAATACCAGCGAGCTCTACTTTCAAAGCAGGAGATTTCAAGTCTCGTCAGAACGCTTGGTGGGTTGGCATCGAGCATGCCTTCCACAAGAACTTCCTCATGATCGGACAACCTGTCGTTGAACAGGTGATGCGCGCTCGTCTGGGTGATGCAGTTAGTTACAACGAGCACGTTATCAGCATCACTGAAGATGAAGACTCTGTCACCGTCATGACTAGTTCAGGTCGAAAGGTCCACAGCAAATATGCTGTTGGCGCTGACAGTGCACGATCTTTTGTCAGAAACACGCTGGGTATCAGTTTCACAGGTACCAAGCCCGAGATGACTTGGGCAGTTCTTGATACCTTTTTGGATACTGACTTCCCTGTCTGTCCTGAGATTATCACGTTCGAGCTTGATGGAGAATCCCGAGTTGCGTGGATTCCAAGAGAGCGAGGAATGTCTCGATTCTACGTTCTTCTCAAGGGCGAGATTACACAGCAGCTGGCTGAGGAGTCTATCAAAGAGCATCTTGCTCCTTATCGAGTGGAGTTTACAAAGACGGAATGGTTCAGCACATTCCATGGTATGTCTCTCATGCAGGTGTTACAGTCCCCATACTAACCGCAATTCAGTCAAGGAACGACTTGCTGGTACCTTCATCTCCAAGGAAGGCCACGGAAGAATCATCCTCGCCGGAGACGCTGCTCACGTTCATTCCGTCAACGGCGGCCAAGGCTTAAACACGGGTGTCTCCGATGCCTTCGCCCTAGCCTGGCGTCTCTCCGCCCTCGCACGCCCATCCAACCTTACCACCGAGGCAAGAGACGATATTCTACGCAGCTACGACATCGAGCGGAGATCCACAGCCGCTCAAGTCATCGGCGTAGCTGCAGCACTAGTCAGGGACACCATACACACAGCCAAGAAATACGTCTCCACAATCGAACGAAATGCCGGCTTCATCACAGGTACGTTCACCACCAGAGTTACATATCACCCAACTAACGTAAGCAAGGCATGGGCGTCAACTACAGCGAGTTCGCCACTCCACTTATTCAGGGCACAGAAGTTGGTATCTGGAAACCCGGATATCGCTGTCCCGATGTAGTGATAACTGAATCTTCCGGACAAGCTTCGCGACTCTATGAAAACGTCTCATATGGAGACTTTATCGTTTTGGCTATCGGAAGACGAGTTTCGGCGGACTCCGTGCCGGCTCCCGTTTATACCATTCTGCCCAATGGGTCGACTAATGGCCATGCTGAGTGTCACCAAAACAGGGATAGCGACAAGGACTTCACTGCCGATTGGGTCAGGAATGAGGACTCGGCTGTTGTGATTGTTCGACCGGATATGTATGTCGGATATGTTGGCACATTCGAGGACGAGAATTGGAAAGGATACTTAGACTCTTACTTTGTAAAGTCTCGATAAGATGTAGGGTAGATCTAGACTAGGTTGTAGATTATTTATTTTTTTGTTTAATAGACTATGCTTTGCTCTGCACCACGCTCAATTCTGTTTACAATTTGTGACTTTGATGAAGGTATCCTGTTCATTGACTTTCCTGTCCTTATATTCAATTCTTTCTTGAATAGCATATCGGACTTTGAAATGTTTGTTCCTAGATCTTGGTCTATTGCCTATTGTGATTGATCTTCCGACCTTCAAAAAACCTTTGTTGAAGCCCCCAGCACCTTCACCACTAAATTCACTATCTCGGTACAAGATCTACGCTCATATCCTACTTGCAAGGTCCCATCGTAAGGAAATACCACTTTTGGCAATGCATGCATCATGCCATGCCGGCACTAATCCCACATGAACTCAATCATGCCTGCTTCGCCGCATCACCGCCTTAGTCGCGGTTTTCCCCGGGTTGCTTAATCGAAAGCAGGGTAAAGAAGAAAAAAGTCTACCTACCACCTTCCTAGCTAGGCAGCCCTCGGATGTTTCACCAACATGGAAGAATGACATGCGAAAATTATGCAAAGGTTCCATTCAGAGTGGCCAAGAATTTCGTCGTCAAAACGCGGTTTTGATAAGTGGGATAATTTCATGTGATTATTACAAATTCGGTTTATGGAGATAGTACGCGTTCAAAAGTGGCACAGACAATTTGCATTGCGCCTTGATCTGCTGATGTTGAGTTTTATCTTTTTTATCGAGATCCACTGTGGGGAGAAGGGCAGTGGTCCATCACCATATTAGGAAAATGGGAAACGTCCCAGATTGGGTTATCCTAGCAAACAAATTGTCAGAGAAATAGAGATTGATAAGCATGGCGGTTGTATCTCGGCCTATCTTCCCTTCAATTAGGTATGCTGTTCACCTTGTAAGTCAAGGAGATTCATCAATGATTTCCATCAGCAATGGACACTACGAAAAACACAGCCGATGATAACCCTCTCGTCGAAAGCAGTTTTTCGGTCGATGATGCAGCACCAAAGCCTGTTCCAAATGGCGGTTTGCTCGCGTGGCTGCAAGTCGCGGGCTCGTTCTGCCTCTACTTTTGCACTTGGGGTAAGTAATATCGCCAATAGAGGCTATCCAGAATATTGACGACTTGTAGGGCTGATCGCGAGCTTTGGGAGCTTCCAAACCATCTATGAACGCGACCAGTTGTCGAGTCATACACCCTTTCAGATCTCCGTCATTGGCTCTTTTCAGACCTTTTTGATGGTGTTCTCAGGCTTCATAGTTGGCCCGATCTATGACTCTGGTTACTTCCGACACCTTCTGGCAGTTGGATCTACCTTTATTGTCATCGGCACGGTACTTCAAAGCCTCAGTCAAAGGTACTGGCAGTACCTCCTCACTCAAGGTCTTATGATTGGTATTGGCGCGGGCTGCCTATCCATCTTGAGTGTTGCTATTACTTCAATATGGTTTACTACAAAGCTCCCCTTGGTCAATGGACTTGCAGCTTGCGGTAGTGGACTCGGAGGGTAAGTCAGGAAAATTAGCCCATGTTGGTATCTTCCTGACCTCATTCTAGTGTTCTACTCCCCATCATGATACGGGAAATCAATGCGCAGACAAGCCTGCCATGGGCGACTAGGTCTATGGCTTTGTTGCTGTTGGTTCTACTCCTGTTCTCCAACATCGTGCTTCGACCGGGGCCCAACTCCAGCGGACCAGCTCAGCGCAGGCAGCTTCTTGACAATACAGCTTTCACCGACTGGCCCTACGTCCTTTTCGTCGCAGGGTGTTTCTCTGTTTTCTTGGGCATGTACACGCCTTTTGTTTACGTCCAAAGTTACGCCTTAGACAACAACATTGCGTCGACCGATCTTGCAGGTAATCTGCTTGCGATTCTCAACAGCAGCTCCATCTTTGGACGTATCCTGCCAGCTTTCCTCGCTCAGAGTCTCGGACCTATGAACACAATTATCAGTGCAGCAGTCTTACTCGCCACAACAAGCTTGTGTCTCATCTCAGCAACTACAACTCCACGATTGCTTGTTACAGTCATAAGCCAAGGCTTCTTTACGGGGTCCTTCTTCGCGCTACAACCGACCATTTTCGTCAGACTAACTAGTGACCCTCGAAGAATCGGGACAAGATTCGGTATGGCTTTCTCCGTCATGTCTGTCGCACTGCTATTCGGTCCGCCTGTTGGAGGGGCTTTGCGAAGGAGTATGGGGTATACGGCGGCTTGGGTCTGGGCTGGGCTGACTGTTTTCGTCGGCGGCATTTTGATCTTTTGCAGTAGATTGCTGAAAGATAGAAAGTCTTTGATCGTATGATTGATAGAATCAGAACAGTATGGGTGGACTTCACGAGCATAAGCTGTTCAAAGCAAACGTAATAGAAAGAATAAGTTGTGATATACGGATGATGGCGTTTCCATAGCATACTAGTCAATTCAGAAATCTTTCTAAAATACCCGAGATCCTCCAAACCAAGTCTCCTTCACCTCAGCCTTGAGTAACGTCTTAGGATCCCATTCCATATCAACGACAATAAAGTCAGCCAGTTTCCCAGGTGTCAAGCTTCCAACACGATCTTCAGCAAAAACACTCTGAGCTGCACCTTCTGTAGCCGCCACAAACGTCTCACACAAACCTAGCCTAAAGTGCTCGTGTACTATCTTAGGGTTCTCTGGGTTCTTGGAGGATTGCCTGTTGATAGCGACATGGAAATTATGCATAGGTGACCATGGTGATGTAGGGCTATCGGTACCAATCGCCATCAGGGCACCTGCATCGGCAAACTCTCGGTATGCAAACGCTCGTTCATATCTATCCTCTCCAATGAGTTCAGTCCACATGGTCAACGCCGTAGGATCTGCGTGGATGGGCTGGATGGATGCTGTTAGTCCAAGCTTTCCAAGCCTCTTAGCGTCTTCTGGGGAAACGAGTTCCAAGTGCTCGATTCTATGCCTTCGGCCTGGTGTGGCGTGTTTCTCAATAGCATCAATGGCCATTCTCACAGCGCCATCGCCAATAGCATGCAAGGCAACCTGCAAGCCACCAGCGTCAGCCTCTTTGACAACGGGTTCGAGGAACTCAGGTTCCCAGATTGGCGGTGGGCTTCCAGTAGTGGTATACGGCTCAGACAGGTAGGCAGTACATGCGTCGATAATACCATCAGTAATGACCTTGATTCCGACAAGTCGAAGATCAGGACTTGATGTCGAGTTGTACTGCTTGCTCAACTCGATAGCACGCTGCACTTGTTTCGAGATTTTTTCAAGGTCAGCGGTCGGTTTAATGAGCCAGTATGCTGCCAGTCGTAGTGGTAGATTGGGTTCTGTTTCTTTTAGTGTTACGAGAGCGTCCCATGCTTCTTCATCCATGGCCATTTCGACTGCGCCGGTGTAGCCAGCTGCGTTGTACTCTTCTACGGCCGCACGAATTGCCTCTATTCGTTCATGCTTGGGGGATGACTTTGCTTGGAAAGGCCAAACTTTTCAGTTCAGTCAGCTGTTTGTCTGGAAGTGATTAGGTTCTGGACTGCACTCACTGATGGACATCATGGCGCCTTCGTCTAAAAGACCAGATGGCTTTCCATCCGCATCACGATAAATCTTGCCACCAGCCGGATCCGGCATATCATCAACCTCAAGCTCCTTCAGGGCCGCGGTGTTGCACCAGCAAGAGTGTAACGAGCCGGCATCGACGAAAATCGGTCGAAGATCAAGATCATCCAGCATCGCGGCTGTAACTCCACCGGGCGTCATGTAATGTCTCCATCCTTTGCAAAGAATAGTTGTTGTCTCTGGGTTTTCAGCAGCGTATTTCCTGATACATGATCGGATGTCCTCAAGTGAAGTGCATCGCGATAGGTCAAGCTTTCGGAGTGATTGGCCGAGGAGGAGAAGATGCATATGGCCATCGATGAAGCTGGGAAGAACAACACGCTGATCAAGATCGCGGATCTGGATGTCTGCGTCTTGGCTTTGGGAGATCTCACTACGAGACCCAACCGCGACGATCTTGTCGTCTTGAACGAGCATGCAGTCAGAGAAGTGGGCGTTGCCGTTAAGGCCCGTCTCTGTCTTGGACAGAATCCGGCCGTTGACAAATAATGTTTTGGCCATTGTTGGGTAGTAAAAGACTGGTGATGAAATGTTGGAAGATATGGAAGGCCTGAGAGGTTCGAAGAAACGAAAGATCTCTCTGAGATCGACTTTTATAGTACTCACTCGTCTGACTCTAACTTACCCCATCTGAATTCCGAGCTTCCTTCCCAGTGTGTGTTTCTCAGGGATCCATAATAAAGTCTTTGGCGCAAATGATTGCCCAATTAGCATTCTCAGTACCGATTCCGCTACTTGTTCCCCGCTCGGGCCCTTGGAGAGAGGTAAAGGAGGAAACAAAAAGGTAGCTAACTGTACTTAATACATTGAGAGGTCTATAAGGCAAATAAGCTTGGGGATCAATTTGTATTCAAACTACTTATATAATACAGTGCGGGGAAAAGATGACAAAAGAGAGAAAGTAAGAGAGTGATGGGTTTAACCGCCACTTCCGAATGCAGGGTAAGAAGGTGTACTAGAATCACAAGCAAACCTAACAAAGTATTTGCTTGAAGATCCAGAGCCATCAACGATAACAGTACCGTCTGGAGCTGTGACTGTAATGATCATAGAATAATCTCCCTGTGCATTGGCCCAGAAAACCCGGAATGGCGTATAAGTGCCCGCTGTCAGCTGGATCTTAAAGGTTTGGGCGCTGGAAGGCCCCCACGAGAAGTTTTGCGCCAGATCTGCACTAGACCGTGCTTTCGACCATGCTGATAAAGCCTTGCTACCAAACCAAACCAGTGTGACCTCGTCAGAGTACGGTACAACAACAGAGTAAGTACCATTGATTGGCGCATATAAGTAAGCCCGGTGGTTAACAGCCTTATACTGCCATGTTTGACTTGGTGCGCCAGGATAAATAACCTGGGCGGGGCCGGAGTTTCCTGATTTCACGCCGCCTGGTTCTGTGATACCAATTGAATGCGTGATACCAGTGTAAGTCGGCGAGGCTGTTGCAAAATAGGATATGTTGAGGGAGGAGTAGTTCGGTGCATCAGCGTTGTAGAACGAGTTAGTGTAGATAGCGTATTCCAAACCACCGTTGTCGCATGTTTGATCTGCAGCCTTTGTACCAACTGCGGGCGCGACGACCACCACAGTAGCTGTCTGTCCAGCGGAGGCCGGAGTCCCAGTGGACGTGCTCATGGTTGATACAGTGGTATAATAGTTAGTTACAGTGGTGTATGGCTGGGGATTTTGCATAACAACTGTAGCAACGCCGCCAGGGGAGGTTGGCGATATGGTGGTACTACTAGTTGTTGAGAAAGTACCCCAACTTGTGACGGTCGTATAGGACTGGGGTTGCTGAACAACGACAGTTGCAGTGCCACCCGGAGAACCTGGCGAATAGGTTGTGGTGCTAGCTGCTGAGAAGGCTCCCCAGGTCGTGGTAGTTGTATAAGGCTGAGGGTTTTGAACAACCACAGTACCAGTGCCACCTGGAGAGTTTGGCGGATAGGTAGTGGTGCTGGCTGTTAAGAATGCACCGTAAGTTGTTACGGTTGTATAGGGCTGAGGGTTTTGAACAACAACAGTTGCAGTGCCACCCTGAGAGATTGGTGAATAGGTAGTGGTACCAACTGTTGAGAAGGCACCCCAGCTTGTGACGGTTGTGTAAGCCTGGGGCTCTTGAACAACGACAGTGGCTACAGCACCTTGGTATGCTGGTGCCATTGTAGTAGTTCTTTCTGCTGTAAAGCTGCCATAGCTTGTCACGGTTGTATATGACTGGGGTATTCCTACGACAACAGTATTAACATCACCTGGAGATGCCGGTGCCAAGGTGTTTGTCACAGCTGCTGTATAGGAACCATAACTGGTTACAGTGGTGTACCGCTTGGGACTTTCTACAACAACAGTGGCAGAATCTCCAGGATTAGCCGGCTGCTTTGTCGTAGTTACAGGTGCAGTCAGACCATCAACATAGGTCGTGACGGTTGTGTATCCCTGAGGATTCTCTACAACGACAGTGGCCACGCCTCCAGGCCCAGTAGGTGGTAGCGTTGTAGTAGTAGGTGCAGTCCAAGCACCATAAGAAGTCACAGTCGTATACAGCTGGGGACTCTCAACGACAACGGTGGCAGGGTCCCCAGGTTGAGCCGGTAGATTGGTCGTAGTCAAAGGTGCAGTCAGACTGTCAACATATGTTGTGACGGTTGTGTATGCCTGGGGACTCTCGACTACGACAGTAGCAGGATCACCAGGATTTGCCGGCCGGTTTGTCGTTGTCAGGGGCGCAGTAAGGCTGTCAATATATGTTGTGACGGTTATATATGCCTGAGGGCTTTCAATAACAACAGTGGCTGGATCCCCCGGGTTGGAGGGCCGTTTTGTCGTAGTTAAAGGTGCAGTTATGCTGTCAACATATGTTGTCACGGTTATGTATTCCTGAGGGCTCTCAATCACAACAGTGACAGGATCGCCGGGACTGGCCGGCCGTTTCGTTGTTGTTAGAGGCGCTGTCAGACTGTCAACGTATGTTGTGATGGTTGTGTATGCCTGAGGGTCCTCAATCAAAACAGTAACAGGATCCCCTGGATTTGCTGGTTGGTATGTCGTAGTCACAGGTGCAGTTAGACTGTCAACATAGGTTGTAATGGTTGTATATGGCTGCGGAAGATTGACGATCACAGTCATCACATCGTCTGGATTATCTACCGGTAAGGTTGTAGATGCCGGGCCCGCGAGGCCTGGAATGTAGCTTGTGAGTGTCGTGTAGGACTGAGGCAGGTCAACCTCGACAGTAGCAAATTTTGCTTGAACGTCGAATGGGTATGTTGTAGTCGCAGCAGTAGTCATACCATCTTTGTGCCTGGTGACGGTTGTGTAAGGCAGCGGAAGATCAACTTCTACAGTGCCGACCTGCCCTGGAACAGAGGGTGGATATGTCACAGTGTTGGCTGCGGTGAAAGAGCCATAGCTGGTGACTGTAGTGTAAGGCTGAGGTAGATCAACCACGACTGTGAGAGTCGGGTTGGGTCCAATACTGTTGCCGTCTTCAGTTGTCGTCGTAGCAGCTGTGACCCTTCCATATCTGGTAGTCGTCACGTACATCTGTGGATCAAAGACCACGACAGTGCCCGTTTGACCTGGGCTCGTTGGCGTGATAGTAGTTGTAGATTCAGCCGTCACGCCCCCGTACGAAGTAACCGTCGTATATGGCTGTTGCATCAAAACCATAACGATACCTGTCTGTCCAGGAGCAGGGGGAGGCGAAGTATATGTGGTCTCGGTCGAGACGTCGCCATACGAAGTAAAGGTCGAATATGGCTGGGGACTGAAGACCACCACGGTACCTGTTTGACCTGGGGTAGATGGAGAGATTGTAGTTGTAGACGCAGCGGTGAACTGTCCAAAAGAAGTGGTGGTCACCCACTGATCAGGCTGATACACAATAACAGTGCCCGTAGCATCGGGATCAGTTGGAGTTATGGTAGATGTAGATGCGGCGGTGAATTCTCCATAAGATGTGACGGTGGTCCAGTGATTGGGCTGGTATATAATAACCGTGCCCGTTGCACCTGGAGCAGTCGGAGATATTGTAGATGTAGATGCAGCTGTGTATTCCCCATGAGACGTGACGGTCGTCCAGTGGTCAGGCTGGTACACAATAACAGTGCCTGTTGCCTCTGGAGCAGTTGCAGATATGGTAGATGTAGAAGCAGCTGTGAACTCCCCGTAAGACGTAACTGTCGTCCACTGATATGGCTCATATACCATGACAGTGACTGTCTCTGCTTCAGAAGATGGTGACATGGTGGTCGTGGATGCGACTGTAGCCGATGGGTCGTAAGAGGTGATGGTTTTCAACTGTTGTGGCCTGTAAATAATAACGTTGCCTGTTGCGCCTGGAGCAGTTGGATACATAGTGGTGGTTGATGCCGCCGTGACACTTCCATAGGAAGTAAATGTGAACCATGGATCTGGCTGGTATATCAGGACGGTACCCGTCTGATCTGGAGAGCTCGGGGATATTGTCTGAGTAGATGCGGCTGTGATTGTTGCGTCATATGTGCTGACTGTCACCCACTTATATGCTCTATACACGACTACCGTGCCTGTATGATCAGACGCAGAAGGCCACATAGAGGTTGTTGAGTCAGATGAAACTGCATCATCATAAGAGGTGGTGGTCACCCAATCGTATGGATCATAGACAATAACCGTGCCAGTGGCGCCAGGAGCACTGGGAGTCATTGTACTTGTGACTATAGCTGTAAGCGAGCCATCGTAGGATGTCACGGTAACATAACGAGCTATCGGGCTCGGTACCACAATCACCACTGTACCAAGACCAGGTCCTGACGGGGTCTCGGTGATAGTGTAGGTACCGGTCTCGGTGCCGGTGCCGGTGCTGGTGATGGTGGTATAGTCAATTGGAGCATCCGAGGTCATTTGAGATCTGGCCGCCATGACCCAAACGGTGCCAATCTCACCGGGTCTAGTTGGAGATTGCGTGGTGGTCATAGCATCAGTACCAGTTCCTTGAGTGGTTATTGTAGTCCACGGCACTGCAGGATCTGAAGAAATGGCGGAGCCACCTTGAGAAACGGCAGAACTTTCTGGAGAAGAACTGTCGGTATCTGAAGGAGCTAAAGCCAAGACCGGAGCTTGGGACAGAGGAGCATTTGTATCGTTTTTCCTGTAACCTTGCATTCTGACGATCACGGTTACTATGTCGCATGCATTTTGGGTAGGCAGAGTGGTTGTCTCAGGCTCAGATATAATACGATCAGTCGACGTTAATATGGTCACATGGCTCTCGACCATGATAGTTCCACAGGATGGATTCTGAGAGTCCAAGAGGGGAATGTTGTATGTAGTGTTGGGTTCACCATGTCCATAAACGGGGAAAGTGGCAGTGTACGTAGCATCGGTTCGGATGAGAAATGTGCTACAGGCATTAGCTAAAGAAAGCCAGTGAGAAACCCCTAGATCTCATACCTTGTCAGAGTGTCATACTGCGTAGATGATCCGTCAATGATCTCAATGGGCTGCGTCTTGACGTCCCGTGGTTCCAGCTTTGCATCGGATACCGTGCCTAAGAAGGCCAGGGCCCAAAAGAGCATCATGCGCCGAAGCGACATGATGAAGGAGGGTAGAGAAAAAAGAAAAGAGTATCAATTGGGTATACTGACGAAGTTTAATGAATGATTAGCCGATCAACTGACAAGACAATGTAAATGAATGAGCCAGAGAGCGTTCGGAGAAAGTACGAGACTTGAGAGTGACATACAGTCTTTATCATGAGCTACTACCAGCAGAACTTACTTTCTTTTACGTCATGTGCCTTGATCGACGGCATGGATGCGGGAAACTTTCAGTAGGCTATTATTTAGTGCGATTTCGGTGCTTACAAAAAGATTCGAGACCGTGTTCAGTGTCCGACCCGGTCGCAGTTGAGGCTTGTGGCTGAGAGCCTCTGTCACCGCATTGAACTTGCTAACATGAGTGCTGAGCAACCTGGCTTTCGGCTAGCTCGGCAATGTCTTTACCGCAGTAAGAAATGAAATGATTTTACTACAATTTGGGTTAGTAAGTTCTGCACGTCTTTTGTTTGGCCGGCCTCTGTAGTGATGCAGATGGAATGCTGAGTTCTCTGTGGTGATCTAAGCTCTCAGCCACAAGTCTCAATTGCAATCAACACATCTAAGGAATGCAATATCAATCAGTGGGAGTCTACTTTGTGTCCATTTGAGGAGAGCCTTTCTAAGTGTTTTTTTAGATACGTAATTGGCATAAGGGAAAGAGGTCTGGGCTCTTTTGGTGGCATTTCTAGCTTAGAATGCTCAAGTCTGCCTCGACACTAGAAGGGCCAGCTTTTACCTATACATTAACTTGATTTAAGTCTGGTAATATCTGTATAGGGAGCATCTCTCCTCTATCGTTTTAGTTTATCTAGACTTGATCAGCAAGTAAACAACATCCAAGACATGTCTCCCGACCATTGGATCTGCACAGTACGGAAGCGATCAAGCCACTTAAGCTAAAGAGAAACAAGTAACACGCTAGCCGGAGCGAAGCCGAGAAGCTAGACCAACACCGGGGAAATCCAGGGGCCGCACCGAGTAAGAACTTACTTCCGGCATGGGTAGTAGCTCCTTTGGTCCTCGCGTGATACTAAGGTTGTAAGTTCATACTAGCCATGTTTCGCCCGACGCCATCAGATCTGATTTGCATTGCTCTGTGAAACCTTATCCTCGATCTCGACCAAGCCTCGTAATGAACTGTGAGATTTGAATATACTATACTGAAATGAAAAGGTAGCTAATATCCAATTCGCATTCTCAGCACTACTTCGGCTCGGCTATTAGTGCCCCCGCTTAGTCTCCGAAACGAATTCCCATTGTTCACCATTTCCGAGCACGTCTGATCTTGTCCTCTTGATGCGGAATTAAAGTTGCAGGTTATTAGTAACAGATTCCTCAATACGGAGAGGGTGGAGATAATTTTTATCCAAGATATCAGGTAGTTGATAGACGGTGAATAAGATAGAGTGTTCTGGTCTGATTTACGAATGCATTGACAAATTCATATCTATACAGTTGAGTATGCGATGCATCTCATATACAAGGCAGAATCAACAGCTCGCTTCGAGTATCCATCATGCCGGATATTCGTTCAAACCGCGCCCTACAGCTACAAGCACCCACTAACCATCCCGCCCTTCATATCATAGCTCGCTAAGCACTGGGTCGGAAAGCGATGGTTTACGGGCCCAGAATTGGTCGGTCGATAACCCACTCAAACTCGGAATTAGTCGAACCGGGAATTCGCCAACCAATCATTGCGCTTGGCAATTCCCAAATGTACTGACGATATGATCGGAAAACTCTTATCGCGTGGAGTTCATGCTCGTTGACACTCTTCCCCACGGGGTTATCGGTCCATGGGATTGGATGCCCAGTACGAGCTTGCCTTGTCGGGGATATATAGACTTCATCCTCCCCATAGCAATGAACTTCTTCAACCTTCTCTTTCCATCAAACAAGTCCCCTTGGTTCTTTCATAATGAGTCATCTCAAAGCTACAAACGACTCCGACGTTATCGTTGCGGCCGAAAAACAAGATGGCATCCACCGTCAAGCATCCTTCAGCGAAGCTACAGCCTAGATGTTCCAAACCGACCTTGAAAAAGAAAAGACCATCCAAGGCACAGCCCACTTCCATCGCCTAGGTTGGAAGCGCCTTACCGTCGTCCTCATCGTCCAAGCCATTGCCCTCGGTAGTCTAAGTCTCCATGGAGCTTTCGCTACCCTCGGAATGGTCGCTGGCGTTATATTGTGCATTGGAATCGGCTTGATCGCTATGTATGCTAGTTACATGGTTGGTCTTGTCAAGCTGCAGTACCCTGACATCGATCATTATGTCGATGCTGGTCGGCTTTTGATGGGAGGCTTTGGAGATAAGCTCTTCGCTGTTGTTTTCTTGGGGCTGCTGATCTTGGCTACTGGCTCTCACTGCTTGACCGGCACCATTGCCCTTGTCAAGATCACGGGAAGCAGCGTATGTACCCTCGCCTTTGGGGTCATCTCTGCTGTCATCCTTATGGTGCTCGCTATTCCACCTTCGTTTACTGAGATTGCGATCCTCGGTTACATCGACTTTATCTCTATCATCCTTGCGATCGGTTTCACCATGATCGCCACTGGGATTCAGCGGTCAGACGCCCCAGGTGGCTTCTCATCTTCGACTTGGTCAGCGTGGCCGCAAGACGACCTCAGCTTCACCCAGGCACTTACAGCGGTATCCAATATCGTCTTCTCGTATGCATTCGCTGCAGCCCAATTCTCCTTCATGTCCGAAATGCATACCCCAGCCGACTTCACCAAATCCATCGTCACTCTAGGCCTTACAGAAATCGTTCTGTACACAATCACGGGATCAGTCATCTATGCCTTGGTTGGTCAGGAAGTTCAGTCCCCGGCCTTGTTATCCGCCAGCCCATTGGTGTCAAAAGTCGCGTTCGGCATTGCCTTACCCGTCATCTACATCTCAGGATCTATCAACGCCACGGTTGCTTGCAGATTTATCCACGGTCGACTTTACAAGAACACTATTACACGGTTCATCAATACCCGCAAGGGCTGGATCACTTGGTTGGCATTCGTTGCCTTTGTAATCTTCCTTTCGTGGGTTATCGCATAAGCCATCCCATTTTTCTCCGAGCTTCTCGGCATCTGTGCTGCCCTCTTCATTTCGGGCTTCTCCCTCCCATTATGTCGTTCTTCCTTCTCAAGGAGGGAAATTGGTATGATAAGCATAATGTCAAGCGTGCTGCCTGTAACTGCATTGTCTTTGTCGTCGGTTTCTTTGTGTTCATTGCCGGCACATATGCTAGTATTGACCAGACTGTAAGTGTACCGAACAATGCTTTCCATTTTATGCCAACTAATATGACTACAGATTGCCAAATTCCAAGGAGGCAGTGTTGGCAGGCCTTTCTCCTGCAGTGTGGCTTAAAACTTTGTCATTCGATCTCTTTGGCACGGACATTGGTACATGGGTCCATTCTATAACAGACAAATTACTATAGTCAACAAATAAACCTTGCTTGCTCACTTCTATAAGATAAGAGCCATATGCATCCTTCCATCAGATCTTCAGTCTTTCAGGCCTAAGTTCAGCACCTAGACCAACAGGAGTCACTAGCCTCCGCGATCGGAACTCTGTTGAGTTCTTACACTGAGAATCAAGTCGCCTACGATAAATCGCTATCCGTATCCAGGAATAGGCTTAAGTAGTTATTGCAAAGGGCGTCGTTATTCGTTACGAAAGGTCCAGCCCAGTATCCTTCGTTACTCTCCATGAACAGCGCTAGATTTAGCGCTTCAGTGCAACTATGGCCCTGAAGTGGTTTAGTCAATCCACTGAAAATCTCATTAAAGCGCCCATGATCCACTTCTTCTGCCCTCGCTTGATTTCCCACCTTGCATACTCAATTCCGAGCTTGACAAAATCCACATCAGCAGATCATGCCCCGTGGACGCAGGGGCTGTTGGACATGTCGCATCCGACACAGAAGATGTGACGAGTCATCCCCAGAGTGCAAAGAGTGCAGTACGCGGAACATTACCTGCCATGGATATGATCTCGACCCGCCAGCATGGATGAACAATGATCAGTTACTGCAAGAGGAGCTTCGCCGCATCAAAATTGCAGTCAAGGAGAACTTCCGACGCGTCAAAACCATTCAGAATCGCCAGCTTGCTCGGTCGACAGCTCAAGCAGCACAAGTTTCGCGTGCCAAAGCGACTTCTCGACCGCAAAGCGAGATAACTGACAGTCCGACACACGCCGGTTCATCAACTACAAACACCGTCTTCCGAGAGGCGCAATATCTTGTTCACTACCTCGACTACATCTTTCCCATTCAGTATGCTTTCTACGTCGATGCACCGGATCAGGGAGGCAGAGGATGGCTCTTCTTCCTTCTAGAGCGAAGTAAGAGAGTCCCCGTCCTACAATTGTTCACTCTGACCACTGTACAGATGCACCCCTTCGAAATGCAGCTCTGACCCTCTCTGCCTTCCATCAACATACCTTCTCACCATACCATACCGAAAATCAAGAAGACGAACTGTTACAATACCATACTAAAGCACTTCAGGAACTTCGACATGTCGTGCGACATCGAGACGTTGGTGCTTCTGCCGACAACATCGAGGATTGGCTCAAGTTCCTTGCTGGCGGTATGTTCTTGATCTCCTTTGAGGTAACGCCCCAAGACTAGCATATAAATTTCAATCTCCGTCATCTGACTTGCTCAAGGTCTTCCAAGGCGGCACAAACAACTGGCAAGCCCACTTCAACGCCCTCGTATCCGTCATCCAGAACCTTACATCCTCCGACTTCGACTTTGACACGTCGAATCCTTCAAGCCCAGATTTCGACTTCCAGCGAGGCATGAATACTGCACAAAGGTTTATTCTGTCGAACCTCGTCTGGATCGATATACTTGCGCCTCTGGCTACGGGGACTGCGCCGAGGCTACCTTATCATGATTGGTTAAACGCTGGAAAGATTGATATGTCGAGAGTTATGGGTTGCTCCAACTGTATCATGATCGCGATCGGTGACATGATGACCTTGGATTCAGAGGCTATAACATTGGATAAGGAGGCTTTGCGAGTCGCCATAGATGACTTGGAAGAACGCATACATAACGGAATAGAGGCGGCATTAGATGATGAATCAACGGTTTGTATCTTGTTCACTTTTACAAGGTTACAAGTGAATATTTGCTAATTAGCCCCATCAGTTGACACCAACAAACCGCTCGGTAACGCACCTCTTCGCGACCGCAGCACTCGTGCAGCTTTACACTCTTGCTTCAGAACACAACATCACTGCCCCAGATCCTCACAGCGCAGTGTCACGAGTCGTCGACGTATTGGACAACCTACCTCCACATATATCGCTACGAGCAACACCATGGCCTCTGTGCGTTGCCGGGTCTATGGCACTTCCTCCCCATGAGCAGTACTTTGACGCTTTATTGACAAAGCTCATGAATCATGCTGAGGCGGGGTTTACAAATTGTGGTACGGTTTATAGTGTGATACAAAACGCGTGGAAGCAACGACGGCGAGATCCGAGTAGAGCTTGGAGTGCAAGACAATCGATGGAGCATATGGGTATTTGTGTTCTTCTAATATGACCCTCTTTGACGAGGCGCTGGAGGCAATATTAGGCTTGTTCAGGCCATTAGTACAAGCCCACCACTGAGGAACGTATATACACCAATGCCCTTAGAAATATTAAGTACAATATTACGTCACAGTCAAACCTCCATTGTCGCTTCATTCTACAATAGAAAGCCGTTCAAATATTATCAATTACTTCATCTACCCAACCCGGCATTTATAGACTACTCCTTGCCCTTGAGGCTGAAGCGGTACTTAGCCTGAAGAACATAAGGGTTGCCACCAGGCTCATAGAGCTGCTTCTCAAGCCTCTGCCACTCAGGATTGTTGATACCGTCAATGTAGTCCTGAACCTCAACAACCATGCATCCGTACTTAGGGATAATTCGGGGGAAGTCCTTGTTATCCTTGAGACCCTGGGTCTTCTTGAGAGGCATGGTACCCTTCTGCTGAGTGCAGCTGTAGAATTGGAAGGCGTCCTGATCAGTGTAGATGTCGAGCTGGATGCCAGACCAGGCGGAAGCGATAGTGGCCACGGGGCCCTCAGTTCGCCAGTCAAAGTTGCCGAGCTGGCCGCGGTTGACGCTGTAGCAGGTGTCTGAGATTTGTTAGCGGTGTTATAAGCTATATCGTGTGGATGGTTACTAACCATATCCTGTGCAGTTGAAACCGCAGTTGTTCTCCAAATCCTTGTTGTTGGCTTGGTCACCAATCATCTTGGGCTTGCTCCAGAAATCATTCACAGATCCTTTCTTGTTGGGAATGATATCGCCAGTGGGGATAAGAATGTTATCGGTCGCAACACGCTGGCCACCGTAGGGCATATACATAGAATGGTTGGAAATGGTGTTTGTCTCGTTGTTAGAGAAGCCGTCGAGGTTCCAGTAGGTATGGCTGGTAAGCATGATGGGGGTCTTCTTGGTGGTTGCAAGAGCAATAATCTTGAAATCCCAGTCCATGCCGGTCAGGGTGTAGGTGACGTAGGAGACAACCTCTCCAGGGAAACCTTCCTTGCCATCAGGGTCAACGATGGAGAAGGTGATGCTGGAGTCGGTGTAGGAGACAACGGTAAAGTTGCGCCAGTCCCAGCCATCGGGTCCGCCGTGGAGAGTATCAGCGCCCTTGGGAGAATCGGGCGTAGGGTTGTCGTTAGGCGTGACGTGATACTTCTTGCCGTCAATCTCGAACGTGCTGTTGCGAATACGGTTGGCGTATCTTCCGGGAATTCCTCCAAGATGGGGGTGAGACTCGTCAATGCTATAGTGCGTAGCATTGTCGAAGCCAGCGACGATATCTCGGGTGATACCGTACTGGTCGTCGATCAGAAGATTGGTGATGGAGGCGCCATAGGGAATGAAAGCGGCTTGGATGCCATCTCCCTTGATCCAGTATTTGCCATCCTTGTCGGGACCCTTGCCTTTGGTCGCAAGGGCCAGTGGGATGAGAGCAGCAACGACAGCCTTGAAGAACATGATTGCGGATGATCAAGGTGGAGACTGGCCCAGCAAAAAGGAGCGAAAACTCCCAAGCTTTATAGAAAAACCGACGATCTCTGTTTTTCCACGGGTCAACTTCCACCAACGAAACCCCTCTCCAATTGAAGGATTTCAGGGTCTCTTTCGGTGATCGTCTGATGAGCTTTCAAGTTCAATGACTGGTGCGGCTGTCATCGTCATCCAGGAACTTGCCATTGATCCGCGATCCTGGGGTAGTTTTGGAGCTAAGAAGCTTCCCCAGGTTTTCCGCGCGAGTGTAATTGGTGCGCCTGGGTCGGGTAATCTTAGCGAACTCTGTCTTGACATGGTTGTGCGAGTCTGGATTGGGATCGTCGTGCGGGGGAAATTCAGGCTGTTCGCACGTTCATGGGGTTTCTACAGGTTCAAGAGCCGTATCCCGCCGAGGGATTGACCGAGACAAGGCTGGTGGTAAGCGGTAGTTATGCGACGGGTGACAGCTTCACAGCCCCTCCAATCAAGTTGACAAGCTAGTTTGAAGCTCGAGAGATGTAATTTATGTGATGAATAACCGACCTGGCTATACTTTACAGGCTGAATGGATTCAATTGAAGTGTGTTTGTAAAGATTATGAATCTGAAAAGTCGGGGAGCTAAACGAGGTTGGGGAAATATTATTGCAAGGGTCTGGGAACTTATGAGAGGTCTGACGTCATTGTCTCTCGTAATGATACCCTAGAGTCGAACGTGCAGAATTCCATGTTACATTTCGTGATGCTACCTGTGAGCTTGTGATGATCATCTGTGGACTGTCAGACATGCAAATCAAGATCATCTGGATGGGCACGGCCGCCTAAGTTCAGGAACCAAGGCTTAGTGACTCCAAGAGGGCATGAAAACGTGGCTCTGTGACCTTCGGATGAAAAAAGGAGTTGAATGATTGGGTTCCATCTTGTTGGGATGAACTTTGGTGAGCGGGAGAGCTCAAAGGTCTCCATCTGTCTCGATTCGGATTGAAGATTGTGCAGGGTAGCTCTTATCATGGTGGGTCTTTGAAATAGGCCTTGAGCGTGTTTCACCGGAGTTGGATGAACTTGACAATCTCTGAATTTGATATAGCATCGCCGCGAGCTTTGCCTCGTGCGAAGATGTCCTAGTAGCTAACTAAGCAATTCTACCTTGGCATGCTGGGTCGTCTCCTAAGAAAGAGGCATTTGTGAATAGTGACTTGAAGTCTTGAGTGCGCAGAACTAAGAAGTCCACTTACTGGATATTTTCTCAAATTCAGACAAAGCAGTGGAGACGGGATCTATCGCTCCACCACTCGGAGCTGCTTCACACTCCGATCTCTCCTGTTCTAGGCGATATGCGATCCACATCCGCATCCGAATTGAAAGAGTAAATTTCAGGTCGAAAGCTTCTCATCATACTCAATGCAATTTCATGAATGGTATCACTATCTATCGTCTATCGTATGATCGTCTAACTTTACCACAAATGAACTAGCGAAACCAGGGTCATGGCCAGCATGATACCCATCGAAGGCGATTGTAAGCTTCCCGCCGAGTCCCCCGACATTCCCTCCTCAAATCCCTTCTCTTCACCACCCAAATACTCCGCACCAAGCTTAGTCAAACCCCCATCATCATCAAACAGCGACACGCTGTCCCCAGTCCACTCATTCGCATCATCTTTCCTAAATGCTCCAAACCATGCATAGGCCTGCACATCATCACTATCATCAAGGTACGGCAGACTCTCATTCATCATAGCCAGCGTCGCATCGTCATCCCCTTTCGGTAGAGCCATCTCGGTAATCCAGAACCGTGCGTCAGGCGCTGTCTCGTTGTAAAATTCGCGCAAACTTCCCAGCCAATTCTTGAGACCGCCTGCGTCGCCGTACCAATGCACAGCGACGAAATCTGTAGGACAACCATCGTCGTCGATGTCGTAGCAGGATTCATTAAAGTCGCGTAGCCATTCAAGACCACGTGGTGAGCCGGTAACGCTGGGATGGCTGATTGACCACTTGCGCTTTGCTTTTCTGAGGGGAACTATGTGCTCCATGTAAGCGCGAGCTGCATCTTTAGCAGAGATCGCGCTTCCGCCGGTGTCTGTTTCGCCATCTGGCTCGTTGAAGGTGAGGAGATGCGTAGATGATTCGGGAAGCCCATTTAGTCGCGACTCGAGCTCAGAATCTGATGCATCGTCGAGGCCGTGAATTAATGGCACGAAAGGTAAGGAATTGCCGATTTGGCCGTTTGGCCAAAGCGACCAAGTATAATACCACGCGATCTCAGAATTATTTGAGATGAGGAGCTCATTATCCGATTTGTGGTCATCTCCATGGTATGCGAGGCCGCGTTTTGACGAGAGGTCAATGCTCTCAGCAAGCCCCCAGAGGCATAAAAATGGGTACAAATTTGATTGGCGCATTTTGTGAAGAGAGTCTGGTATACAGTGAAACCCTCATTCAAATGAGAGCGCTTTAATACGCGATGGACAGCTGGAAAATCAGGTTTGAAACATATCTTTTAAGGTTCTAGGAAACGTTTCAGAATGTCAAGGGGTTCCTTGGAATAGCTACTTTTCTTTTGTACGTGTCGCTCGTCTTTTGGCTGGGCAGAGTGGCGATTGTCTGAGCCTTGTTAATGATGTCATAAGTCTGCCAAGTTAAACCCTGCCTCAACACCAAGACTTGGCAGCGTCTAAGATTCCTAGTATCTTGATATTGACATAATTGGCTCACCGCTTGATATCTAAAGAGCATAGAAATTCGAGGCTCGTAGAATACTTACCGCTTTGGGACAATTACCTGATTTGGTGACGACACGTGGGTTTCGCATCGCTCCTTCCGTGTTTTCGAGGAGGTAAGATACTTACTCAAAGTCTATTTGAACCGCGACGACACCATGAATGATGGGGCCATAGGTGCCTATTCAACGACTAATTAAAAAGGAGATGCAAGGAAAGCTGTAGGCAGATAATATCATGTAGTTCTGCTACATTACCGTCCAACAGATACGCCAGTTCGGTACTTCTGGCGAGCCATCTGTGAGAAATATGAATAAAGGCAAACGGTCACTGTCAAACAATTGCCCTGGGGAGTTTTGGATACCATTGCCCTCTTACACGACATATTTAATATGATATTTCTTCTGTCCGGCAATAGGAGCTGAAGAGACCGACCGAATTCTTATGAGGTTGACTTGGGGGCATCTCGCAGACGAAAAGACTAAAAAGTTCTGCCTATGCCTAAGACAGGATGAGAACTGTGGCCGAATTAAAATGATGCTTATTGGAGTCCAGGCACAGCTTTTCAACACTTTGGAAGAACGCAATGTACTGAGGAATTGTACTTGTCCAAGGTAACAAAAGGGCGTGTAGGACCCGAAAGTAAATATTTGAAGGACGTATCTCCCATTTTTGAAAAGTCTGAAGGGAGAGGGAAATTCGCATATCGTTATATTAGTTCTTCATCTGACCTAACGAAAGTGGCCACCCCGAGGATAGCTACTGTATATGTCTTAGGAGAGTATCCAAGTACAAATGGTTCTACGGGAATGGTATCAAGTAGCCGTTTCAAATATTTACTATTTCGGTACATCAGACAACTTTAGATGATCATATATGGTTAGATCACCGACTGAGGGCCGAATATCGAAGAGTGACCGACATGTCGCCGCCCCCATAGTGATCGACACAGAACGCGGGGTACTCAGTAGGAGCCGTGGTGCATAGAGTAAAAAGCAACTTCTTAAATGTTTTAGTGTCTCTTGAGTCTATAGTTACTTAAAGTTTAGCAGATTTGTCTCTTACAGCCTCATACCAGACTGTTTGCGCGAGGGCGAGCCGTAGGAGCCTGCATTTCGTATCGGCAACATTCACAGCTAATGCAACGGCTCGGCTTCATTGACTTCTGTCGTTGGGTGTCCTGGTCTTCGCATTGACAGTCGTAGAAGTCTCGTCATGCGTTCTGCAGATCACACTGGGGTAGCGGAAAGTCTCCGAAATCCCCATGTCTAGGCGGAGTCTCCGCTTGATGTTCAGGTCCGACGACCCCAAAACGGTCAGAGCCGATGAGTTTATGCGAGTAGGTCTTGGCATTTGTCCTTATTATGCATATATTCGGGCCGTGGCCGATCGATGCTACCCTTTTTACTCTTTCTAATGAACATCTGGCTTAGTTTATAAAAATAACTTGGTGTCGAATTTCTCACGATATGTCGTTTTCCCTAGTCTAGGGCTGCCGAGAAGCGCCAAAGAGTAAACAATGCATGTTGTAGTCAAAAGCTAGAGGGCTTCGCTTGAAATCAGTTGACAGGGCTAGGAGGACTATCATAGGTGGAACAACCGTCCTGTAAGATGTGAATGCTCCGTTTAATGGCCGAGGGTGATGGCAATGATGAAGATAGCTTCAGAAACGCAAAATGAATCTTATGATCAGGCGAAAAGTTCGGAACGAGAGAAAATGGCAAAGATCTTCCTCATGAGTGACGAAGGGTTTGTGAGAGAACAGGGGCAAACGTGTATAAGAAGGACTGGGAGCCTCCAGGTAGCCAACAGTTTCGGCATCCTCAGACAAGCCGCTGCATCAAACATTACAATATCTACAAGCCATCAACATGCTCACCTTTAAAGCTCTTCAACTTGCCTCCATGTGCACTCTTGTGTATGGACATGGCTACCTCAGTAAACCCATGAGCCGAACCGGTCTCAACGCTGAAGTAACTAGCCCCATTCCTTCTCTATATCATCCACTAACAGGCGATAGGCCGGCCCAGATACATGCCCCGAGTGCACCATCCTCGAGCCCGTCACAGCCTGGCCAGACCTCGACGCTGCCAAAGTCGGCCGATCTGGACCATGCGGTTACAACGCCCGAGTCAGCGTCGACTACAACCAGCCCGGCGCCAACTGGGGCAAAGAACCCATCGCCACCTACAAGCCTGGCCAAGTTGTCGATGTCCAGTGGTGCGTTGACAACAACGGCGACCATGGAGGCATGTACGCCTACCGTATCTGTCAAGACCAAGATATTGTCGACAAGTTTCTTGATCCAAACTACATCCCTACTGAAGCTGAGAAGCAAGCTGCTGAGGATTGCTTCGAAGAAGGTCTTCTTCCCTGCACTGATGTTGATGGCCAGGAGTGCGGGTACAGTCCTGACTGTTCTGCTGACCAGCCCTGTCACCGCAACGATTGGTTCACTTGCAAGTCTTTCGATGGTAACTCGGATGGTAAGGGATGTCGTGGTGTTGATAATGCACCGATTAACTCGTGCTACACCTCTATTGCTGGCGGTTACACTGTGTCGGGCAAGATCAAGATCCCAGACTATGTCTCGAACCATACCCTTTTGTCGTTCAAGTGGAACTCGTTCCAGACTCCACAGGTTTACTTGACTTGTGCTGATATCGCGATCTCGGCTTGATTACATTTGCAAGTCAGGCGCCTTGGCTGGATGGTTCCATGGACCACGGCTGCACAAAAGGGTTTATAGTGCATCCAACCAGAAGCGAGATGGGACAGTCAACAGCGTTGATCAGCGGGTGTTATTCTTTGGGCTAGGAATTTACCTTTTACTTTTCCCTCTAAAAAATCTCTAGTCTAGCTTGCGAGACCAAATCATCACTCTTTGACCCTCACAGACCCAAAACCCTTACATTACAGTGCACTCACCCTCAACACTAGGATCTACATGATGAGATTCTCTCGAGTGAGGCTCCGTCTCCAAATCCTCCCAGTAGATGAAATCCATGAATCCAGAACGAGCTTCATTCAAAGTATCAGCAACAATCCTCAAACACTCCTCATCATCCCCCTTCAGGGCAAGCAACGCGAAAGCAACTCTCTTCTCCAGCTTCCAGGGCCCTGACCCTTCGTAAGCCTCAAAATACACAGGATTTCCAGCTTCCTTCAGACGTTCCTCTATACGCCCAAAAGTAATGAGGAGCCAGCAGGTGACGCCGAGATAATTAAGGCTTGAAACTGGCGCGATTCCTGCTACGTCGGAGAGAATGTCAAATTTAGCCAGGTCGAGAACATCTCGGGCGTCAAGGACTTCTGATCCAGCTTTCGGAGGTAACTGGTAGCCTTCTGCTGCATACTTGTTCACGAGATCGTCTGGTACCTCGAGTGTATTGTTCGCAATTGAAGAGAGCTTGCTTGTTGCGTCAATAATCTCCTTATCGGTCATTCCAACTGCTCTCGCCTTCCGAACAAGCACAGTGTCCTCGAGCTCGTCTTCGCTCACGTGCTTTGCTCGACTGAGTCGTTCAAAGAACAGCATACTGCCAAATTGAAGCTCCTCATCAGGAATGGCCTCGAGGTTCCAACCCGCCCGATGGCAAGTGGTGAGCATAGAGTTTCTCTTGAAGATATGGTTGATTTCCAAGTCAAAAAGCTGATGAATGTTGTCGGCACATCTTCTTCTGTACCGAATAGCCTGCATCCGCGCTTGCGCTTGTCTTGATCCCGGCTGTCCTACAGACGCAAGTAGAGCATCCGCGAAATCCGATTGCGGCTTGCGACCCTGTGCGAAGAAGGTATGCTTGAAGAGATCTTCTAGTGTAGCGCAGAGCCCAATAGGTCGAGAGAGGTAACCCTTCTGCACAACAGCATTGTGGAGATGGATCATCAGCGTTGGCTCAGGCATGCGCTCCCAAAGAAACATGCCAAGTCTGTAAGCGATCTCAAGACCTTCCTCAAGACCTACTCCGCAAAGGAACGGCGAGTACTCATGCAGGCCGTTCGAATTGTGGTCTGCAAAGCGTGAGGGCGGTATGGTATCCAAGCCAGTCGTGTACTTGTGCTCCCCAAGAAAGTCGACGAAATCAAGCTGAGCGATCTTGATGATCTCGAAAAAGTCTTTATGCTGCTCCATCTTGCCATCTTTCTCCAGAATCTGCTTAAGTAGATCGACAGTCTGACAGTAACCGGCAAACACGCGCTTGTTCTGTCGATCGAGAAAGAGGTCGACGTCTCGTCTGGCACGGCCTTTCTTTGCTGGCGCTTGAAGCATATGGCCATGCAGAGCACTCAATGACCAACCGCGAGAAACAGTGAATGAGTCGACGATGCACTGCATCTGGAAAACTTGATGCGGATAAATCATCTTGGTGATATCGGTGCCAGGCTTCTTCATAGCCATGTTCGTGATATCGCCTGCGAATTCATTCAGGCCGAAGAGGAGTCGGTGGACACCCCAGGGACCGTTGGCAGACCAGTCCACGTCTTCGTAGACATGCTTCTCTCCTCTGACCGTGTTTCTCTGAACGACGACAGATGAGAACACGTTGACAAGATCGTAGAGCCATTTTATGGTGTAGCAGCGCCGCCAGTTGACTCGCTCCTCATTCGTAGCCCGCTCCAAGTTGAAGTTTGGATCCCATTTCACGAGTTTTGCCTGCATGGCCTTTGTGGGCTTGCCAGTGCGATTGGCCTGAAAGTCAATAACAAAATCCCTCAGATCCTGATACGCGTGGATGAGGAACTGCTCCTTGATATCGACGGCTGTCTCCTTGTGGTTGTGCTCTTCACCATCCGGGCCCAGCGCAAAAAGAGCAAGTCTAAACTTTCCCTGTGCTGAATCCATGTTTCCTCGAGTGATGGTGTTCATGATGGTTTCGTAAGTGTCGTGGCCCGGAAAGTCAACAAAGATAGCTGCGTTGGTGCGTTTGACCATGGAGATCGTCAAGTTGCTTACAGCTCCTGCGACAGCGCTGTTGAGGCCTTCGTATGCAACCTCTTTCCAGAGACGCTGGGTATAAGCGCGCAGGTCGGCCCATTCTTTGACAGTCGAATAGACAGCGAGTAGATAGTCTGTGACAAGACCGACTTCGCCACTGTCCTCGATGATGCGAATGCTCTCGATTGGTATTTCATCGGTCGCGGGATCTTTCGTGTCTTGTTTCTTACCCTTCTTAGGCTTCTTGTACTTTCTAGCCTTCTTGCCCTTGCCCTTTGGCTTTCGCGCGACCTTTCGTGCAGCGACTGGTGATTGCGGTTGAGCGACATCATCCTCTTCATCGCTCGACTCTCCCTTGTCGACACTCAATTGTTGGAATTTATTGGCGAACAGGATCTGTTCAACGTCCTCGGTATCGTCGCTGGTCGTCGCGCTCGTCTTTTCCCATTCTTCGCCGCCGAGAATCTTGAAGGCGCTGCGAAGAGTGTTTATGAAATGCCTGTGACTTTCGTTACTTCGCTTGAGTTCCTCGTCCGAATCAGGCCCCATAAGCTCCTGAAACGTAGTGCTAACGAGAGATCTCGCCTGAATGATGGAACCGAAAAGCCGATAGATGACGTTGGGTACAGGTTCCTTGTGCTGGGAAATGAGTGTCGACATGGAAATCAGGCCATTCACTGTCGTCTGACCTGTCGTATTGACAGAGTCGGTGGATTGAGCTCCTCCATCAGTGGATCTGAGTAGGCGATTGGACACGTTGATCATCCAATACAACAAGTATTTTGTGTCCCTCTTGTAAGAGAGGTACAGGTTCTGCGACACCATGGTCACGTATGCGACGGCCGCAGTTCGTACAGAGTGAGATACGGCAACGATGATTGACCATACTGAGTGAGGGGACACGAAAGAGAGTTTCGGCTCTGTTTTCAAGACTCAAATCGCGTTGCCGGGGTCACGTGTTGGCGTGACACAATTAGGCATCACCCAGTTACAATATTTGTTTGTTTATTTTTATGTTTGCCAATGGAGATGAGGCACGCCAAATAAAGTTCAAATGCAATCATCATTATCAGGCGAGACTTGTAGACCTGGAGGCACAGTACCTGCGCGACACTGCAAATGTGATTGCGCCACCAAATGCAACCCCGCAGAGGCGTAAGAATCTTAAGAGAGATAAGCATATATAGTATTACTACCAGTCTATCTATATAGGCCCTTCTAGCTGCCTTTAGGTGCACTTGCCAAGGAACCAGCTTCCTAGAATAGAATTAGCATCTACTTGTATGGCAGGACGGCTATAGCCCACAAAAGCAACTTACCCTGGTAAGATTTACACGTCAGTCCGTTGTTGCACACCGTTCCGCTATAGTTGACGTTGCACCAGTCTAGAAAAGCGATTCGTGTTAGTAACTTCCTATTATGAAGGCAACAGAAGATGCCAAGATGATACTGACCTCCCTTACGACGTTCGCCCCAGCATACGTATTTGTCCGAGCCTGTATGAGGCATGCAGTAGCCACTGAGACATTCGATGTTCAACTGACACGCGGCGCCATCTCCACTGAGAGCAAGAGCTCCAACAGCCATGTGGGCAATGAGGAAGAGAGAAGAGGTGAATTTCATGATGCTGACTGATGTAGAAGGATTATGATGAATGACGAAAAGAATCACATCGACGAGAACCTCTTCTTGGGTTTATATAAGAGAAATGGCTGAAAAAAGCTCCTATCCTCTATCCGTAGACCGCCTTGTGTTTGTTTGATTTAAAGTTCACGGCAGTTAAAAGAATTTGCCCACTTTCCGCACCGGCCATCTGGATTTATCGGCGGTTTCACGAACCTAGCAGTGGTGAGCCTTGTCTAATGCACCAATACGAGAAGGAGGCCACCAGGCTAAACCAAGTAATCGTCAGCTTCTTGATTGACCCACCTGTAAGTAGGATATACTTTAAAGCTAATAGGTAAACAGCAACTTGACGCCGATCGATATTTAAGACCTTTAATGTCTGCGGTGCGGTGAGCGGCCTAGGCAGCCGGGCACAGAGCACTGTAGTAAGAGTTTGTATCGGCGTATCGGCAATATAAAACGAAAAAGGTCTTTATGGGTGCGGTTACTGAGTTAGTAGGCTCTAATATCTCTAGTTACAGATTTGACCTGTCTTATATATTCTGCACTATGTGACAGTAGAATATACGGAAGATATCAAGGACCTGGCTATCTGCCCCCACTGTAGGCTCCTAATACAAAGTATATCCTTAGTCGAGAAAGTTACTTTTCCTCCTGCGATAAAGTAATTAATTTAGTTTTCCGATGTAACCGGACACGAGTTAAAAGTTTTGACTACTGTTAGTCCTAATTCCTTCGGAACTGGATATTGTGCTTCGCCAGGCTTTAATATCCGAAAGATAAAGTCCGAATTGCAGGTAAAGGCCAATTAAAATATATTCATATGCTATTATGTGTTACTAACACTAATAAACAGAATAGCTTTTACCCCTTGATTTCTCAGATTCAACGGCAGTAGTGCGGTCGGATATAATCTCTAGTGAATGCCTTTTAAAGATACCCGGAGACAATTGGTATTGCGCCCCGGAACGGCTGGAATGGCCCGTGACAGGTTTTTGAACATTTCATGACAACTGGCGGATACTGGGTGAACAGCCCACCATGACGCCTACGCGTGTGAGGCGCATGATGTGAACATCAGCTGTGGAGTCTACGCAAGGCTCGATACAAGCTCATATTAGTGCGTTGAGAGCGTGATTCCCTGTGAAAGTTAGGCCTGACCGACAATGTATTTGACAGGGAAATGACCTGTTTACCAGCTACTTTACCGTTACTGATCGAAAACGGCACTCGTAGCTGAGAGGAGCATGAAAGTATTATCTAGTCCCCAATGGGACCTTTCATAGCATTTCCATATAAATATGAGAGCTTCAAACACCATGTCAAGGCGAGATAGCGTCCAGCATGATATTTATAGTGCCGCACCATCATTTCGTACCGGGAAACCGCACTCGATTGCAGAGATGTTTACTGTCCCTATGGCGCAAGTGAAGATCAGGGTTCTACACGAAAGGTCATTCATAGAGGTAATACGTAGGTACTTAGGGTTCTCATCGTAATGCAGGCTTGCGATAAACACTTGCGTAGTGTAGCGCCGGAAATTTCATCGTGACAAAGCTGTTCTTGCGTCCAGTTGGAGAATGCCGGCTAGGCGACGATTTTGAACAGAAAATCCATCTGCATTGAGACTCGGCCAATAGAAGAACCGAAAGATCGAAAGATTGACATACGACGCCTTTTGGGAGTTCCGCTGGCGCCGGGGCTGCAGCACTCCGGTCCTCGATTAAGCTCAGCCAGCTTCACTACCCTGACCAATCGTGCGTAAATTGGCGTATTATAGTTACTTATGTTCTTGGGAATCGTTAGTATCAATTAATAATCTAAAGCCTGGTCGGAGGCTAACACTTGGACTCTGTTTATGGGGTGAATATATCTAAATTCTACATTCCTGAATTTCGTTGTAAAGAACCTGTAAACTGTAACCCGATGCCGCTACCCCGGCTCTAGTTTCTGCTTTAGAATGGACACACAAAGCCACTATTCGGCATCGGATAGTCTTGCCAGGATGTCGCCCTGATAAGCTTCCTCTAGAGTATAGTCTTGGCCATTATTGCGATCAATTCCACAGTACTTGAATGCCTCGACGACTGCGTCTTTATCATATCCCGCATCAATGTATGGATCAATCAACTTCCGATTGTACCCTCCATAACTAGCACTACTGATCGTTAGTGGTTCTGTTACCCATAAGGGAATGTTGGGGCATATAAGAAACAAACCTGTGTGTTTCCGCAGCTGGGGCACCTGCATACTTGACGGCCCAGTCCTGAGCCCTTTCTCTGAAGGCAGAATTGTTGCTCAAAAACAGCGTGTTTGCTTCTTCATTGACAGGGAAATCTGGGTTAGGATACTGAAGTAGCTTGACTACTGTGTCCAAGCTTACTTTGATAGTATGAGTCGGGTCCCATGAGCCGAGAGCACCTGGTGCAACCTCACCCTAGCATCGTCAGTTCTGCATTACATAGGCTGCGTTATGTGATATCGTACCATTTCAGGATGTACATTCGGATGATATATCTTTTGATTGAACTTCATTGATGGCTTCCCAAAAGGATAATTATCCGGGATCAATATATTGATGGTGTAAGCGCCTCCGAAGTAGGGTGTACCTGCCGGAATTGGCAGAGAAGCTTTGAGATGAGCTAAATCATTTGGGTCGGGGGAACACAAATCAACACCGGAGGTTTGACAGTCCGCAACTTCTTTGGCAAGTCGCCTTGTCCCGGGGTCCATCGACGCCAATATTTTGAAAGGATGAATTAAGAGATATTTGGAGTGGGCAAGGGCAATGCGAGATGAAGTATCAGTGAAAGAGTGCCTGTAATTTATTTAGGAAAGCGAAGAGAACAAGCTAAGAAGGTCGATAATACCACGTGTTGTTAAAGAAACCGGAGAACCCAAGACCGCTGTATCTATTATTGATTGGTCAGGCAAAGCCACACTGTGCAAAGTGAAGCACTATCACGGATGCGGAATATTGGAGTAGTCTGGACCTGTAGCTGCTGCCGTAGCACGGGGCTAGACTGAAACTATTAGAGCAGATCAATCCCATTCAGGGCACTAGTTTTGCTGGTCGCAGGGCCAGCAGATAAAGTACCTGTCGCAACTATAATGCCTGCAGTGAAACATGCGCTCTTGTACATCGCAAGCCTCCAATCTGAACCTGCCACGATTGTGGCTGGCTAGAGGTCACAGGGCTCATACTACAGTTACCCTAACATCCCTGCTTTCTGTATCAGCGAATGGTCCTTGTGGTTCTATGGCTAATCTTGGCCGTTAGTAGCTGGGTAACACGTCTGGGTGCCTGGAACAGTTGTAATATCTTCCAAGAAGGAAAGGTCATTTCACCAGTATGCGAAGAGATTTATGCGTTAGAACATGACGTATCAGGCTGTGAGAATAATGCGAGTAGGATCATACGGACCAACTCATGTTATATCCAGTAGCTGATCTCAAGCGCATCAAAGCAGTACTTCGTTGACCTATCCAGCCTTACCAATGCAGCTCTCCAGTGTCCATGGCCTCTTCCCATTCTTCAATGCCTCAAGCTCATCCTTAAAATCCTGTTTCCAGGCATCTTCCAAACGACTAGGATTCCAACCAGCCAGTCGTTTCAACTCAGTACCCTTCATCGACTTTGTACCCGCCCATCCGCGTTCTGCCATATCAACTAGGCCAGCTGTGATCTCGTCCGCCAGCTCTTGCAAAGTAACATCCCGAATCTCCTTTGACGGAGGCGTATCTTCACGAGGTAAGATCCCTTCATCAAACGCGGCATCAAGACACCTTTGCATGATCTCGGTCTGAAGAGCCCTCCCCACAGCTGGAAAAAGAATTCCGTTCTTCCCAGTTGGAATATGGCCTACTCCGCGGTCTTCCCGCTCCAGAATAGTTCGAGTGAGGAGCACAAAGGCGTCAGCAAGATCCTCAACATGAACCCAGTCCCAGTTCGCAGTCTCGTTCAACTTGAACCCATGTCCGTGCTGAATAACGTATCGCATGATAATTGGTATAATGATGCCCTGTTGGTTAAAAAGCCCTTTGCCAGCCCCAAAGATCACTGGCGTATTGAGGCTGACAGCTTGCACACCAGTCTCTTCAGCTGTAGTCAAGACACGAACCTCGGTAGTTCTCTGAAGATAAGGTTCTCGCGCGTCTTCAGACTTCAAAAACTCGTAAACAGAATTTCCGTCCGTATCATTCCATTCTCTATCTGGATACGCTTTTTGAGTAAGTGGCCGATCAGCTAAATTGCTACAACCTGAGATGTGCAGTAGCCAAGGCGGGGGAACACCTGGTTCAACGCGACGAGCGAGGCCCCGCACAAAAGCTTCGGCTCCGTCTGGAATAAAACCCGAGCCAGTGTTGATGATAAGCTCATAATTGGATGCGATGTCCCTGATGTAGTCGACGTCATGGAGACCAGCCCATTGAATGGGATTCACGCGGTCGCCGTAAGTCGAGCGAAGTTTGGCGGCAGCGTCATCACTTCGAATGAGAAGATCGATGGTGAGGGCTTTTAGAACCTCATCTTGGGCTTTTACGAGGTGGTCGAGAACAGTACCACCGACATAGCCTGTTGCACCGGTAAGAAGGATCCTTTGGACAGGAAGACGAGACATGACGGTAGGGATGATTCAAATGAGGTCACAGCATTCCAGGTAAAACGAAACGAATTTGATGTCAGTTTCAAGTTACTGTTCCAATGGCTGGATATCGAACTCCAATTAGATCCACATGCTGACCGCCATCTGTCCAGTAACCCGGTAGCGCGGGCTGGGGTTCTCTCGGTTGGCTGCTGCTTGCAGGGATGGCGACATGCAATGTGATATGTGATGAATGGAGCGGGCCATAAATGCAGACCGAAAGGCCGGTTGCAAAAACCCCGCAAACGTTACAATTTCCCTCAACTTTATCGTAGCCATGGCAGATGAACAGAGCCCGAGCCAGGGCCCTGTAGCTGAAACTCAGTCTCCGCCCAGAGAAGACCCTTTGGAAGTTGACGTGAGTTTCCCATGGGCTACTTCTGTTGAGCATCGTACTAACTAAGTCTAGGAAGAGGAAACTCAAGATAATGATTCCACATACAATCTGTCGTGAGTTATCAACACCAATGGCTCTCGCTCCGACTAACATAATGTCGCAAAGGGAGGGATCAGCCAGCCAGACGTCGTCAATCAACTCCAGCATTCTCAACTACAGATACATGGTAGTGCTCACCTGATAACACAATCATCCGATTTACTAACAGATGAACCAGAACGGCCGACGGTATCATGCCTTTCGTGAAGGTGCCTACTTCGTGGTATGCAGAACGTTGACAACTAAGTGTCATTGAGATTAAATGCTGATATTACTTTTCCTAGCCCAACGATGAAGAAGAGCAAACGCGGATGGACTTGGTACATCACATTTACTCTCTGATGCTAGACGGTGCTTTATTCTTGGCGCCTATTGGTGACCATCCTCAGCGTGTTCTGGATCTGGGAACCGGCACTGGTATCTGGGCGATGGACTTCGCAGAGTGAGTAAATTATTACATTGCAGAAAGTCTTTCGCATGTTTTATTCTTGCTGACTTTGCTTTTCAGTGACTTTCCCTCGGCTGATGTCCTCGGGACTGACCTTAGCCCAATCCAGCCACAGTGGTATGGCAACTATCTCGTGTCAATATTTTGAAGCTGACTTGCCAAATTGTAGGACGCCGCCAAATTGTCGATTTGAAGTAGACGATTTCGAGGCTGAATGGCTTTATCACACACCCTTTGACTTCATCCACGCACGGGAGCTGGAAGGCTGCATTGGCGATGATAGCCGGTTCTTCCAGCAAGCCTTGCAACACCTGGCTCCTGGCGGTTACATTGAAATGCAGGCGGTCGCGGCACCGTTCTTATCAGATGATGGTACGGACGAGAAGGCCGTCAATGCCCAGCTATGGTTGAAAACCCTGTGTGAGGGATCTGCCAAGTTTGGTAAACCAATTGATTGTGCTCCCTTGTGGAAAGATAAACTGATAGCTGCTGGCTTTGAGAACGTACGGGAAGAGATACGCAAGGTACAAACGAGGCTCAACTACCATTTTGCCGATAACTAACATTCCAATAGATGCCACTTGGATCATGGCCTAAAGACCCGAAGCTCAAGGAGATTGGCAAATATCAGTCCATTCAGGAGGCTAAAGCCATTGAATCATACACACCACAGATCTTTTCGGCCGTGCTTGGATGGTCACAGGAGGAAATACAGGTTTTCATGGCAAAGGTCAAGAATGAGATCAAGGATCCTTCGATTCATCTTTATCTCCCTGTTCATTTCCTCTGGGGAAGAAAACCTGCGTCTTGATTCTTACGCTTGTGGAGTTAAGCTAGATTGGAAGTTGATGCTTAACCTATACCACTTAATATTTATATATTTGATAGGGATGCTATCTATGCTTCGTTCGATAGTGTCTATTGCATTCAATCGCAAATGAATCCTAACTCTCTCCAATTTTCTTTTTAATACACGACCCATACTTCCATTACACAATCTAACAGCAGCATGAATGCATTGTATATCTTTCTCAAGTTCAAGATCGTATCTCACTGGTACAATTTCAGATGGTTTATAATCCAGTGCACCGCCGCCGCTGTTGCAACACGGGATTAGACCGACACTAATAGAACAAGTTAGCCCCCTTTGGGGCCCGTGTTTTGCTTGGAAGCTGCATCGGCAAGTGGAGAATATTTAATCCCATGAAATTCAACGGTCAAGCGTACCTTCACAGGTCTCGAAGCTAGTCGATAACGATGAATTACTCTCGGAATCTGCGCCAATGAAATGAGCTAGCTACGCGCTCAACGGAACACCAGATAATGCCGATCCTCAATTTCAGCCAGTGTAAACTCGTCGGCGGGAGGCTAGACCAGACTCCTGCAGAAAGTGGCTGTTACAGACCCTGGGAATTGAGCGAGAGCTGAAAACATCCCTGCTTTACACTAACCTCTCTGGAGTAATACACCACTGCGCCTCGATAGGCAACCACAGCGGCTGTCAGTTCACCGGAGAGGTTACCTGAGGGCTCTCAAGGCAGATGGAAGATGGTCTGATTGGGATGAGCATGCGCCGAGGCTTAAACCACCTAACTAAGGATTAGTTCCCGCACTCCACAGCCTTGACTTTCTTCTACCATTTTGTCTTGAGTATGTATAACTCGCAAAACGCATGGAATCACAATGAGCGCCATTTTTGGGTCTCAAGCCCGTGACGAGGCGCAACAGCTTATAGAGAAGATCGCCGTTGGCCATGGCTACATCGAGACGGCAAAGTTGGATGCGATGCCGGCCGATATACGACGTGTAGTAGAGGAAGCTCTGAAGAGCAATTCTAAATCTCATGCCGCTGCTACAGAGTAAGTCGTCGACTCCAGATCTTGCCCGCATCTAACCTGTCGCTAGGCTTGTAGAGAGGCTAGCTGCGGGGAGCATCAATGTCGCGTTCGAGCTGCTCCAGAATGCAGACGACAATCAATATACCCGCGCAAAGGCCGCATGCGCGAATCCAGGTGTCCAGTTCATCGTGACTCCAGATCTGGTAGTTATCGGCAGCAATGAGGACGGGTTTACAGAAGGCAACGTCAAAGCTCTTTGCGACTTCGACAAGTCTACCAAGGCCGGCGCGTCTGGCTACGTCGGACAGCCAAAGGTGGGCTTTAAGTCTGTATTCACTATCGCTTCCAAGGTTCAAATAGAATCTGGCCCATACTCATTTTATCTTCAACATGAGGACGGGGATCCTGGTATCGGAATGGTTAGACCTCACTGGACCGAGCCGCCTGTTCTTCCCGACCATGTGAAGGACCGTGAAGCATATGGCGGTCTCTTTGGAAACCGGACCAGAATCATCTTGTTATTAAAGGAGCAGAACAGAGATAATCTGCGGAATAGCTTTATCAACCAGCTCTGGGACACGCCTGACAGTGTGTTACTCTTCATGAAGAACCTACGGTCGCTGAAAATCACGGTACTTGGTGAGGACAACAAAGTTCAGCGTTCGAAAGATGTACTCCTGGATAGAGACTTATTCGGCCCTCAAAGTCGAATTTCAACGACGAAGGAGCTCGGCCCAGCGAAGCTCAAGATATGGAATCGCTATCTCGTCTATAGATCAACAGCAACAGGGTTGCCTGCCAACCCGAACCGGAGACCTGCCTCGGAATCGTCAGCAGATACTACCAGCGCAGAAGTTGTACTAGCGTTCCCCGTTGATGAGAAAGGCGAGCCAATTATTGAGAATCAAAAACTATTTGCCTTCATGCCGGTTTCTGAGACCGGATTGAGCGTCAGTATATTCGCCCGTACGCCTTCGATACCCAGCTAATATGTCTAGTTTCTTATCCACTCTGACTTTGTCACCGATTCCACGGGGCAAAACCTTCTTACCTCTTCAGACAGGAACCTTCGTATCAAAGAGGCAGTTGAGGATGCGGTCGTAAAGACGGTCCAGGGCCTCTGTACAAGGCCTGGCACAGAACACAAATGGATGCGTTTTCTTCCCCACGTCGGTCGAAAGAGTATAGACCCATTCTGGATCCTGTTGGATAATACTTTACTGTACAAACTCTCCGAAATACCACTTTTGCGCCCAAGAAGCCAGAAGTTTGGTAGTCTCTCAAAGATAGCCGATCTCAAGCGCCTTTCTGCGGATGAACTGGACCAACATGGCGCGCCGCTTTTGCCTGATTTGGAACAAGAGTTGTACCTGTCTTCGGGATACGAATCGCTGGATCTCGATATTCTCAGTCAGTATGGATTAACCTATATGTCGAACGTGGAAGTCGTGAGAAGGCTAGGAGCTTTCACCAAGACCGATGATTGGAGGACGAGAACCTTTGAGAATCGAGATGAAGATTGGCATGCTAGACTGGCGCGTCTTGTCCTCAAGATGCGGAATGGCATGCTATCCAACGGCAAGAAGGCCATTCGCTTCTTGGATCTCATTCCACTTGCTTCAGGAGACTTGAAGAGTGCCACCAAGGGCGGAAAGAACGAAGAATTTTACGACAACATGATCGAAGGCATCTCCATCCCCGGAGATCTGGACTTCCCAATGCTTCTGCCCGCCGCCACAGCGAATGCGGATTGTCGGAAGCTTTATGAAATTCTTGGACCAAAGACTCTTGCTGTTCAACAAGTCCGAGAAAAGATCATAAACATTTATAAAGATCCTGCCCAAGTGGCGAAGCTCGACCTGGCTAAGTCAAGAAATCATCTTGTGTTTCTTTATCGGATCGAGCCAAAAGACTTCATCAATAAAGAGGAACAAGAAGTCATGGTTGTTTTTGACCACAAACTACGCATCAAGCGTCCAAAACATGAGTACGTCTATCTTCCTGGCGAAGGACCAGTGGCCCCAGGGAAAGTCCTCAATCCTCCATTCCCAGAGGGACTCGAGCCACCAGATGTGTCCCTTCTACACCCAGCCTATCTTGAAGATCCGCCGACCCCATCAGCTGGCAATGAGAAATCATGGACTCAATGGCTATATCACATTATCTACTGCGAAGAAAAGATCCAATTGTTCTCTGTTCGAGATCCGCCAGCAGAAGCTGACAAGACTTACTCACCAGAGTATAAATTCCTCGTCAAAGCCTACCCAGGACTCACACTTCATAGACTCATGCTAAACTTTCAAAAACCAGAAGTTAAGAAGCAGTGGATCGATGATAAGAAGGGTACTGCTCTTATGCGAAGAATGGAGTTTCTCTGCACGGATGGTGTAAGACATCCTTTGGAGGAGACTATACTTCCGCTGCCAAAGCTGCTAGATAGCTGTGAGAAAAGCTTTGCATCAGTGGATAGCATGCCGTTTCTTAAGCTTGATGAGCCTGTGAAAGACGATGATATTCCGGCATGGCTCGACTTGGCAGAGCATTGTGGCATCGGGACTAAAGACGACACCAAATTCACTCTGGCGATACTAAGCTCTATTTCCAAGACCACCAAGGAGATTACAAGCGATGTTTCAAAGGCTGTGACTGGTTTGTATCTTAAGCTTGAATCTCAGGTTCCTAATGGACCCTTGAGTGCTGCTTTCGCAATACAAACACAGATCAGGCGAGTTAAATCTCACATTCTCGGCTAGGACGCAGACTAACTATGACAGAAAATCCATTACCGACAACAAATGCATCCTCTGCACACCGCTCGCATCCTCGGATGTAAAGAAACCTGCTCGCTGGGTTAACCAGCCCGCATGCCTATGGAATGCACCTCAGGGCATCCAAGTCTATAACCCTCTGCGGTCATTCTGGTCCTCTGTACTCGAACAAATGGACACTGGAGATCGCGAGAAGCTGGAGCACTTCTTTAGCAACACACTTGCCATTCGAGACATAACCCAACATGACGTTGTCAGTGAGCTTGGTTCCCTATCTCGGTCGCTGGATCAAAACAAGGATTACTCGATGGTAGTGAAGGAGCTTTATAAGATTCTGCAGACGCAGACGGACAACCTCAATGAGATCAACGTACTCATCATTAAGTAAGTACTAGTAGATGTTACCCGCTTATATCCCCAGAGCAACAACTGACGAATTTATAGGCAAGCCTTTCGAGATTCCCCTCTCATTTATGTCCCTCATCAAGTGAGTAGGAAGTGGTGCAAACTCTCAGAGTGTATATGGTCTAGCGAAGGTGCCAGTCAGGATGAAATCAGTCTGGAGCCACTCTACGCAGACCTTTCAACTCTCTTCCTATCTTTCCTCGATGTTCCCAAGATAAGTGCTTCGCTCGTCTATCAGCATATTCTGAACATCGGGAACACTATCCAGCCTATTTCAGAAATCAAGAAACTCATCTGGTCCCTGCTCGATAGTTTGACTACCAACCGGGGACCATCAAGTGTCTATGCGGACAAGATAAGGGCATGCCGAGTCTTCCCTGTAGAGGGGCTGTATGGTGAAGTCCAATCCGCATCCGCTTTGGGAAGTTTCTACATAAATGACCGACCTATATACGCGGCTGTAATGAAGGGAAAGGCTAACATTCTCGACTTTTCTGTCGAGGAAGTGCATCGCCTTAAGCCTGTTATCGAGTGGCTGGGCCTGACTGATCGCTACCTCTCCAAGTCGGTTACAGTAACAGAGAAGACATCTGTTGACGAATCACAAGGAGTGGAGGATAAGGTTTTCACACGGAATATCGCTGAAAAAGCCGATGCACTTGCCATGTTCGTCAAACCACTTACTCTTTCAGACCCTGTGCAAGCTAATAAAACAAACAGGATTGCTGCTCACTTCAGAAATGGCCAACATACGGTACGGAGCTACAACCTGCAGGACACGATACGCAAGGTACAAGTGTTCCGCCATCCAGACATCAAGACCAGTATAACTTGGTATCATGGATTCAGTCCTAGTACAGCACCGCTGCCGAGGAGTGGGATGCACTTCCATCTGGCTCTATTCTCCAAATGGAAGTACTACATTCCGCAAGACGACCAAGACGCCGATTTCTGCATGGTCACTGAGTTTCCGCGGATGCTCACCGCTCAGCTCCTAGAGTGTACAGTGCGTGATGTCAACTCTGAGGCCGTTATGATTGTCGCCAGTGTCCTTCGAGCTAAGCGCTCCAACGTTGGACGTATCCTCCAGCATTACGGGATATCTGAGGCGAGTGCATTACCAGAGTATACACCGGAACCACCACGTACACCTGAGAGGCGACGAGACAACGCTGCTCCCTCACCTTCTCCATCACCGCATTCAGTTATCAGATCCCCTGTCCCCGCTGTAAGCGCAGCTCAGGTAATCCGCGACGCCACCACTCCATACCAGGCCTTGCTTGTTCAAACTGTCAATGTTGCGCGCATCTCAATGTTTCCTCACAAGAATTCAGTCTTTGATATGACTGCAATCTCACAAAGCCTTGCGGAGAGTACAGCTCGATCTGGGCTGTTCAGGTTCTATGTCGGAGACCAGACAGAATGGCAGCGGATGGTCGGTGCCGCTGGTGAGCTATATGTAAGTGCGCTCATCTCATGGAATGGTCCTTTGTCACTAAAAAAGAAACAGGTCTTTGAGTTGCTTTCAACCCTACCCCATGCACTGCCTGGATGGTCTCGAGATAACTGGCAAAGTACTGTCAGACACCATGCCAGCATACACCCTGACTACACCTCCCTTGGTAGCTGGTACGGGACAGAGCAAGGGGACCTCTTCTTTGATGATGTGACAGGAACATTCACCAGCTACTTGATTGAAAAAGGCTATCTTGAGGAGAGCTGGAGAAAGGAGCGACCGGAGTACTATATCGAAGTTAAGACCACAACATCGGCACGTCTCGACACGCCGTTCTACATGAGTAAACATCAGTACGCACGGGTAATATTTCCAGTTCCTTGTATCCATGTGTTCCCACTAACTAGCTCGCAGATGCAGTCATTTGGCAAAAGCTTGAATACTGATACACAACGCCGGAAAGTCTATATCCTTTTCCGGGTACACGGCTTAGAGTCAGGCCAAGTTGGTTTGAGGGTTTTCCTCGATCTGGAGGCTTTGCGCAAGAGTGGAGATTTAGTATTCGAGGCTCAGAGTTGGACAGTCACCCCGAGAGCATAAGGGTAGTGTGTGGATTAGCATGTATGTAGCAGTGGTCTATGAATGACTGTAATCATTCTAGCACATCATATTCTCTGCACCCAATCTGCCTTGCTCCCTTTTAACCAGTTCAAAGCTCCCGTTGGCTAGCGTGCACAGATTCTTCATCGGCTCTCTCAGGCGTCGGATCATAGGTAGTGTTGGCGCGAGAGAAGCGAGGTAGAATATCCTATCAGTCAGGTTCAATAGCCTGATTGGTGAGAAAATAAGGGGAGGAAATGCTTTGAGAAGATTGTGGTTGCTGACAGAATGGCCTCAATTGATACCCGGAGTCATGGACGCTATAAGCCAATGCTCCGCTACGAGTGTGCAGCCACGGACAAGGGTATTTTCAGCTTTTCAAGCTCCCTAGCGTTCGCTGCTGACTTTGAACCTGTGCAAAAAGTGGCCATGAGTTTCCAGGTACATATTTGACTAAAGTCTATCTAATCATAGTTTTCCCAGAATAACCACCAACGGAGATCTAAGAGTTTGTAGGCATGCTCGTCAACTTCTCTCCCGTGCTCGCCTCATCCGCCCTCCAAAGCGAAGTAACAGTCTTCCACTGTGTATAAAACCTCAACCCATCCTTTCCATAAAAGTTAGCAAGACCAGTTCCAGCCACACTGCGTTTGTTTCCTGTGAAAGAAAACATAGGCAGAGGAACAGGGATCGGCACGTTAATGCCAACTTGTCCAGCATCGATTTCTTGTTGGAAGAGAGAAGCCTTGGCGCCCGAGTTGGTGAAGATGACGGCTCCGTTGCCCCAGGCGTTGGAGTTGATGAGATCGATGCCGTCTTTGAGGGTTTCTTCTTCCATGCAGAGGAGGACGGGACCGAAGATTTCTTCCTTGTAGCATTCCATGTTGGGGCGGACGCCGGAGATGACTGTGGGGCCGACCTGCATCTTGTTAGTAACCCAATCGTCTATCAATCAGGAATGACTTACCCAGTTGCCATCGGGAAAGCCCTCAGGCTTGTATCCCCGACCATCAAGGAGAATCTTAGCACCCTCCTTCTCGGCGCTTGTGATAAGGGCATTGCAGCGATCGCGGCTCTGAGGAGTGATCAAAGGTCCGAAATCCGACTTTGAGTCAAAGCCACTGCCTGCGATATGGTTCTTTGCCTTAGCGACAAGATCCGGCAACCATTGCTTCGCGTCTCCAAGAGTAACCAACACGCTCAAAGCCATACATCGCTGTCCAGCGGCACCGAAAGCAGCTCCAGCAATTGAATCAAGGGCATGGTCCTTGTTAGCGTCGGGGCTCAGAAGAGCATGATTCTTTGCGCCAAGGTTCGCTTGCACGCGTTTTCCGTTTGCTGATCCTCGTTGGTAGATATACTCTCCAGCCTTGTTGGATCCCACGAAGGAAATAGCTTGAATCTCAGGCTCGTCAAGAAGGAAGTTGACTGTATCCTTTGATCCATGGACGACGTTGACGACGCCAGGTGGAAAGCCGGCTTCTCTGCAGAGCTCCGCAATCATCATAGCAGCGCCCGGATCACGTTCCGACGGCTTGACGATTATGCAGTTACCTGTGACAGTCGCTACAGGAAGAGACCACAACGGAATCATAGCTGGAAAGTTGAAAGGGCAGATAGCCGCAACAACACCCAATGGGTTTCGGTACGACCTTGTTTCCATGTCCTTGGCAACCTCGAGGACTTCACCGCCGAGCTGAGTAGTGATTCCGCAGGCTGTCTCGCAAACTTGCAGCCCCCGAAGAACATCGCCCTTGGCATCAGCAAAAGTCTTTCCCTGCTCTGTGACAATGCTTGTCGCAAGGTTATCCATATGCTCGCGGATCAAATGCGTCAGCTTAAACATTATTTGCTGACGCTTAATAATGCTCGTCCTCTTCCAACCCGGAAACGCAGCCTTAGCTGACTTGACTGCTTCTTGAAGTTCATCGTTGGTACTCTCCGGAACACGCGTGATGACATTGTTGGTCGCAGGGTCATGAACTTCGATCCATGACGACGTCTGTGAAGAGACGAGTTTGTTGTCGATGAAGTTCTGTGTGTCCTTGGGCTTGTCCAACTTTTCGTGGTTGCCGGGATAAATAACAGACTGGTAGATTGAAGTTGAAGGCATTTTGATATAGATGTTGTTGTTAGATGGGAGAAACAAAGAAGGGATAGGATGATATAGTGAGGCGGAAACCTTCCCGATATAGGAGCAAAGAGCGGTCGCCTCCGTTCGGGACAGACCGACAATTACCCCGCACTCTAGTACTGAGAATGTCTTGTGACGGCTTATCAGCGTTGGCGGGGCCGATAACTGTTATGGTTGGAGCCTATCGGAGCGAGATACCAGAGACATTGACGATCGTGTCACCGTTGGTTTTCGTGGGTCTCCAAGATGGGCTTTATCTAATCTCTGTTTATTTTGGAGACGGATGTTATGACGCTGAATTGGACCTGCGATTGAGTTGAGATAGAAGCCTTCACTGTAGTTTCCTTTGGCCCGGCATTGCCCCCCGCTAGACTCCACCGACTGTAACTAAGCTTCCCACTAACCATTTGCATTTGTCAGGGGACTCAGGGTACCTGATGTGATAGCCAGGAGAGCGTCTCAGACGCAATGAACTGATGGTCTTGGTGTTGGTGCTTGTATGTTGCTGTAAAGCGTAAACAAACTTTCAGTCACCAGGCTTCGCTGCAAATTTGCTAATCATAAATACACACGCATGATACCTGGTTGATTACTACTTATGTTAACCATGCTCGGTATCTACAATTGCATATAGGGTTAGCACCATTCACCCCCAAAATTTTCCGCATTCTGGAAGTATTCCAATCTGGTCTTCGGGGGATCGGCCACCGAGATATAATAAATGGCTTCCTATTTTAAGTCCTCGTAAGCCCCAGATTTGTGTTGGCACTTTGATTTTCTCTATACATTTTGTTTTGCTTTATTACTGTCCAAAATCGATGTTCCAAAATGAAGCTGTTTATCTTGATCTCCCTTGCTAGTTCGCTGCATGGAGCAGTAGCGGCACCTTCAGCGGACAAACATTCTCAAAAGAAGTTTGACTTTGCCAAGATCAACAAAATCGTATCTTTGTAAGTTGATTCACAATTCCCTACTGATAGTCATCTTAAGTCTGACTATGCAATTAGCGGTGATTCATGGACGGATACTCGATTCAATACCTCTGGAGTTCAACCTTCCATCTCCAGCCCATTCGGAAATACCGGCAAGACGAGCTCAAATGGCAAAATGTGGCCAATGTACTTGACCACGCAGTATAATCAGTCGTCCGTGTTACTATATAATATGGCAGTCGGTGGTGCTGTCACTGATGTCAACATTGTCAAGACCGGACCCAACGACGTGGTTACCCAAGTCAGCAGATTCGACGCCTATTTGCAACAACTAGGCCCAAACTTCTTTCAGCCAAAGCATACACTTTATACAGTATTTATCGGTATTAACGACATATACCGCACCATTAATGACGCTGACCAGAATGAGACGGTCACCAAGATCATGGAGCGTCTAGATCAGCTTACAACTGACCTACACACCCACGGCGCTCGCCAGTTCCTCTTCATCTCAACGCCGCCGCAGTCCCTTTTCCCAAACAACGTTCCAAAGCCAATTGCTCCGACACTCAAGGCAACATCTGAAAATTGGAACAAAAAGCTTCACGAACTCTTAAAACAGCTCGGCCGCAAGTTGTCTCACAGCACCTTTTTCTTGTTTGACATTGTACCGTTGATCACTGCCGTTACCGAAGATCCAAGTCAGTTTCCCGAGACCGCGGTGTACAAGAGTACGGGATTCTGTGCAGACTACAAGAGGTAAGACATGCTACTAGTCGATTTGCCAAGATCCAGGCTAAGAAATAATAGCGGTACTATTACGCCAGACTTCAAGTCTGATAATTGTGAATACAACGCGTCGGAGTACATGTATATCGACGGCGCTCATCCAACACAAGCGTTTCACGAAATCTTGGCTAAGAAGATTGCGGCACAATTGGCTGCTGTCCGAACCATTACCCAGCATTGATTGGACTCAGAGTAGCTACTTGGAGGTTTTTTGAACGACATGTGGCAAATTGACAATATCTTCTGAAAATGAATATACTATATCCGTATATTAGGCTAAAAGAAAGACCAGCTTCCCCGCGTATAACCTTGTCTGTTGGGGGCATTATAAAAGCATTCTGGGAGGCTCGGCATAGAAAGGGCCGAGCGTAAATCGAAACCGTTTACAGATTGCCATGCGAGCCCAGAAAGAGGTCGTAAGGTCAGTCCTGTGCTACATTGCAGTGATGGCTCTTGAGTTGGCTCTATGCTTATGACTAGATCCGATTGATGTTCTGTCTGTACCCACAGAAAAAACATAATCAACCTGTGATCTTATCTAAGGGAGCTAATACCTATACTGGCCCCGGTGTATCTATTAGTATATAATCTCTATACGAAGTACTAGGTTATGTTACTAATTATAAAAGGGTTATTAAATTTTTAATAAAATCCTTACTTATTAAATTACTTAAATTATAATACTTTAAAGTAAATTACTAAGAATTATAACTAAACTTTATAAATTTCTTTTTTATAATTATTATTAAATTATACTAAGCTAAAAAGCTTTAACTAGTATAT